CAGTCGTCTAAAAATTGATTCCAAAACGAGAACAAAAGAGAAAAGAGTGAAACAAAGAAATAATATTTAATAAATATTTAATAAATTTAATAAATAATATTTAATAGCTGCTTATAGCTAGTGAGAGGAACAACCTCGAGTAGAAATCGTGGCCTACTTTCAAGAAGGTAAACATAAAGAGGAGCGTCTAAGTGGGGTTAGCCGTTGGCTGTAAGGAGGCAAAAAATTTAGCTGTTACGTGTAAAAAAAATGTTTCCTACTTACGATATGTCATTTCGAAAGATTTCAAGTAACTGTTGCCCAAAAAAGGCCAAAATTTTGGCTGTTAGCCATAAAAGCCATCACCACATTAAGACCCTCGAGGAACCTGGAGGCAGCTTTATATGCTGATTCACGATAAGGCTCTTAAAAACATAATGACCTTCTTAAGAGAAGAGGAGAGGTAAATTCTTCAGGTGATTTGTTGCAGAGCTACAGCACTCTAATTGGTAGCACATTATGATGAACTCCGCGAAAACTAATTTTCGTGCCAACATCCTGTGTCTTTGGCAAGACGAGCAGCATTTTCTTTTGCTGCAAATGAGACGAACAGCCATTTTCTCTGTTAAGCATCAAAGCCATTATCTTGGACAAATTGTCTTGAAAAATTTGCATACACAGCCAATGTTAGTTATTGCAAGAATGCAAGCTTTTGTGACGTAAATTGTTTCATTTAACGTTGTGTGGAGGTGAAGAGGAGTAAGACCCACGAATGGCACACCGACCCTTAACTCAAATGTAATCTCTCATAAACACATAGACGCCATGTTAACTTGCTTCTGTTCAGTAGTAGCGAACAGTTGACTGAAAAAGATGTGGTAAGAAAACGATCCTGCAGTGCAGGCGTCTTATTAGGGCGAGCTAACGTTATAAGCTGGCGATCGTTCACCCGACTGGCCATGTTTGATTTGGAGTTAGAGTGAGCCCCTCTCCTAATTTTTTGACCGTTGATCACCCCCTTAGTACAAATTTCTTTTTCTCCCCAGCCTTCTTCTGCCATTAAAATCAATGATGGTGGCCAAGAAAATACAGAGCACCCGCTGGCTAAAAATTGCGTCTGCTGTGCAAACAGATTGGCGCACAAGGCGCAGTCGAGTGGTTCAGTCGTTTTCTTACCATAAATTGGCATCTTTTGTGATCTATAACTGAACACAGCCACGTTAACAATCAATGATAAAGCAACGAAAATGTGATTAGGATGACGTCATCTATGTGTCAAGAACCAGTCAAAGTAGGTGCGCAGCTCAGCTTATCATGTTAATAGAAACAGAAACTGTCAATTTTAAGTTACCGGTTGTCAATTACGACTGAGAAATTTGGGTATTCTCTGTCACGAAAGACATATTGAGATAGGAAAACGCGCTGGAACACTCGTAATATGACAGCCAGCACTATCGATGGCCTGAAAAAAGAAAAAAAAAAGTGAACAAACAGACAAACAAACATAAACACCTGAGGGGGAAAGTAAACAATATAAAGCAACCTATTTACGTTATCAATCTACTTACACAGCTCCTTTCGCAGCTGATGAAATCAAATCGCGTATAATCTTAGAATTGCTTGGAATGAGAATTAGAAAGAAGCCCAAATTTGACAACACGACGAAACCTGTAAAGAGAAACGAGCTAAAATTTGGAAAAACCAATACTGAAGATATGAAAAACTCATCATTTGAATAACCTGATTCGACACTACGTAGCGCTCTACGAAGCCTTTTTTTTAACACAAGAGGTGTTAAGACATACGCGAAAGTTATGCAAACCCTCAACTTATTCAAAATCTCAGCTAGCTTAGGCAACGTAAAAACGAAAAGAAACCTCCTCTTTTGCTTCAATATAGGCTCGGGTCTGATATGTTACTCTGGATGTTCATTTTGTAATTAATAATAAAATGGATCATTGGAACTACAGCGTTTACATATTTTTTTAATCATATCACGTTTGAGCAACACCAGTGTGAGCACGGAACAAATGCTGAAGACCTTACATTGTTTAAGGTTGAAAATTCCAAACATACCAATCACGGCATAGGCGACTTGGTATCCAGTATAACTCAGACTTCTTCCCTTCAAGACAAAATATTCAGCAGTGAGGCAAAATGTACATGACCTCCTCTAAATCATCACCGTTATCATGATAGTGACCAAGACTATATACGCAGCTGTAAATGTGATCTTGACCGTAAATTGTGACCGTAAACGTAATTGCGAACGTGACGTGTTTTGACTGTTACCGTTAGTTATATTCAACCATCACTAGCTTATTCAAGGAGCAAATTCTCAGTTTTCTGAAAAAGGCTGAGAGCTTCCCAACCTTTCAAATTGTCGTGCCTTCCAATTAGGGTTATTTTTCAACAGATATCAATGTAGGCAAAGGTTAGTAATTTCCTCTTTAATTTTGATAGGAGCGTTAAAAGCAAGCTTATTGCCATACCACAAAAGAGGCCGGTGAGAGGCAAACGTTTTGCATTAGGTGTCTATCTCCACAGTAGAGCTGGAACATGTGGTCCCTATTCAAAAGAATAACAATAAACATAACAATAATCTTTCAGTCCGAATTCAACAGAATGCCTAAAAACGAGTAAACATTGCGTTGCAGGAAAAGACTTGCACAGCAAAGTTATACCATTTCACGAGTCAATTTCGAGCCCGAGTCAGGCTCAAGTCACCCGTCAGGATCGAGTTATGTACGTTATGTATTCCACACATTATGTAACGTGGCTTGCTGCTAAAACTCTGAACAAGTAAAACACGTATATCACGAAAAATGGAAGAAAAGTTTGAAACGATCATTCTGGTGAAACAAACGTTTTACAGAGGAGTAATATATCTTCTCCACAATTTTGGCCGAGGAGAAAAAAGGATCCCTGTGGTTTGTAGTTGAACGAGGACTTCTGTCTCAGATGTGTGAAATAAAAATGAAGTCGGAATTTTTCGAGGAACTCGAACATTAGTTGAAATGTTTACTTCTATCAGCGCAATTCTCGATTACTGCAGAATTAACCGCCGCAAATGGCCGTGAAAAACGTTTAAGCTTAAAAGTAGGTGTTCTTGTATTCCTTATCTCATTTTGTTACAGAAATGAAAACGAAAAAAGAGAGAAAAACAAACTAAAAGCTAAAAATGGGAGCAATTTGAATTGAGTCGAACCTGACTCGTGACTTGAACTTGACTCGGATTCAAACTTGGCTCGTAATTTACAATGTGTTTTATCAGATAAACTATGATGCTATACAGGGATTTCCAGCCCTGAGAAAAGCCGTAACAACACACGTGAAAAAATAAGATATTTTTTCACGTGTGTTTGATATCGCCAATCAGCTGCTGACACGTCACTCGCCTTTCGCACCACTCGGTCAGGTTGATGAATGAACGGAAAAGCCTTTACAATTCTCAATCCAAGGCCGTTATCGGAACATTTTCGGATTATGGCTACTAAAAAAATTAAAAATGCGTATCACTTACAAACAGTGACGTTCGAACTTTCCTAGAAGGGGAAGAGAACCAAAATACGAAAAGAAAAACCGAAAGTTACGTTTTCAATGGCTTTAGTAGTGGCATTTCTCGCGGCTAAGAACAAAACTTGACAACTGGAAGATTTGCCACAGGCCGATTTCAACCATGAACCTGAAAGATTTTTTCTGTCGGTAAGGACCAATTCAAAAACTGAGAATTTTGTGTATTGAAATTTAGGCCCAATGTTCGCTTTCGTAGTGATCCAACTCGTGTTTTTATCTTGAGTGCGCCAACGCACTTTACCATTTTTATTCGGGGATTGCCGATCCTTTCATTTTCATTCATTAATAAGACGAGTTTTCTTGTCAGTAAAGGTCTATTGTGTTCATATGATAACCAAAATAATACATGGTTGATTGCATCTCTGAGATTCTATCTCATGCAGCTATCGAGTTAAACATTTGAAGAGAAATTCCTTATCTACGCGTGCCTATGTGTTATTCTGTATATAACTCGCATAGCAAGACCCTTGAAGTGTTGAGGGGGAGGGAAGGAGGAGAAAAAGGGGACGGTCGGAGGGTTTTGTTTTCTTTTTTCACTATATTCTGTTTTATTACTCATGACCCTCCCTCCCCTTCTCATTAACCGTTAATTGGCATAGTCCCTTTTTATCCTCTGTTAACGACGACTGCTTCCCCCCTCCGTTCCCTCTAAAAACAATGTGATCCCCCAAAATTTCTGCTACTTCCCCTCCTCCCCCCTTAGGCGATAAGTGATGAATGGACTCTAAGTTAATTTACATATTTTCACTTCAGAGCATTGGCCTTTTAGCGGTGAGCGAATGGTAAAATCGGAGACTCTCAAGACTGAGATATAGCAAGTTAAGCTCCACAACTCCTCATAAATACCTAGGCTTTGGCGCGTTAGAGTTGCGATAAATTTTGTTGTTGTTATTGTTGTTATTTTTTATGACATACCAGTTACAAGATCACACAATTTACAAACGCCAAGGCTCCTACATGTACTTAGGTCGTTCTCAATAACATCTAAGAGTTACCCTAGCTCTGGAGCCCTAGTCTTAAATAATTATGAATTTTGAAAGAAATACTGACGAGCGATCGAGATCGGATGGTGTCTTAATAGAAATTTAGCTGTGGGCATTCCATGTGGTGACTCTCCTTGTTCACTGACTCCAAGGGCAAAATCGGAGAACTAGGAGAAAAATCCCTCATAGCATGTAACGCCAGGTCCGGAATCGAACCCGGGTCGAAGCAGAGGGAGACGGGCGCTCTCACTCAGTACTGCGCCATCTCTGAATCCTCATAAGACATTAGCGTCCAGTTGAATATTTATGGTCTACACGAACACGCTCAATAAACCTTTTGTTGTTCATTACGAGAAAATACGCAATCATTTGCGCGAAAAGGTGAACAAATGCGTGAAGTTACATTCATTAGCGACAGAAAAACCATAATTTGCGCGTAAATCAGATTCACTAACGATTTTTGCATTCTAATGAGTATACCATTACAATTTTGGGCATTCTTATGCGTCAATCGTCACACAAAAGAGAAAAATATACTTTGATTTGTGCTAAGTCATTAACGCCATCAGGAAAGTCAATAGAGACAGTACACAAACATCATAACGCATAAACTATCTATTAACATTTTTATCACACTGTTTGCAATTTAATAGCATCCGTTTACGGCGTTAGTATGATTAAGATAATCATTATATTGTACAAACTATTCAGCGTTTTTTACATTCAGTATTGAAATATAGAATTCCAATTAAAATAGACCCGTTCCAATTTTATTTTGTACTGAATTTTAGTTTCAATAATCCCTCTATAGAAACATCTTGGTAGATAGGTCTGTATAAAGCGGTAACATTGTGCACTTTTAGCTGCGGTCACAATGTCGATGTTTCTTTGCGGATCTTCAAGCAGTTCTTGTGTTCGAAACTCCCCTTGAGGGATTCCTCTGGCTCTGACCTCATCTCTGTTATCCATACGTCTTTGAATTTCCGGACACGAGATGTCGGCCTTGATCGCCGCTTTCAGACAGCTGAATGCTGAATTACCTGCTCCACGATGTTGAGGAAATGACTGCTGGGGGAGGCATTTTAAGCTTTGTGTTTGTGGCGGAAATGACCGGGTTTCGGTGAGCCGGCGCTCCGTCATACACGAAGATCACTTCCGCCTCCGGATCCATTTTGTACTCGCCTGCGCCAAGTTATCGAGACACGCAGCATTCATTCCGCTCACAACTGCTGAGGAAAACACAAGTCCATTGATAGGCGATATTGCCATGTTCACAGTCGAGCCCTCTCTCCTTACTGCGCTCTACCGCGAAACGTTGTAGCCGCATTCGTTAACAAACACAAAGTGGCACACCACGGTATGGTTTATAAACCAGGTTGTGTAATCGACTCACTTGTTCAGTGCATCAGGTCTGTTTCTGTCGGCAGGAAGGGGCCTTCCCAGTTTCACCCGAAACAGTATCCTGTCTTATATCCTTGCCACCTTGCGGTCATAGATCCACGATGCCTCTTGCCGTTGATCGGTTCACTCCGAGCGTGTCTGCGATCACAAGATAGTCTTCCTCCTGGTCTTCGAATCATCTGACGATTCTCTCTTTGTGTTCGAGTGGTATTCGATTTCTTCATAGCACTTTGCTCGCGGCCAGAAGACGTTCACAATGCGAATGAACTGAACGAAATGTACTGACAATGTAACATCAGGCAAAAAAAGGTGTTCAATTGAAACTCGATACTTGCATATTGAATGCAAAAAACACTCTATTAAAGTACAAGCGCTTTAATGCTCGTCTTTTTCACACTAATGCTGTCTAGGAATGCCATTGAATTGCAAACAGTGAGATAAAAATAATAATGAATGTTTTCTGCGCTAGAATGTTTGTGTTTTGTCTCTATCAGCATTCAGGATGATGTTAATGACTTGAAGGTTAACGCAAACGAAAGTATGTTTTTCTCTTTTGTGTGACGATTGCCGCAAAAGTGCCCAAAACTGTTATTGAATGCTGATTAAAATTGAAATTTCGTTATTGAATCTAATTTATATGCAAATGATCGTATTTCGTCGCTGATGAATGTAACTTCACGCAATCGTTCACCTTTTCACAAAAATGAATGCGTATTTTCTCATAATGAATTGCAAAAGGTGTAAACTAGTCATACGTACCTGTGGCACCTCATGAAATGGAGTGTTGTTATAACATAAATCAGACCAGCGAAAATGTAAGATCCGTAAAGACCACCTAAAATCAACATTAGAAATATATAACTATAGCCAACAGATAATAGAAAATGGACCTAGCCTATTCCAAGAAAGCAATTAGGTAGTAAAACAGCGGAACGGTGAACGGCGCATTTGTAAACGATGTAATTATAGCGGCGGTGGAGCAAAAACAACGAGGGGGACTTTGGTCGGGTCACGTAACGATCCCGAACCAAATCTTCTTCGGTTTCACTCGTCTGCAACTATCGCACCGTTTATAGTTGTTTCATTAACTGAGCGCCTAGAACAGGCTTAAATAGACCCTGATACAAGAGCTGATAGAAGTCTCTCTTTACATGATAAAGGTTTTTTACATAAGTGATCTCCTCTCGCTTAAGCTTCAACTTCATAATCATCTCGCCGCGAATTGGAATGATTTTTCCAATGCAATATAGCAAAAAGTTTCTGAGGAGACGGTCGATCTCCTTACGTGGTCTTTATTTATTGTGAGGTGTTCTGATGGAAATGGTTACAGGGGGGAAAAGTTTCTACGAAATGCCTTAGGAAATACAGCTTATCAGTACGAAAGTATGTCCTATTTGACATATGATAATGAAAAATGGTAATATGACTAATTTTACTGAGCAGTTTCCGTGAATTATAATATATTCAGTAGTTTTGGGAAGAGGTTTGATTAATTGACTCATGAACTTAGTGACTAAAAGAGCGACGAAAGATTGTCCGCTTCACACGGTCAAGTCGATCAAGGCTTTGAATTTGAAAGATTTTAGGAAGCAGGTAAATTATTACGTTTACTGCCGATGCATTACCTCTCAGAGTATGAATATTCAAATAGGAACCCTTATGATCGCCTATAATACCTTCCCACATTATGAGCAAATGCAATGAGACCTACATGTAACAAAGAGAAATAGAGTATATAAGAATCACTTCATGGAAAATATTTGCTTTAAAAAATGTCATAAATAAACACACTCGCGTCTGTTACACTGAAAACTTGAATCCTTGCAAGACAAATCGAAATGTAGAGGAAAAAATCCATTTCCAAATCAATAGAAAAGACATCTTCTTATATTTTGAGTACTAACTTCAAAGACAGCTATCCCGACGAGAAACACTGTTGATATCAACTGAGTGGAGAACTTGAAATCTGAAATCATAGACGTTGTCCATGTCATCAGTCCAATCCATAAGTCTAGCTTTGAGCTCGTTATTAAAAAGATGATAATAATGAAATAAATGAAAAAAAAGATGAATAAATCAAGGCCCATGAACGAATGAAAAGCATGACGTAAAAACCATTAAATCGACCTAAATGCCAGCGTTATTTATGTTGCAACGAAATACTATACACACCTGCCCTTGGTATATAAAAAAAGTAGAGAACCTTCCAATACCATTCTCTCTTGTCCGGGTATCTGGAAAAATACCGAAGACGATACTGCTGAGATTAATAATAACTCTCATTCTGATCAATTGCTCGCGATAACGAGAAGGGAAAGGACGATGACGACGACAACTTGGGGGCGCGGGCGATGGCCAAGAATAGGCCGGGCCAGGAAAAGTACAAAGACAAAGACAAAGACAAGGACAAGGATAATAGACAAGGAAAAAGAACAAGGACATGGAAAAAGACATGGAAAAGGACGAGGAGAAGAACAAGGACAAGGGCAAAGATATGGACAAGGACAAGGAAGGGAACAAAAACAAAATATAAGCACAAAGACGAAGACAAGAACAAGGACATGGACAAGGCCCGTGATGGACAAGGACAAGGACAAGTATGGGGACAAAAACAAAATATAGGCACAAACACAAAGACAAGTACAAGGACAAAAGCATGGACAAAGACAAGGTCAAGGACAAGGACAAGGACAAGGACAAGGACAAGGACAAGGACAAGGACAAGGACAAGGACAAGGACAAGGACAAGGACAAGGACAAGGACAAGGACAAGGACAAGGACAAGGACAGGGACAGGGACAGGGACAAGGACAAGGACAAGGACATGGACATGGACAAGGACAAGGACAAGGACAAGGACAAGGACAAGGACAAGGACAAGGACAAGGACAAGGACAAGGACAAGGACAAGGACAAGGACAGGGACAGGGACAGGGACAGGGACAGGGACAGGGACAGGGACAGGGACAAGGACAAGGACAAGGACAAGGACAGGGACAGGGACAGGGACAGGGACAGGGACAGGGACAAGGACAAGGACAAGGACAAGGACAAGGACAAGGACAAGGACAAGGACAAGGACAAGGACAAGGACAAGGACAAGGACAAGGACATGGACATGGACAAGGTAAAGGTCAAGGACAAGGAGAAGGACAGGGACAGTGACAAGGACAAGGACAAGGACAAAGACAAAGACAAGGGCAAGGGCAAGGGCAAGGGCAAGGACAAGGACAAGGACAAGGACAAGGACAAGGACAAGGACATGGACAAGGATAAGGACAGGGACAAGGACAAGGACAAGGACAAGGAAAAAGACAAGGACAAGGACAAGGACAAAGACAAAGACAAAGACAAAGACAAAGACAAAGACAAAGACAAAGACAAGGACAAGGACAAGGACAAGGACAAGGACAAGGACAAGGACAAGGACAAGGACAAGGACAAGGACATGGACATGGACATGGACATGGACAAGGTAAAGGTCAAGGACAAGGAGAAGGACAGGGACAGGGACAGGGACAGGGACAGGGACAAGGACAAGGACAAGGACAGGGACAAGGACAAGGACAAGGAAAAAGACAAGGACAAGAACAAGGACAAGGACAGGGACAAGGACAAAACAAAGAGAAGTACAAGGACTAAGGCAAAACAAATTAAGACAAGGAAAATTAAAGATAACGAAATTTAACTGTTTTTTAGTCGTACACTTAACAGGAGCTTGTTCAGAGGACCAACTTTTAGAGCTTTTTAAAGATATCTTACATTGGAGGTTTTTGCCCTAAAATGAACTTCACGTGAACAACGTCCGAATCATGAGCCAGTGAGCGGGAGCTGGAGTCCTTTCCCTAAAGAGAAAGATTTAAGGGACGCAATAAAAATAGTTACCGATACCTGCTATCCTTCAAAATTTTTACCCCACTGTCGCCATTTTCGCCTCTTTCTTTATAAAGTCTTGAATACTCCCAGATCTCATGATATTTTGTAATTTTCTTTTTTAATTGGATTTCAACGTGTCCTTAAAACCTTGCTTAACACCTTTCTTTGAATTTTATGATGTTACTATTGCTTCACTATGCTTAACAAAACAGACACATGCAAAAATTACACACTTCTGTATTTGCCGTAAAGGGACGAAAACATACATGTATGCAACTTTAACTTACAGCTGACTCTGTAGAAGGTACAGACCACATCTGTCTAACTCGTCGAACAATGAGGGAAGCAAATCGCGTTGTTATAAAGATGAGGCACAGTGTTGTGGGCAGGTTAGAAATAATAAACGTTATTCCATAGGCTCCTGTTTTCTAATAGGAAAAAAAATACTTTACTTATTTGAGCCATACGGGCCATAGTTTTGTTCCATGACTCATGAAATCTAATTTATAGCCAACAGAAATAATGGCACTCGAAACAACAGCGAACAAAAATTACTCGGCGAGTGCTCTTTAGCCTTTTCTACATAAAACAAAGATAGATTACGAGGACAAGGGCAAGGGTAAGGACAAAACAAAGAGAAGGACAAGGACTAAAGCAAAGACAAAAATATTTCACACCCCTGCAAGGGTGTGAATTGACTTACTTCCGAAAGTTGTTCATGGCTTGAGAACGATTACGCTTTTTCAGCGCAGTATAAACTATATTAGTATTTTGGGTGATTTAACTCTTTCTCTATAATCCATTTCCTTAGCTTCATTCAGTCGTTCATAAAAACACAGCAAGCAGCTTTATCTGCGTGACCATAAGGAAACATAAGTTCTTCACGTTTGTTGATGCATTCCAAAACTAATACCTTATACACAACGTAGCAACGTATCTCTGTAGCAAGTTGAAAAGAAAACCTGAAAGAAACCAATGGAAGTCGATGAGTTTAACGTATCATCTGGCCCTGTCGGCAAACTGTCGAAATACTGGTGGGATTGTAACCTAGAAAGGCATCTCGACCAGGAAAAGAAAGACAATATACATCATAACATACCGCGCGCAAGTCCTACCTAATTCCTAAAGAGCTACCATGGTACAAATCTTTATGTACCCATAACATGACGTTTGCAGTTTCACTTCGTCTTATATCAGGGATGGCAAAGCAAGCTTAAAATGGCAGAAATCGCCAGAAACCACCACAGACACACAAGATGTGAATAAGTTCTATTGAATTCACTTGTAAAATGTTCACATGTCGAAATATTTATCGTTGTAAATCGACCATATTTCGTTCCCCATACTATTCCTTGCAACGTGTTCAAATTCTCAACGGTTCCTCTTGTAACTCAACCCCACTTCACACAACGCATGGTGCTTTCATAAATTAATCGTTCGCTTTTTCTCGAGACGTGAGCCTGGGACGCGTGTAATCATACTATTTTAAAGAGTTGACATTTCCTAAAACTATTGTTCAATTGAAGATTTTAACTTTAAAACCGTACAATTTTAGAATTTCCAAAAATTTTAATCAAGAAGTTAGAGTTGTTGTTGGCTGCGCTTGGAGCAACTCTTACGCTTCTCTCGTGCTCGGCAAACTTCTCGCGTGGTGCATCCATAAATCTATATACGCACGCTAAGCATGGACCAATCCTTTAGTACTCAGCGTGTTTATTGTAAAGAAACCTGCATCAACTTCGAAGAGTTCCGGTTTGTTTTAGCCCCAAACCTAAAATTAACGTTCTGGTATCTCATGAAATCGCATGTTTTTAATTGAGAACCGATGTCAAACGTATTATCGAAGTTTCACGAAAAACACCCTCCATAAAAACAAAGAAAGGGATGAACCGAATCTCTACTCTGTCCCACTATGTCTGACTTAACGAGCTAGAGCAAAAAAAATCCCATAACTTAAGAAAATACTCACATACATACCTCAACACACCATAAAGAAAGCCAAGGATAGAACCAACGAACTTGTATTCGGTCGTGAGGCAGACAAAATATGGATATAATAGTATTGTACAAAGGAGGACAGCCAGCAAAACGTCAATTACTGAGTGATAGAGAGAAAGAAAGAAATTTCTCGAAGTTCTAATCATTGATTCTTGGACATCAAATACTTCTTTAACTACCATAGAAGAACTCTTTTGATTCTTGGTTTTTGCAATTACGTTGTCTTTTCTCTAAAATACTTTTGGTTCAGTCTCCTAGCCTTGATTGTCTCCTTGCAGAGGTTTTTTTTAAGTGTGGGCGTGTTTTTGTGTACCCCTCTCGTATTTCTTTCAATTTCTTTTTTTAAAATTCATGTTTTGTTAGCTTGTTTAAATGTTGGTTTCGTTTGTTATCCAGGTCTAATTTTGCCTCTATATAGTGATTTAGATTTGAATTTTGGGATGCTATTACAGGTTTAAATTAAACATTTAGTAATATGGCCATGCACTTATTGTGATGATAATGCTGTACTTTGGAGACCACAAGGGTTTAACCTGTTATTACAGAGCAATTTACTGGAACCTGGATTAGACATGCATCTTGCATTATGCGCATGACAGAGATTTCTGAGGGAATATGCTCTACATGTGTTACTGTATTTTTTATCTTCAACCGTGATGATTCTTACTGCCAAAACCGTTAAGAAATTCGATCATAGTAGCGGTAGAGTTACCTACTTTTTACCCAAGGAGATTCAGATGGGACAATCGAGATACTGCCGCTTCCACCCAATGCCATTCTTATAACAGTGCTACCTGTGGCTCCAAAGGTAACAGCAATAGTCCACCTGTTACTGAGACCACCAAGAAAGTTCATCGGTCTAAAGAAGAATGATGCAGATATGTTGTCATCATGAAAAATTGTACTGCTGCTTGATCAGAAGCCACAAAACCACCAACTTGTTGATAAATTGTACTACCTTTTTTTTTCAAATCCTTGTTTGCGTTAAACTAGCCTGAAGAGCAGGCGAAATTTGGCGAGAGGACCAGAGTGGAAGTTAGTCAGTCATCAGGCTAGTTGAAACCGCTTACCGCACCTATGCTTGAAATTTGGAGTCAAATAACACACTTTTACATGCGATAGACAAGCTTTTGAGACACGCTTTCAGCTTAAAACTTTCATCTTTTAAATTATACTTACATTGTGGCGTCTATCTAGATTTGAATTATTTTGTAAAGTATACGGGATCAATTGTAACGCAAAGCACGACGGTTTCCAGTGGGGAAAATCACTGAGGCAGAGGCTTCTATCTGGGTGTATGCACATGTGTGTGGGTGTTTGTGTGTGTGTGCGTGCATGTGCGCGTGTGTATGGGAGCCAAATCGCTCAAATTCTAGATTTACTATGAAACAATTATAAAAATATTTATTTTCATACACGGACAACATACATCAGTAGTCCAGGGCGCCCATCCCAGAGTTCCAATTTAAGCTTAGTGCGTCGCTTCAGGAATGAAAGAACTAAAATAATAACCAACTGCAAAGAAAAACATAGAGAAACATTAGATGATTCTTTAAAGTAAATCTTATTTCATGGGTTACACAAACAATACCGCATATGACGAAAAATTGATTCCCAGCGCCTATTGTACAAACACGTATCGCACACAGGCTAGCGACCTTTCATCACCAGTTTTATCATTATTGTTTTCCAACAGACATTATTTAGAACACTTAGAACACTTAAATTATTTACTTTTCTTCTCTATTAGAACTTAAACAAATAATGGCTCCTTTCCAAGTCCATATCCACGCGGTGAACAGCAAGGAAAAAGGAAATCCGCTACCAGTACCGTTTACGTCTTTGTCATAATTATCATCATCATCATCATCACTATTATTATTATTATCATTATCATAATCTACACACTCCTCATCGTCATTATTGTTATCATTATCGTTATTTTTGTAATCATTACCCAAAAAAGTATACGAAATTTAACAGAGCACTCACTGCAGGAGCAAGACATCCAAAATCAAAGTCTCTTTGCTGGTTGAGAGCTTTCAAACAGCTACAACAAGAGAAGAAAGAAATATAGTGGCTTATGCATCCATAACTTTCAATGCGCATCATCTCATGAATGTAGCATGAAAAAACGCTCTATAGACCGAATTCATAAATGGCGCCCTCTCGGAACGGTTTGGTTTCGAACACATGTGAACGAAGTCCGAAAGGCCGGTCAACGAAAGGGAAACTTTACATCGAGATGCTCTTTGCGGTACTTCAAACTCAAAATATAAGCGTTCTTTTGTTTATTATCGTTTATGATAGAATATTCGGGAGACTATATGAAAGTTTTGGAGTTTTGAAACCTCGTAAAAAGTCTTTCCTTATGGATGAAAACTCAGAAATGCCAACACATGGCTGTGTTCCTCTGTGTAGGAACACAGCTATTATCGAGACAAAGTAACTGGTGCCAAAATATCTTACCTCCGATTTCCACTCGAAGAAAACCTGAGAAAACAGTGGATTCACGCAGTGAGAAGGGACTTGGGCAAGAATTTCTCTGATCAAATTCAAACAAGGTTTGCTCGAGGCACTTCAAGGCTGAAGATTTCAAGACTACTCCAACGCACGTGGTGTCGTTAAAACCAGGAGTAGTGCCTTTGATTTTTGCGTGGAAACGAAGTTCTCCACGACAACGATCTCCGCCTACTCCTCGTTTGACAAATAGGATAGAAATTTTGATTGAGAAGCTACGGGAAGAAAGTCTGGAAACTGTAAGAACGTCTATCGAAATTCCAAGTGCGATATCTTCCTCTTCATCGACGACAACAACAATCGATTTAGAACCTCCGGTGACAGAACCGGACTCTTACTTCACCGAACGTCAATCCGTGAAGGATACCAAAATTTATGAACTAGAAGACAAGATTGCTGCATTGTTATCCAAGAACAAGAAATTGGAGGAAGAGGTTTCGTTGTTGGAAGAAAGATGCTGTGATTTAAATTAGACATGTGTAACACTCAAAAATCAATTGTTTTTACTCTGAAATATCAAAAAAACACTTCACTTCTGACATTTTACACCGCTTATCCAAACTTTCAAACGATGATGGCTTTGTTCGAATTCCTGGACCCTAGTACCAACAAAGGAAATATCAATTACTAGTTACCTGGTAGAGAGACTTTCAAGTCTAATAGTGATAGTGAGAAAATTGGGAAATAGGGAAGGCCAAGATTCTTACCACCATTAGATTTTTTTTTTTTCACAAACTGTAGACTCTGACGAGGTTTTGCTAAACAACATTAAGCCAACTTATTTTATATTTCACAGTCGACTTTCAGTCGAATTTTTGTTACACGGTGCAACTTCATGTACTTAAAACTTGGCCGGCTAAATATTTGGCCATCCAGAAGACTTGTTGATGAGACAATGCCAGATGATTTCAAGGCTAAATACCCTTCAACAAAGGCGATCATTGACTGCACAGAGATTCGCTGCGAAATGCCACGTAGTCTTCTTTTAAATAGTGAACTGTTTAATTCTTATAAACATCACACCACTTTAAAGGGACTAGTAAGAATCTTACCCAAAGGGTCTCTCACATTTATTGAACAGTTGTACACAAGCAGCATATCAGAAAGGGAAATGGTTGAGTGCAGTGTTTTTCTATACCTCCCTTTTTCTAAAGGGGGCTCTATAATGGCTGACAAGGGTTTCACCATTGAAGACATACTTCCCCTGGGTATCTCCCTCAATATATCCTCCTCGTTGGGAATATCAGATCAGATGACACCTGAGGATGTGATTAAGACACAGGATATTGCTTCGCTGAGAATTTATCGAGAAAGAGCTATTAACAAGGTCAAGAACTTTTTAATTTTTGAGGGAGTAATTCCTTTAAGCCAGTTAGGCATAGTAAATCAAATGTGGTGTGTGTGCCACGTTGTGTAATATGCAAGATCCTATAATTACATGGCATGATAGTAACTAAAACAAGATGCCCCCCAAGAAAACAGAAATTTACACCACCAATCTCATCAACATCTCTGTGCTGCATAGAAATTATGAAACAGATTAGATCATGCCTCGCTCGTGAGGCACCAAGTGCTGTTCACTCGAAAAGACATTAAAGTCCACTGTACATAATATTTACATGGAGGCTGATCTGCTTTTCTTGAACTCCTGTGATGCAGTTTTAATGAAACCTTTAAGGGAATCTCCTTGACAGCCAAAACCTCAATTCTTCGCTCTTCGATAATTAAGGAATTCTCTCCTCCAGTGAAGCCCCCTAAATATCATCTTCTGTGAGAATAACAACGCTATCCGATGAACTTGCCAAACAAGACGCCATAGTGATACTGAATAAAAGCCTTTCGAGCCTCGTTTTCCTGTATTTGAAACCAGGCTTTTCCGCGCGGCCGCCATTTACGAATTCGGTGCATATAGTATTTTGCATGTGGGGCACGATGCGAGGACAGTATCCTAGCTAGAGCACTGAAAACACTGAAAAGAGCCTTATAAAAGATCTGTAGTCAGAGTGACGCGGAGGTTCCTTTGCTACGTAAATGTTTACCTCTCCACATGTATTCTGAATTGAATAATTAAACGGTTACTGACTGGTTTCTTTTTGAAGGGGAATGAACAGATGAATAATAATGGTAATTAAAAGCGAGTGAAGTCCAATTTGGTCATGCAACCTTGAATCGGGAGTGCGATTTTTAGATCAATGGTACTAGATTTCTGACAGAAACGGATAACGAAAAGTCCTTTAACACTTTCCATTTATTAGCATGGCGCATACATATAGCTAATCATAATTCTAAATGAATTAGGTAAACATACGTGTCTGTAAAAAATGCAAATTTTTTGAAATGGAACGAATGGAAGCCGGAAATCTTAAATCAGCGCGGATATGTTCGCAGCTTTAAAGCGACACTTGGCTCATAACTAAATAAAATAGCCTACATGCAGTTGTTATCAATGTTTGCGTATTTCAAAACCGAGCGTGGCTCAACCAAAACCTTGAAACATTGCGTTTGTGAGAACAGACCATAAACTTTTCAGCAATAGACTTCGCCAACAAACTCTTGAAACCACTGGCACCATTTGATGCTATTTCTTCACTTATTCTTTAGCCGATTTGAGAAGCTTTGCTTTGAAACATTCGCCGCCATGTCAAGTCTTCGAAACTTCCTCAACGAGATGCATGTATTCGATAAATGGGACAAATTAACAACTTGTTACAACTCTTTCTATCACTTACTCATTCTCACTTGTCGCTTCTGAAGCCATTATGACTGCTTCTCTAAACTCGATAGGTTTCCGCTTCACTGATTAACACTTCCCCTTAGAGACAAACGACTTGCGCAGACGTTAAAAATTACATCGCCTCTATTTTGCTGTTTCAGTCTATCCATGGGGAATGGGTATAAATCTACTTACTACGTCATGTATGGGGAATTATCATGGACGTTATTGTATGTATGTAAAGTATAGTAAAAAATATGAATTGAGTTGATAATAATTCCCCATACATGATCAACCTAGGTAAATCGGCTGGTAAACCGCTGGCTGATAAACTAGGGCTCATTTCTGTGAAACAGCTTGAAACTCAAAATATACGATTTTTTGGGGAATTTTTCACTTTTATTATCACGTGTATTTTGCGGCGGCCTTTTAAATATGGCGTTGCCAGATGTTCAGCGTAAAACTTGATAGCGAAATAGTTCGAAATGGAGGCTACAAAAGCGACTGGATTGACTTTTGGACGAAGACGATCTCTCTGTTGCCTTTATCCGTGTTTCCCACGTGGATTCTGACAACGAAGCACCCTCTGATGTCGGTCTATTGTTTCTTTGTTGGTTAATGATTACTTAATAAGTTTTTTTTTTCAATCAGTTTCATTTAAGCACATGTACCAGATACTATATTTCATATTTCATCGCTATAAGTTGCTGTCGACGCCACCAGTTTTGTCTGCTATTCACGTACGATCCACTATCAGCGATTCATCTACAATCATTAGGAGCTAGACCAAAGTAAGTTTTTATTTATTTCTCATTTAAGATATTTCCTTTTTTTGATACGTATATCGATTTATTTCTCGCTTTCAGTTCACTTTATAATCGCTTCATTGTTAATTAGGTTAGTGTTACATTTCTCAGGGATATTTTCTTAGTTTAGTTTCTGCGGCATTTTCTTTTACTTTGAACCACACAAATTCAGCTACAACGTTACCATCAATCATAACTACGCTATCTTCAATCCTACTTTGCCCTCTTCATCTGTGATTTCACACCGACCTCCTTATTTTCATTTGTAATTTTGATTACGTACTTCATTTGATTAAACTGCGATTTATATTGTGCATTCAGATTGTCTTCTCACTTCTACACTAGTAACCTTTGAAGGTTAAATTAACTTGTCAGCAAATCCCGGCCAGTCATCGGATATCTGCTTCATCCGTGTGCAGTTTCACTATCCCATAAAAAAATTGACACTAACAGAAGATGTAAGGTACACATACAACCAGTGGAAACAATCATTGAGTGTGGAGTTTGCCAAGTGCAAATGTGTCCAGCACCTTGCTTCCTGCGATATCACACATTGAAAGAATATCTCTTTGATGACCCTGACAGAAATAATTCTGCTAAGAGCTGTTATTTAATTCAGTAACCTCTGCTGTAGCTACATAAAATGTAGGTGTCTTTAAGCCAACTGTCCATGATCTTAGCAACTCTAGCTGCTGAAATACGAAATTTGTCTAGCATGTTTCTTGGGCTGCAAAAGTTTGATTTAAAGGAAGACAAGCCGGAACTAGAATATCTTATTATAATTAAAACTTGATGACTCAGAGAGACTAAGGATTCAACCATGAAGACATTTGTAGAAAACTTGAGATAATACCTGAATTTCATTTGTATATCACATAAATGAATTCCAAACATCAATCAAGGTTTTCTCAGTCTTAAGTTTAAAAATTGAGTTGATATTGTTATTAGCTCTTTTAAATAGGTTGAAAAGCTTTAGTTGGTATTTTCTCATTTTGCAAATAATTGAATTTACTGGAAGGTGAAGTTGTTGCAACATGTTAAAATGAAACACAACATTAAATTTTATTGATATGTAAAAAGTTTTCATTTGACTCTATACTAGCAAGTCTCTGTATTATATTTCGACCCAATCATTTTCCACAACTTGTAAACACCATTACAAAATAATTAGTAAGGGAAATGGAAAATCTGTGGTACGTTATACATCATATTTGAAATGCCATGTCCATAATAAGCTAACAGGATTGAGGAGGGTGTATGTGGGAATAGGCTCTCTTGTCTGTATCATTAATTTGCTAATTGCTCCTGTTGCCAATGTTTTGATGAGGTTGGGCTGTCAGGGCAAAGGAACTGAGGATTTTAGTAGGCAGTGACTTTTCTCAAACCTGAAAACTATTGTCGTGAAAAGTCACACTTGTGCCTCGTAACTCATTCTTATTCTGATGAACTAGTTTTTAGAAAGATACAATTTTTTTACATAAATTTGATGCATAGGCTGTAAACAAAACTTGAGTTGACTGTACTTTTGTAGCCAATACCTATCCATTCACCTTATGAAATGTTAGTAGGATCAGAGGAAAAAGTGATGTGCCATACACCTGCAAGATTTCATTTAATTCTTCTAATTACATGATTATTAACTGATACTAGAAGATCTAACAATATTCAAAATAAAAAAAATTGGTTGAAAAATTAAAATTCAGCATAGGCCAGATAAACAATATCCTTAGAAAAAGAAATGTGTACTAATGCAAAAGTTAAGCAAACTTTTTTAAAACACCTGCCTGAACCTGTGCGGTATGTGGTAAAGTCATTCCAAGTCATAATCCAAGTTTCAATGTTGGAAACACATGCGCATGCAGATTCCTATAAACCTGTAGTTCAAGCCTGACATGACTTCATAATTTTGATGCACACCTCAAAAGGAGAGCAGATAAATTTCAAGTTTCTATTTGTTCAGTTTAGGTTAGTGAGATAAAATCAAGTCAAACATTCACACAATGACAGGTTCAAGAAATTTTCACAACCAATTTATAAGGTTAGCCTACCTGGAACAATAACCTTCATGTACAAATTAGAACAGGTTAGTGCTCATAGTGGGAAAAGTCACTGTCTTACAAGAGTACTTTTTAAAGAGTTATTTTTTGTCTATTTTAAAGGCACTCAAGTGCTTTCAAAAAAAGAACATTTGCTCATGCACAAAAGAACTATCTGTGGTAGGAGGGCAGGCTTTCCTTTCTTCATTTAAAAAATATACTGAGGTTATCATCTTTCCACAAGCTCAGTGGACAATGGGAGTGAATTAGACTGATAGTGACTATTTTAATTGAGTAAACATCCAGAGGAGGATAAAAAGTAAGATATGGTCAGCACAACTCTCTTATTTTAATTTTTTAACCTATAAAGCCAAGGCAGTTATATTCTTTCTCTGTGCATGGCATGGTCAAGTATCCTGTGACCAATTCCTTATGTCAATGTTTAGTTTGGGTATGACCATAGGTAAGTAAGAAATACCTTGCACCATTGAAAGTTTGAGCAAGAGTATTTCATACAATCTAAATAATAACAATATTACATGTTAGAATGTGGTTACTTACTCAGAAAATTATATAATCAGACAACTCCCAACAAAGGCAGTCAGTTTGTAGACTCACCTGCTTCAACATTTGAGGGCTTAAGGTACAGAGAAATAGATCTCATAGTGGTAAACAGTTACCATTAATACAAAGTTGAAAGTTTGAAAGCTAAAAGATACACATTACAATCATCGGTAATTGCTATCTTCAGCCTCATCATCCTGATACATGTGAAAAAATCAAATGTTACTCACATATTCAATTAATATCCTGAATTAAAAGTTATAATTTTTTTAATAACCTGCTTCCTCTAATTGTGCTCCAGATGTAGTAAATGGTATTGAAGAGAAAGGAAGAAAGTTCTTGGAACATTCTATGTTAAATGAAACTTCAATTTTAATTGCAACAGCAATAAAAACATCTGTGAAGCTATTATAACAGTTACCTTTCCATGTAAACAAACCATAATGAAGCAAGATATGAATAAATTGAATCTTGTCCAGTTTGAATGTAGAATTCAAAATCTATTTAACTTGCTGGTGAATAGGAAAAACCTCAATATGTTTTCCTGCTTCTATCATTCTTAATATCACAAATCAATCACACCACCACTTCAGTTTGATTTGTTTGACAATGTGTACTTTTTCTTATGGTCATCTATTTTTATTATCTTTCTTTTACCAGCTGATATATGAGAAGAATCAAGTCCACACTGGTGATTTTACACATTGTAAGCAAACCCTACAACTGATTAAACTTTATTTGATCTAAAACATGAAAGGTAATGGAGGAAGTTAGCTAGCACAATTCAAGTTACCCTTCTTAATTATTCTGTGATGTTTTTTCTATCATAATATTATGGTAAAGTTGACAGTTTCCCTCATTTTACTGTCCTCTGTTCATTTGTTTGTTTGCTTTCCAAAAATTCTTAATGATTGTTGCCAACAAATGTGAGGTACATATAAAATGTGTACAGTTATTAAAGACATCATGTAATCAGTTTAATAAATGTAGAATATTCCTTGAATATATGATTGCAGTAAGTGCAAGTGCCTTAAGTAAACATCATTCTATGGTCTTCTACTCCTCCTCCTGGGAGGTCACCAAGCTTGCATACATAAAAATTGAAGTTCAATGACTCAAGTAGCTTTTTTGGCTACAAAGATCAACAAAGAACAACAGCCACACCAAAAAATATTTTGAAAGACACCTCTACAATGGTAGTTATACAAACCAACATGTATGAGTGAAGGATGTGAAGCATTATGATTATCAATTTGCTATTCCTTACTTGCAAACAGCTTATTTCTAGCAGCTTTAAAAATTTCTGTATTTCCCTTTCAAAAAAAAGCATTTCCCATGAAAATTGAAATGTTGAAGGCATATTAAAGATGCCAGCAACAGGTATTTCCGTTGGAAGTGTTTGATAAGATCAGATTCTCATCACATTTTGTTTTTTTACATCTGAAAGCATAAGGATATTTTAATCATTACAATGTAATGGATCCCCATTTAGCACTTTAACTCCCAAGATCTCATGAGTAATTCTCCTTACTGTTTCCCAGATGATTCTCATTACATTTGTTTGGAGAATTTGGTATCATTATCCCATAATTAATATTTTTCTTACTCTCATCACTTGTCTGCATGATATTTTATAGATACAGTATGGAGAAATTCTGTTTTGGTCACTCAGTAGTTAAAGGGTGAAGACAGGGTAGTCGTATATAAAGAAAGATGGCAAATAAATATAACATTATACTCCTGTAAATTGTTCTTATCTAGAATGAAGTTTCAAACTCATTGAAATTAAGTTGACTTCATGATTCAGATTTTAGTTCAAGAAACATGTAATACATATCTCTACAAGAATGAAAAGGGATTGTCATTTATGAATTTTAACATAGAAAATGCCAAAACCTTTGAGATGGAATTTACGAAAAACTATCACAATGTGGCATATCTATTCACTGAGATTTTAATCATTAGCTGGCATACAGAGATATAAAAGAGACCTCTATGGAAAAAAACAAACAGGGCAGTAAAATTAAAGATTCAGGAGAAGCATATGACATAAACTAGTTTACTGATCTTCCCGCCTAAATTCCATCTGGAAAGAGAACTCTGCAACTCCTCTGTTTTATCTTCTCACACTTGAATTAACATAAAATTTAATTATTTCCTCGCAGGTTAGGGAGGAAATAAAAGAAATGGTTGTATGTTAATAGAAACCTGTTAAAATAAAATAAAGCAGAAGTTTATTACCAACCTGTCTATGCTTCTGAATAAAGCTATAATGGGTATTTTTTAAGCAATTTTCTACATATGTAATCCGAGTGCAATATACAGTCATAAAAGCATTTATCTTGGAAGGTTACACAAACGGACTCTCTAAAACTGCTCTTAAATTCGAAAACAATAGACAACGATTATTTACGCTGCCCATTAGCTTACCAGCGTGTTTGTAAGCTCAAATTGCCAGGACCCCGTTTAATTACACGATCACAGCTCGAACGCTTCTTGCACAATGTGATGACTATTAATTTCAGAGACTAGTTCTTCAGTTTCCAGCTTTGGGGAAATTTAACTTATCGCAAGCACGTTCATCATAACCCGAGCACTAAGTACGCCTCGAGATGTTGAGCGAAGAGAAAGTGGCTCCATGTTTTGAGAGACAAACCATGTCCTGAAGTTCGAACAAATCGAGTAGAAAGATGAAAACATATCGCTGAAAAGTACCAAACCAAACAATTGCACCCGTAATTTAATTCTCAGATGTTTGACGGGTTCTCACTTGACAGTATTATCAAAATCAAATTACCGCGTCAGACTTAATGTAAACATTAACATCGCTGACTCAATGTCATTTTATTCCAATTTCGAGAAAGGCCATTACTTCGTTCTTAGGGTAAAACAACACATCTTCAACAAAGCGCGATTTTCTAATAATTTATGTAAACCCTACGATAGTTAAGTGAAGAGAGAATGATGGAAACTTAATTGCTCACGCCGTTCGCTATCATTTGAAAACTTTCTAAGCAAAATATAATCCGTGAGATAGCTTCTCTTCCCTTAATAACACGACTTAATTAAAGATTCCAAACGATAGGACAAGAAACAACTTAAAGAATACGAACACTTAGAAATGTTATTCGAGCGATGAACCGGCGCGAGAATTTAAGGCTACGAATGCCAAAGTCATTGTTTTACCGAAACGTGATTTGAAATATAAACTGAAGCTATTATCAAACGACGATTGGTGAAAGAAGATTTGAATTTTTCTAGGCCTTAGCGTAAGTGAGCTCTTTGCAGTCTGTTTTCTGGAGCTCTTTGTATTTCCTTCTCACTTTGCTCTTCCCGAGACTCTAGACTCTCTTCGCCTTTTCACTTTTGTCCTCTCTTGTTCTCTTTCACGTTCCTCTTGCCGCATTGTGCCTATTTTAGCGTCCTTTCTAATTTCTTACACGATTTTCTCGACTCGCTTTACGCTTTTTACCTCTTCCTTTCTTTGGTCGCTCTGTCTCTATAATTTCTTTCCAGTCTATTTCCACTCAAAACCCACGAACTTGAATTATAACAATTTCCTCCGTTTGAAAAAACTTTAGTTGTGCCGGTATCGTTGCTTTGCGAGTTGATTAAAAATTGCAAAATACTGAGAATTTCTGTTCAACCACAACCTCACCAGTTCGATTTCCCGCTTAAAACGCGGGCTGCAAACTATTTGCTTATGCGGCTTCACATTTACTGACACACGTGAAGCCCTCGTGTAATGTCTAACCTTGTACTCACTATACGCTGCACTAAAGCTCGGTACACGAGTATGCGCACTTCATTGTTATTTGTAGGTGTCTCCTGGCGCACACTAAAGTGGTATCGAGGATACGCACGCTATCGCGCCTGCGCATCCCCTTTTCCCTTACCCTTCCATTGCGTGAAGGCTAGAATAGTGCCTGCAATACAGTTGGCCGCGCATGCTAAAAGTAACACCTTGTACGGTCGGTCGTAATATAGTAGTAAGTCCACATTTCTTCGGCGTAGTGAGGTGCTCCTATTTGCCATAATTGCAAAATGGTAACGAGATCGTTAACCACATTAAAAAAAAAATATCTTTTTTTATTTTGAATCAATAACTGGCTGGCGACGAATTGGCTTCACTTAGTCTTAGAATCGTAGTTCAACTTTGAAAGTTACAAAAGTAATGTTAAACCATGTTAAGAAAAACCAAATAAAGCTCCATTTACCCCTTACTTGTCACCAGATTGCAAAATTATCAGCCTTATAGCCGAGCAGTCGTTTTTAATGCATAAATGTAACATAGAATACAACTCATGTTATTCAATACTAAACTGTCTAACTTAGTCTTAAAGACGCACTTGAGCTTTGAAAGTTTCATGATGATAAACTATGTTAAGAAAAACAAAAGAAAAAATTCTATTTTCTTTTTACATGATGGGCTTTTTTTTTATGCAGTATTTAATTTGGAGCATAAACCTATCATGGAATATACAGCTGTTTCGAGAGAGGTGGTCCGACAAAAAGCGTAAAAATGCACACGACAACCATGAAAGGTATTGAGGGTAGTTTTCAGATCACGGCACCTTGACTTCAGGATGCAAAGAAAAACTGAGGAACGTCATTGTACGGACGCGGTACAGCGGGTTTGATTAATAAATTTATTTTCCTTCACTTATCAAAATTCATTAACTACCGGATACCCAGATTGTTTTCCAAGATTGTGGCGTGCAGTTTTGTCCGTTTTTTCCGATAATCTTTCTCGTAACAGCTATATACCTTGCAACACTTGACAATTACAATGCCCTTCATTTAATCCTTAAAATAGTTATGTGCTATGAGCTAAACCTGACGATTAGACCATAGCGTCGACTAAAACTGATACTGAAGACGTGTCGACCTCACTCTGTTCAATGGGTACCGAAAAGGAATGGTGACGATACTGTATGATTGTGGGATTGCGGAGGAGAGTTACAGCAAGAAGCCAGCGGTTGACCACCCTCTGTGACAGGCGTGGATGGCGGATTTCGCGTTTGAATCCTGTTTCAAAGTTACATCGACATTCAGTACATTAACGGTATTGTTGAAGTGTATTTGGGTAAATGCAAACTATATGTCGACTGCCTTACAAAAGGAACTCAGGCACTGTCCGGTATGGTTGCCTTATATTAATTTATTGGATCAATATCAGTATCTGGGCAACTGCCCACCTACCCCTCCCTTAATTCAACAACAGTCAATTGAAAACAAGTTAAGGTTAACGTTGGGTTAGGGGAGGGTTAGGTGGGCAGTTGCCCAGATACTGATATTGATCCAATTTATTGACATACCAGTGACTTGTTTTGGCTCCTCAGCGTTGTTTGGCTTCACAGAAAGGTTGGAATGTTCTGTGACGGACAGATTTTTTAGTTAACTTGTTAAACATAGCTATATTTAGTTGTTACTATATTTGCTCTGGTCACGATCATAGATATGTGCGCGCTCTGATTGGTCGAGGATTGCATTATAACTCGCTATAATCTCCTCATTTCCGAAGAAGTGATAAATACGATGGAAGAAAATTTCAATTGAAAAAAGCACAAAAGATGCTACTGTACTGAGTTTGGTAGAAGACTTTTAACAGGATTAAATGAAGTTGATAAGTCTTCTTGGTTATGTAGATACGAGTAATTAACAAAGTTTTGGCACAAAATATGCGCAACGCTTTCTTTATTCACAAAATTTGCAAAATTATTCGAAAGCACCCGTGCAATTATACCAACCGTTATTCGCGTCAGGTTCAGTAAACATTGTTAAATAATCCCCTCGACTCTGTCTCGGGAATAATTCAATAATATTCACTTCGCCTTCGGCGAACAATTGTCAATAATAGGAGGGCGAGAGACAAACGTTGGAGAAAAAAATACAGATAAACATAGAGGCAGATTGAGTAAATGACACGCGGACAGATTTACTTACCATTTACTGACAGTCTGGGTGAGTGACTCACTGACTGACTGACTGACTAACTGACTGACTTAATGAATGATTGACTGACTGACTGCCTGATTGACTGACTGACTGACTGATTGATTGACTACCTGACTGACGCACTGACTGACTGATGGACTGACTGACTGACCGACGGACTGACTCTCTGACGAACCGACCGATTGACTGACTGATTTACTGACTGACTGACAAACTGATCGACTGACTGATGGACTGACTGACTGAATGATTAACCAACTCCAACTTGAGTTAATACTCTCGATATGTTCTTCTTAGACCAGTAATATTTAATTTCTTAAACGTTGCTTACGTTTCTCCTCCGAAGTTGTCGCCTTGTTGCTTTCAATGAGCAATTGGCAGAACATTAACACAACGGGATGTCTGTGGGCTACCAACACTTGAAGAAATCCAAGATACGCTACAAAACCTGTTCGGTAAGTTGAAGGGAAAAATGAGCATTAGATGCGGACTCAAGTAAAGTCTGCGTTGCTGTTCGGGTTGTTTTTGTCGTATCTTTCATGGCTGAAGTATCTTTTGCTGAGAGACCAATTATTATTTATCACCGAGGTGGAGAAGGGGAAAGAGGATTTTGCGGATGATCGCATGGCTTTCATTGGGAGCAGAAGGGGAATCAGTCGTCTCTTACAGAGTTTGAAGGGGGAACTATGAATTTCGGACTGCTACTGAGAATGAAGTCCTTCCATCCCCTTTCCAGGCGATAAATAATTACCAGTCCCTTGTGCATCGTTGCATTTTTGTTCAAATGCTTCGGTAATTTGAGAAAATCAAAAGAAGCAAGAAGCAAAGTCTGAGAAGCAGCAAGCAGCTGCCCAATGTTTCAACTTTTTGGTGGAGATGCCGTCGTTCGGCAAGCACTGAATGGCAGATGATAGGTCAGAAGTCTAAACTCGAATTTCATTTTTCGATAAAACACATTTGAAAACTGGTTTTTCCGGAAAGTTTACCTTTTTCCCATTTTTGAAATCCTGGCATGAGAATAGGTCGGTCGGGACGCGAGAAGAAGAAAAGCCCGAGAATCATAGCTTTAGCTATGCGGAGAAGACCTATTGAGATTCCAACAATGGCGTTGAGGAACACAAAGGCATATGACATGATAGAGAACAGTCGTCTAAAAAGTGATTCAAAATAGAGAAAAAAGAGAATAAAAAAGTGAAACAAAGAAATAATGAATAGCTGCTTATACTGACCGGAGTAGTGTTGTGTAGAAAACGTGGTCTATTTCCAAGAAGGTAGGAATAAATGTGAGGGCCTCAGTGGGATTAACCGTTAGCCGTAAGGCTGTAAAAGTAGCTGTTAGGCGTAAAACAAAAACAAAAAAAAAACGTTTCCTATCTTGGTGATGAGTCATGTGGAAAGTGTCCAATTAACTGTTAACGTAAGAAGGCCAAAATTTTAACCGTTAGCCGTTAAGGGCCATCACCACATTAAGACCCTCAAGGAACCCGTGAGCAGCCCCATGTGCTGATTCCCGATAGGCCTCTCGAAAATGGAATGATCTTCTTCAGAGAAGAGGAAATTAAGGTAGATTATTCAGATGATTTGTTTTAGAGATGTACGCATTCTAATTGGTGGCAGATTTTGATAAACTCTGCGAAAACTAATTTTCGCGCTAACATCCCGCGCCTTTGGCAAAACGAGAAGCCTTTTCCTTCGTTGCAAATGAGACGAACAGCCTTATTCTTTGTTAAGCATCAAAGCTAGAATGTGTCGTGTTGGAAATTTTGTCAGTACACAGCCAATTTTAGATATTACGAGAGTGCAAGCTTTTGTGACATAAATTGGTTCATTTCACATTGCATGGAGAAGCAGAGGGGTAAGAATCGCGAATAGCAAATTGAACACACCCACATTAACAATCGATGATAAAGCAGCGAAAATGCGTTTATGATGACGTCATCTATGTGTCAAGAAGCAGTCAAGGTGAGCGTGCGCAGCTTAGCTTATCATGTTAATAGATACAGAAACTGTCATTTTTACCGGTTATCAATCACGACCGAGAAATTTGGGTATTCTCTGTCACGAAAGGCATATCGAGATAGGAACACGCCCTGGAACACTTGTGAAATGACACTCAGCACTATCGTTGGTCTGAAAGGAATAAAATTGCAAAAAAAAAAAGACAAACAAACAAAACGAATGAAACACCAGAGAGACAATGTAAACAATATATAAAACAACCTATTCACGTTATTCACTTACAAAAGTCCCTTTGCAATTGATAAAATCCAATCGCGTATCATCTTATTATTGCTTGGAATGAAAATTAGAAGGAAGCCCAATTCTGACAACACGGAAAAACCTGCAAAGAGATTAATTTTGACCATGATTTTGAAATTGCTCAATTACAGGACCTGATCAGTTCAAATGTTTTATTGATGCAGTGCTGAACTGGTTGGAAATTAAATTCATCCATTTTTTTTTTTTTTGGGGGGGGGGGAAATAAAACAGTTTTGGAAACAAAAGTAGCAAAATTTGCCACATGATACTCTTTGTCTCACATTTTACTGCAATTTGATTGGTTACTTTAAACAAGCCTTGAAATCTGATTGGTTGTTTTGTTTTTAGTGTAGTCTCCTCGTTGGCTAGGAAAAAGATGCGACTTAAAGCAAAAAATGGTGCGATTCATGAATAAATCGCACCAATTAGAGCTAATCAGATTACAGGGACCACCAGTTATTTCAAAATGGGTGTCATAAAAATAAATAATTGGAATTACAGCTTTTGCATTGCTTTTATTGATTTTAAGGTTGAGCAACACTAGTATGGGTTTTATTGTAGATAAAGATCTTAGCTTTGAAGCACACTGAGATATTTATGTAAGAAACTGTCAAAACGACTTGGACTTTTGAGGCTTACTAGTCCTTATCTCTATTAGTCCTGTTTATTATAGTAAAAACTTGGTTAATCAAGTTATACGTTTTGTCTGAAAAAAGCAGAGGGTTTTTACAATTAAGTCGAGTAATTAAGTTTGCTTAGGTCCAAATAATAAACAAATTGTCTATTTTCGACCTTTACGCAGTGTGAAGAAAGCGTTAAGTATTTACAAAGTGTGACAGAGGAGTTAAACATGCGTGAAACTTTTTGGAAGTTATGTGCACGTGTTTAGTGGTCACAGATTTAGTATTAAATCATTTCTACAATTATCGTTATTATCTATTGATAGGGATGGTGGTTATCATTGGAGCCACTCGTGGGCCTGTCCTAATTAGGTTCGGCGACTTTTGAGCTACTTTTGGCGTTGGAGCAACTTTTTGCAGTCTTAGCGACCTACAGCACTTATCAAGCACGAAGAAGTCAATGATTTCACAGAAAACTCCAATTTATACGAATTTCTTAAATGTTTATCGACCTTTTGAATAAATAGCTTGACACTTGGCAACGTTTCGTCGACCTATTGCGATCTTTGTCTAATATTGTAATTGTAACGGATAATTGACCAACCGTTAGACTTTAGAGTTTCCTTTTCTTTGTCCTGTTTTCAAGAAAAATACAGAAGGAGGCCGGACTTTTAGCCTATGAACTATTAGAAATTGGAACGAACTGTCTTTTGACGTAAGTAAAATGAAAAATGTTAAATCTTTTAAAAAGAAACTGCGTACTAATTTAATCGATGAGCAAAGAAAGATAGGAAATTTGTAATATCTTTTAAGTATTTAGGTAGTCTTTTCTATCGAGTCTTATTTTTAGATAGTTAATAGTTTTTCAATAGTTAAGAATTCTAAATAAGATTCTAGATAGTTTTTTAATACTATTTTTGTTTGCATCTTAAATTGTACCTATGGATAATTTTTATCTTTCTATAATGACAGTGTATAATTATTCACGTTTTATAGAAGGCCACAAGTTTATCAGGTTTGTTATAATTGTCAGGTGTCTACCCTCTTTAAATAAAGGCGTTACCTTACCTGGTGTGTGTACGGAACAAATGTTTAAGCTCTCACATTGTTTTAAGTTGAAAATTCCATACATACCAATCGCGGCATAGGCGACTTGATATCCAGTATAACCCAGACTTTCTCCCTTCAAGACAAATATTCAGCAGTAAGGCAAAATGTACGTGACCTCTTTTAAATCATCATCGTTATTATGATCGCGACCATGACTATGAACGCAGCTGTAACTGTGATCTTGACCGTGACCGTGACCGTGACCGTGACCGTGACCGTGACCGTGACCGTGACCGTGAAGGTAACAGTGAACGTAAATGTCAATGTGAACGTGTCGTGTTTTGGCTGTTATCGTTGTATTAAAACATCATTAGGTCATGCAAGGGGAAAATTCTCAATTTTCTGGAAAAGGCTGAAAGCTTTCCAATCTTTCAAATCATCTTGCCCTTTATTTGAGAACAGATATCAGTGGAAGGCAAAGGTTAGTCATTTCCTCCTTAATTTTGATATGAGCGTGGAAAGCAAATTTATCGCCATACCACATAAGAGGCCGGTGAGAGGCAAACGTTTTGCATTAGACGTCTATCTCCACGGTAAAGCTGGAGCATGTGGTCCCTATGAGAAAGCATTACAATAAACCTTACAATAACCTCTCTGTCCGATTTCAACAGAATGCCTAAAAACTAGTGAGCATTGTGTTTATATCATTTCAAAAGTCGACTTCAAGCCACGAGTCAAGTTCGAGTCAACTAAATTTTCCCCTCCTCGTAAAATGACATCGTAAGGCGATACACTATGTTTTGGTCGCCGAAAAAGCTAAACAACATCCAGCATTCTAAATTGGTGCTAAGCGTTCTTAGACTTCTTTCCATGATACAGACTTGTTGCAAAGTTTTTTGAAACGTTTCAAATGATGTTATTGTCCATTAAGACATATGGCGATAACCACAACTGATGGTCTGACTACAAAAAGTTGAACTCGGTAACTTTTAATTTCTTCTTCATGCATACCACTCAACCCTTATCATACGTTATGTATTCCACACATTATGTAACATGGCTCGCTTTGAAAATTTTGACCTTTTTTGAAATTTTGAAATTTGTTGTTTTTTTCACAATATTTTGTTTTTTATTACTCATGACCTCCCCCTCTCCTTCTCATTAGCGGTAAATTAGCAGTCAGTTATGCATAGTCCTCCTTTATTCTCTGTTAACGACGACTGACCCCCCTCCGTTCCTCCCTGAAAACCATGTGACCCCCCCCTAAATTCTTCTACTCAACCCCCCCCCTCCCCCCCCCCCTTCGGGGATAAGTGATAAATGGACCTTAAGTAAACTTATATATTCTCACTTCAGAGCATTGGCCTCTTAGAGGTGAGCGAATTGTAAAATCGGAGACTCTCAAGATTGAGATTTAGCAGGTGTACCTCTACAACTTCTCATAAATACCCCGGATTTGGTGCGTTAGAACTGCGATAATATTTCTGTTGTTGTTTTTGTGTGTGTGACATATCAGTTACAACTTCGCATAATTTTCAGACGCCAAAGCTCATACGCGTACTTAAGTCGTTCTCAATAAAATCTGTGACATACCTTAGCTCTAATGCCCTAACCATACAGAATTACAAGTTTTGAAAGAAATACTGACAAGCGATCGAGATCGGACGGTGTCTTAATGGAAATTTAACAGTGGGCATTCCATGTGGTGACTATCCTTTTTCACTGTTTCCAGGAGCAAAATCTGAAAACCTGGAGAAAAATCCCTCAAAGAATATCACGCTAGGTCCGGGAATCGAACCAGGGTCGAAACGGAGGGAGACGAGCGCTCTCACTCAGTTCTGCGCCATCCCAGATCCCTCATAAAACTTAAGCGTCCTGTTGAACATTTATGGCCCTCACGAACACGTTTAGGAAACTAATCACACGCACCTGTGGCACTTCATGAAATGAAGTGTTGTTATGATATAAATCAGAGCTGCGAAAATGTGCGATCCGTAAAGACAACCTAAAATCAAGAAATATATAAATCTAGCCAGTAGAAAATAGAAAACTAACCTAGCCTGTCCAAGCAAGCAATTGGGTAGTAAAACAGCGGAATAGTGAACGGCACATTTGTACTCCCCCGGTGCAATTATAGCAGCTGTGAAGCAAAAACAACGAGGGGGACTTGGGTCTGGTCACATGACAATCCCGAACCAAACCTTCCTCGGTTTCACCCTGCAACTATCGCACCGTTTACAATCGTTTCATTAACTGAGCGCCAGGAAAAAGCTTAAATAGCTCCTGATACTAGAGCTGACTCCCTCGATACGACGTCGCAATGGAATTCTCCTCGCTATGTGGGAAAATCGTGGTAGAAGTCTCTTTTTGCATGATAAAGGCTTTTTACACAAGTGACTTCCTATCGCTAGAGCTTCAACGTTATAATCATCTCAGTGTCATTTAAAACGATTTTACCCCCTGCAATATGGCAAAAGTTTCTGAGGAGAGGGTCGATATCCTTACGTGGTCTTTTTTTTTTGTAAGATGTTCGGATAGAATTGGTCATGGGGTGAGAGTTTCGATGAAATGCCTTAGAAAATACAGCCTATCAGAATGAAGTATGTCCTATTAGAAATATGATAATGAAGAATGGTAATGTGACTAATTATTATGGAGCAGTTTCCGCGGATTTTAATATATTCAATAGTTTTATGAAGAGGTTTGATTAACTGACTAATGGACTGGGTGACTAAAAGACTGATGAAAGATTGTCCGCTTCACATGGTCAAGTCGATCAAGGCTTTGAACTTGAAAGATTTTAGGAAGCAGGTAAATTATTATGTTTTACTGCTAATGCATCACCTCTCTGTATATCCCCCTGAATGCCTATAATTTTTTCCCACCATGTGAGCAAAAATATTGAGACCTACATACAAGAAAGAGAGATAGAGTATTAAGGAATCATTTCATGACAAATATTTGCTATAAATAGTAGGGGTCATTAATATACACACTCGTGTCTGTTATAAAATTTGAATCCTTGCCAAAGACAAATCGAAATGGAGAGAATGAAGAAGTCCATTCCAAATCGATAGATAAGACATCTTCTGATACACTGAGTACTTACTTCAAAGACAGCTATCCCGACAAGAAACACTGTTGATATCAACTGAGTGGAGAACTTAAAATCTGAAATCAAAGAAGTCGTCCATTTCATTAGTCCAATCCATAAGTCTAGCTTTGAGCTCATTATTAAAAAATAATATCAAAATGAATGAAAAAAAGAGATAAATAAGTCAGGGTCCATAAACGATACGAAAAGCATGAAGTAAAAAACAATAAATCGACCTAAAATACCAACGTTGTTTATTTTGTAACGAAATACCATACACACCTGCCCTTGGTATGTAAAAAAAGTGGAGAACCTTCCAGTACCACTCTGACTTGTTCGGGTATCTGAAAAAAATATGGGAGAAGATACTGCTGACAATAATAAAAACTCAAGGACGATAATAATAACTCAAGGAAAAGGACAAGGACAAGGAAAATGACAACAAAATTTAACTGTTTTAGTCGTACATTGAACAGGAGTTTTTTAAAAATATCTTACATCGGAGGTTTTTGCCCTAAAATGAATTTCACGTGAAGAACGTCTGAATCATGAACCAGTGAGCGGGAGCAGGAGTCCTTTTCCTAAAGAGAAAAATTTTTAGGGACGGAATTAAAATAATTACTCATACCTGCAATCCTTTAAATTTGTATCCTCTTGTCGCCATTTCCGCCTGTTTTTTTCTAAATTCTTGAATTCTCCCATATTTCAAGACATTTTGTAATTTTCCTTTTTTAATTCGATTTTAAGGTGTCATTAAAACCTTGCTTAACGCTTTTCTTTGAATTTTATGATACCACTATTCCCTCATCGTACTTAGCTAAATAGGGAATGATCTAGAAACTCCAGACAAACGAAGACACGTGCACAAATTACACACTTCTGTATCTGCTGTAAAGGGACGAAAACATACATGTGTGCAACTCTAACTTACAGCTGACTCTGTAGAAGATACAGACCACATCTGTCGAACTCGTCGAACAATAAGGAAAGCAAATCGCGTTGTTATAAAGATAAGGCACAGTGTTGTCGGCAGGTTATGAATAATCATTATTCCATAGGATCCTGTTTTCTAAAAAGAAAAGAAACATATGAGTAACTTAAGTCATAAAGGCCTGGGTTTTGTTCCATGACTGATTAAATCTAATTTAAAGCCAACTGCAATAATGGCACTGGAAATAACAGCGAACAAAAAAAAACTGGGGGAGTGCTCACTAGCCTTTTCTACTACAACAAATACTTAGTATAAAATATTCCACGCCCTTTCAAAAACCTGACTTCCGAAAGTTGTTCATGGCTTGAGAACGATTACGCTTTTTCAGCGTAGTATATAAAAATCGCTAAAAACTATCCTAGTATTTATATTACTATTTTGGATGGTTTAACTCTTTCTCTGTAATCCATTTCCTTAACTTCATTTCATCGTTCATAAAAATACAGCAAGCAGCTTTATCTGCATGACCATAAGGAAACACAAGTAGTACATGCTTGCTTATGCATTCCAAACTAATACCTTATCGGCAACATGGCAACATATCTGTGTTGCAAGTTGAAAAGAAAACCTGAAAGAAAGCAATGAAATTCAATGAGGTATGTTTCATGTGGCCTTCGCGGCAAGCTATCGAAATACTGGCGGGATTGTGACCTGGTAAGGCATCTCGACCAAGAAAAGAAAGAAAATATTCCTTACAACATAGCGCGCGCAAGTCCTGTCTAATTCCTTAAAAGCTACCATGGTAAAAATCTTTATGAACACACAGCCGTGCATCCATAACATGACGTTTACAGTTTCACTTAGACTGAAAGTCCCCGTCGAGCTTAGCCGCGAGGTTTCAAAACTTTCAAGATTTTTTTCCGATCTATCGCAATGGACCTTTTCCAGCTTCAGATGAAAAGAAAATATGCTTAATAAATTCGCTTCGCATAACAATGAGCATGTAGCACTTTCAAGCGACGAAATTAGAGTTCAAGTTGATGATATTTCATTCCCACACGCGATGCGAATTATGGCTGCAAACAAAACTGAGTTTCCTCTACTCAGCTAAGGCTTTGCGGCGTTGGGAACTCTTCACTAGAATTGTAGATATCATTTTGAGGTGTTGATACGGTCCAAAAGTGTTGTTCAATGGTAGATTTTGTTTTGAAATCGAACAATTCTCAGAATTTTCGGTACAAAGCTACGCAACTTTCTGGTCATAAATTCTTGTAAACAATAATTCAAGCGGGTAAAACTCCCACGCGGGTCTCGAAAATACAAGAAATTTGTAAGTTTTTCGCATCGTTTTTCGAACGGTTCATATTATTTTCAAGTGTTGACATTTCCTAAAATTACTGTTCAATAGAAGATTTTAATTTTAAAACAAAATTTTCAAAAATTTCACCCCAGAAGCTGGAGTTTCAGTTGGCTGCGCCTCGAAAAACTCTTACGCTTCTATCGTGTTCTGCAAACATCCCGCGTGGTGCATTCATAACTCAATATACGCACGCATGGACCAATTCTTTAGAACTCAGCTTGTTTAATGTAAAGAAACCTGCATCAACTTCCAGGAGTTCTGGTTTTTTTTTGTAGCCTCAAACCCAAAATTAAAGTTCATATCTCATGAAATCGCATATTTTCAACTCATTGATGCAATTGAAAACTAATGTCAAAAGTAATTTCGAAGTTTCACGCAAAACAACCTCTATAAAAGAAATTTTAAAAAATTGAGATGATCGGAATTTCCACTCTGTCCCACTGATGTAGATGATATCTGACATAATTAACTAGGGTAAAAAATCTCATAATTTAAGACAATACTCACGTACATACCTCAACACACCATAAAGAAAGCCAAGGATAGAACCAACGAACTTGTATTCAGTTGTGAGGCAGACAAAGTATGGATAGAATAGTATTGTACAAAGGAGGACGGCCAACAAAACGTCAATAACTGAGTAAAAAGACAGAAAAATATTGCTTGTAGTTTCAAAAAATGATTCTCGGACCTTATATACTTCTTTGAGTACCATAGAACAACTCTTTTAATTCTGGGCTCTTGGTCGTCTCCTAGCAGTGGTTGTTTGTGTCTGTGTGTGTGTTCTTGTGTACTTGTTTTGCTTTTGCTCTCAATTTCTTTTTAAAATTTATGTTTTGTTAGCTTGTTTGAATGTTGGTTTTGTTTGTTTTAGAGGCCTAATTTTGCCTCTTTGTAATGATTTAGTTTTGAATTTTGGAATGGTATTACAGGTTTAACTGAAACCTTTACTAATATGTCTATGCGCTTGTTGTGATGCATATGATAGTTCTGTAAATTGGAGACTACAAGGGTTTAGCCTTCTATTACAGAGCGGTTTACTGGAACCTGGATTAGACATGCATCGTGCATTATGCGTCTTACAGAGAGATTTCTGAGGGTGAGTGTTTTACTGTATTTTTTTATCTGAATTTTTTTATCTTCTCCTTTTCTCAGGAAATACTCTGTAATAATCCTTACTGCCAACACAATTAAGAAATTCGATCATAATAGCGTTAGAGTTACTTACTTTCTACCCAGGGAGATTCCGATGGGACAAACGAGATGCTGTTGCCTCCACCCAATGCCATGGTCATAACAGTGCTACCTGTGGCTCCAAACGCAGCAGCAATAGTCCATCTGTTACTAAGACCACCAAGAAAGTTCATCGGTCTAAAAAAGAATGATACAGATATGTTGTCCCATTCAAAAATTGTACTGCTGTGCGATCAGAAGCCACAAAACCAGCAACTTGTTGATAAACTGGTGAGCAGGTGTCATTTTTGCGCGCAAATGCTCAGCATTGTCTCGGTGAAAATTAAAGCGGCCATCTTTGATTCCTACAGCAGCGGAAGGCTGGGAAGAGAAAGGAATTTCAACCAGGGGAGGTGGGCGATGGTCAAAACGAAGGAGAGGGGAGGGGAGGGAAGGAGGGACAGCATAGAAAAATAAGACAGTTGTCGACGAAGGTGACTGATATCTCGAAGACCAGAGTGGAAGGAAGGCGGTGGTCAGTTGAAACAACTTAAGGCACCTATACTTGAAATTTAGAGTCAAATAACACACTTTTACATGTGATAGGCAAGCTTTTGAGACACGGTTTCAGCTTTGAACCTTTGGCTTTTGAATTTTGGGGGTGAATTATACTCAAGTTGTGGCGTCCATCTAGATTTGAATTATTTTGCAACGTAAAGACTTTTCATAATGTACGGGATCAGTTATAATGCAAAGGAAGACGGCTCCGAATGGAACAAATCACTGGGGCTGAGGCTTTTATCTGTGTGCGTGTGCGTGGGTGTGTGTGTACGTGCGTGTGTGTGTGTGTGTGTATATGTGCGTGCGTGCGTGAATGTGTATGGGGGCCAAATCGCTCAAGTTCTAGATTTGCTATGAAACAATTATAAAAATATCTATTTTCATAATCGAACAACATACATCAGTAGTCCAGGGCGCCCATCCCAGAGCTCCAATTTCAACTTAGTGCGTCGCTTCAGGAATGAAAGAGCTAAAATAATAACCAACTGAAAAAAAAAAAAACAGAAAGAAAAATTGGATGCTTTTTTTTAGAATGAATCTTATCTCATAGATTACACAAACAACACCGAATGAGAAGAACAATTAATTCCCCATTGCCTATTGTTCCACCCATTGCCGGAAAGTTGCGGCGCCACACAAACGCGTATTGCACACAGGCTAGCGACCTTTTCTTACAAGTTTTATCATTATGATTTTTCAACAGACATAACTAAGAACACTTAAATTATTTACAGGGCTATTGAAAAGGGAGACATTCTCTCTCTCTCTATTCGAACTTTATTAAATAATGGCTCCTTTCCAAGTCCATATCCACACGGTAAAGGGCAAAGAAAAAAGGAAATCCGCTATCGCTGCCGTTTATGTCGTCGTCATAATTATCATCATCATCATTATCATCATTATTATTATTATTATTAAAATCTTCACCCTCTTCAACGTCATTATCGTTATCGTTATTATTATTTCTGTAATCATTACCCAAAAAAATATACAGAATTGAACAGAGCACTCACTGCGGGAGCAAGACATCCAAACTCAAATTTTCTTTGCTGGTGGAGAGCCTCCAAACAGCTACAACAAGAGAAAAAAGAAATTTAGTAGCTCATGGATCCATAACTATCATTACGTATCATCTCATGAATGGAGTGAAAAAAGGCTCTATCGAATATATTGCATGTGGGGCACGACGCGAGTGTAGTATCCTAGCTAAAGCACTAAAAACAGTAACGAGAGCCATATATAAAAGATCTGTAGTTAGAGTCACGCGGAGGTTGCTTCGCTATGTAAATGTTGACCGTTCCACATATATCCAGAACTGAATAATCAAACGGTTACTGATTGAATTCTTTCAATAAGGGGCAATGAACCGATGAATGACAATGGCAATCAAAAGCGAGTGGAGTCCAATTTGGTCTGTAATCATGCAACCGTGAATCGGTGGTGCGATTTTTTGATTAATGGTATTAGATTTCTGACAGAAATGAATGAAAAAATTCCTACAAAACTTTCCATTTATAAGCATGGTGCATATGGAACAAATGGAAGAAGAAACTCTCAAATTAGTGGGGATATATTTGCAGCTTTAAAACAGTAGTTGGCCTATAAATAAACTAGTCTAAAGAAGTTGTTATCAATATTTGCGTATTACAAACCGAGCATGAAGCAACCAAATTGAAATCTTTAAACATTGCGTTTGTGAGAACAGATCCATTCACTTTTCAGCCAGAGACTTTGCCAATAAGCTCTTGAATTCATTGGCACCTTTCGATGTTATTTCTTCTCTTTTTCTCTAGCCGACTTGAGGAGCTTTGCTTTGAGACACTTCCCGCCATGTCAGTTCACGTGCGGTATCAAGTCTTAGAAACTTTTTCAACGAGATGTATGTATTCGATAAACGAGACACATTAACAACTTGTTACAACTTTTTCTATCACTTACTCATTCTCACTTGTCGCATCTGAAGCCATTATGACTGCTTTTCTGAACCCAGTAGGTTTCTGCTTTGCTGAATAAAACTTGTCTAATTTTAGATGGCTCCCTCCCTGGGGTTTTTTGACCGCGCGAGATCTGGACTCCAACGACACCCAATGTATTTATAGGCTTTTTACGCCTGAAATAGGCCAACACAACACCCGTGGCGCGCTCGATCGCTTCGAAAACTAGGAAAACAGGGGAATCATTACGTAAAGGCCACAAAATCTGGTCAACGAAAACTGACTTACGAAGACGGCTGCAAGGAAAAGGAACCACCTACAAAACGGGCTCTAAGGTTATCTCGGGTATGTAACCTACGATGTTAGGGCTATTTGCTTTTTACCGTCCTCGGAAGGTAAACATTATTGTTCTGATCGCAAAGTAAAGGTCTCAACAGTGGCTCTGATTTCCACCAACAGGCGGCAGCTGAAAATCTAGTGGTTGATAAACAAACTTTTGCACAAGGCCTCAAGGAATGTTTTTTCTGTAAGCGTGGTAAATGTGAATAATTTTTATTTTTACAACAATAATAACCGAGTGACACGCACTATTTGCCATAGAGCAGCATTTCGATGATGCTTGCCAGGATTCCTCGAAATGCAACTTTATAATACAGGGCCACTGACGTCCAGTAGTGCTTGTGTTCGTTGTCTAAGAATTTCGCAAGTCCGAAATAAGAATGCCAAATGACTACTCGTGGTCCTCGATTCGAAAGGCTACGCATGCTTAGATACCGATCTTGGCGCATTTCTATTCCATTACGTAATGTTTTGCCACAAAGAAAATAGGTATCTTTCAAGTAAAATTTATCGTGTTTTCTTCGATGAAATTTCGTATGATTTGTTGGACCATTAAGCATATTTGTGTCCTTCCTAGTGCCTGTTAATAAAAAAAATTGATGGGCCCAAATTTGAGATAGAGGAAAAAAGGACAAAACTGCAAATAGCGGGAAAACTGCCTTGTAACAGCTATTTTTTGGGGGGGCTTTTAAATGATCGGCAGGACAATTTTCACTACTTGCGGAAATTTTGAGAGATTTCACCGAAGAAACTTGAAGAAAATCAAAGGCAAAACCAAATTGTCATTGGCGAGCGCCTCCCTTCGTGGAGCCTTGGCTTAATAACTTAAATTATTTTCTTAATATTTACTACAGCAAACGATAGTCCAAACCTCGCTCATTGGCTTTGAAGCTGGAAAAGAAAAACATATTTTTTTGGTGAATATTTTTGTCCGACATACTTTTCCTATGTCGAGAAGTAGCATCAAAACAAAGACCGTTTTAACAATGACCGATATGACACAATCTACTGAGCTTCAAGCTTTTAAAAGACCAATGGATGGTCATAAATTAAAGTTACTGTAAAAAACTTCCTCGTGTATTTGTGTTGTTCTATCTTGAGACGAACTCAAAGTCCGGCAAAATTTACTTGATAGCGACTATGAAATGTACATGGTGCGCCTGCTTGTCGCCACCGTTAACTGGCATAAATCACTGCAATTTGTAAAAAAGTCTGACGTAACACTCTTACCTTGTTCATTTATGATTTTATTAGCCGTTTCGATTATTATATTACGCCTGGGTATTACTTTTTGACAGGAGCTCAGGTTTTTCGTTGTGTTTTCCCCTCCCTCATTTATATTATAAGCTAGTCACGCAATAATTGATACCGACACAAGTAAATATTTACCATTTATAAAGATTTTTGTTCACGTTGAATTGAAAATATTAAAATATCTGCTTTCTTCACTAATCGTTGTTTCAGCGGCAGAGAAGTAGTTAAAAGCGGGTTGTTGCTTCAACGCTACTGAAATTTTTAGTATTCCGACAGGCGAGCAAAGCGTGATGCTCTGGGAACAAAAACTTTTAGGAGCCTTTTACATGATATCCGAATGAGTTTTGTACAAGAACGAGTTCATACCGGTTGCCACACAATAACCAGCGTAAAATTTATTGGAAATGAGTCATTTCTGAGTGAGTTTATTGGGGTTTTCATTACAGAACGAAACACTCATTCTGGACAACCTTTTCTACCTGTACAATGTAAACGCGGCACGGCTCTCATATTTGTATGAATCCTCTGTAGGAGCGAGGGAAGCATCGAAAAAGACAGAAAAGGACATAAACACTTGTTTTTACAGGCTAATTGTTGCCACTCCCACACGGATAAGACTTAAGCACCTTTTATGATTTTCTAGCGGTCGTTTTTGAAATTCCAGGCGCGCACCCCCGCCCTCTTATGTAAAGGGGTTCCCTGGGGGTGCTAATACGTGCAGCACATTTGACATTTAGCAAGGACAAATTCTGATGTGATTTGGGCGAAGAGAAACATGTTTTGTCAGCGTCTAGTTGCTAGTGCAAAAGGGCCCTTTACCACTGTGTGCATAATTACGCGTCCCCCCAGACGACTGAAAGCCAACAAAGTGTTCAGACATTAGCTCAGAAAACTCCGCCTCTGTCTAAATTTTTGGTAGCCTATTGACCAATTCCCAATCGAAACTGAACTCCGACGTCACGCGTAATTTTGCTCACGGTGGTAGGTAGCCTACTTACCAAAGCCAGATTGTACGCATTTTCCAGACATCTTGAGTATTATCTGTGATAAACGCTTGCCAATTCCCCTATCAGCTTTTGGAATCGACTTAACCCTACCTTTACCACGGCCGGACATTTCTTTTGGCACCCTTCATCTGCTATTGGAACCACGATTCCACCCAACGCCGAGATTTGCTCTGTGTGTCGGGTAATTTGTAAAATCATCGATATCTTTTGGCGTCTCGAAGATGCCGGCACGCGACAAAACAAGATCAACTTCATTTTCTGGATCTGAAAACTTGCAACTCCGCAAGTGACTTGAAATGTCTTTTAAACAATCACGCAAGGGAATGACTTGGTCTTCTCAATAACTAAACCCACAAGTTCCACCAGCGAACGATTTAACTAAATAGCAAATCTCCATGTCAGCGTGTAAGATGAGACACTTATAAAACAGATCAGTTAGGTAAATCAGTATTTGGCTTGTCCATCAAATTGACTACTGTAACCATACTTTGACTTCAGCCGGCAAAGGAATCATTGATGGATCTGGACATTTTAGTTTTCTGAATGCAGTTATTCCTGAAAGTTTTTTCTAGATCTCATGCAAAGAGGAAAAAAAAACCATCTCTTCGCATTTCGGAGGTTTATTCATCTTTGAATTTCTGTGTCACGCTTGTCACGCAACTGATAAAATAAGTTAGAGAAGATATATAAACTGGAACTCGAATCTGTCTAGAATGTGGTAGAGCATAATAAACGTGATCATCGAAACAGCTATTAAAATCATAAATGAACAAGGTAAGAGTGTCATGTTAGATTTTTTTGCAAATTGTAGTGATTTATGCCAGTTAACGGTGGCGACAAGTAGGCGCACCATGTACATTTCATAGTCGCTATCAAGTAAATTTTGCCGGACTTTGAGTTCGTCTCAAGATAAAACAGCACAAATACACAAGCTTAGGAAATTTTTACAGCAACTTTATAGCCATCCTTTTGTCTTATAAAGCTTGAAGATCAGTAGATTGTGTCATATCGGTCATTGTTAAAACGGTCTTTGTTTTGATGCTACTTTTCGACATAGGAAAAGTCTGTCGGACAAAAGTATTCACCAAAAAGTATATATTTCTTTGCCAGCTTCAATAACGACAGAGGATTAAGTTTAGATGATAAAACAAAGGACTATGTTAACAGAAATACCGTGGGTCCGTGGGTCTCACAATTCGTTGCATGAGGCCACACAATTCGGGTAATATTCACGGTGAAAATTTGCATATTTGAGCGGTCGAACGAAAAAAATTATTTCTCGAAAACTAAAATAAATTTTTACAAAAAAACCTACACCACAATTACTAGAACATATCGGGCTACAAACTATGAAAGTAGGAGGGAAAACAAATTTGGGTGACTTGCCGCTGTTTGTTCGATGCATGCTGGCATTAGCTCCTAAGAAAAATCCAAATAAAGGTTAATCTCACCGTTACTTGTCCCCAGACTGCAAAATTATCAACCTCGTAGCCGAGTAGTCGTTTTTATTGCATAAATATAACATAGAACACAACATTAACTGTACTTGTTTCAGCACTGTTAGACCTCATTGTTATTTAATATTAGACTGTCTACCTTAGTCTTAGAGACACAGTCGAACTTTAAAAGTTTCACGATGATAAACTATATCAAGAAAAACAAAAGAAAATGTTCTGTTACATTTTTACATGATAAGCAATTTTTTTCGCGCCGTATTTAACTTGAAGCATAAACCTAACATAGAATATACAGCTGTTTCGAGAGAGGTGGTCGGATAAAAAGCGTAAACATGCACACGACAATGCAACCACTAAAGGTATTGTGGATAGTTTTTAGGTCACGGCACCTAGAACTCAGGATGCAAGGGAAATCTGAGAAACGTCAGTGTACGGACGAGGTGCAGAGAGTTTGATTTACTAATTTATTTTCTTTCACTTATTACGAGCGACGGTCGCGTGCAGTTTTGTCCACTTTTTTTCTGATAAACTTTCTCGAAACAGCTATATACCTTACAGCACTTAGCTATTACAATGCCCCTCATTTAATCCTTAAATTATTTATGTGCTATGAGCTAAACGTGAATATTAGACCATAGAATCGACTAAAACTGCAACTGAAGACGTATCGACCTCACTTTGTTCAATAGGTACCGAAAAGGAATGGTGACGATACTGTATTAGCGTGGGATTACGGAGAAGAGTTACAGCCAGAAGCCAGCGATTGACTACCCTCTGTGCCAGGCGTGGGTGGCGGATTTCGCGTTTGAATCCTGTTTCAAAGTACATAAACTGTATTACTGAGGTGCATTTGAGAAAATCCAAACTATATGTAGACTCCCTTAAAAACGGAACTCATGCACTGTCCGGTAAGGCTACGATACATTAATTAAGTGACATACCAGTGACTTGCTTTGGCTCCTCAGCGTTGTTTGGCTGCACAGAAATGCTGGAATGCCCTGTGACGGACAGATTTTTAAGTCAGTTTGTTAAACACAGCTATATTTAGTTGTAGAGGTGCGCGCAATCTGATTGGTCGAGGATTGCGTCATATCTCGCCTTAATCACTTCGTTTCCAAGGAAGTGATAAATGTGAGAGGAAAAAAATGTCAATTGAAAAAAGCACAAAAGATGCTATCATACTGAGTTTGGTGGAACACGGCTTCCAATGGCATTAAATGACACTGTTAAATTTTCTTTCTTATGTACGTAGATACGAGTAATCAACACAGTTGTAACAAAATATGCGAAATGCTTTCTTTCAGTTTAAATAATTTGCAAAGTTATTCGAAAGTACCTGAGCAACTGTACTAAATGTTATTCGCCTCAGGTTCAGTGAACATTGATACGGGAATTATTCAACAGTATTCACTTCGCCTTCGGCAAATAATTGTTAATAAAAGACAGTTCGGGTGAGAAAAATATCGGAATAACAGATAGACGGACAAAAAGAGAGGCAGACTGAATAACTGACACGCTGACACATTTACTTATTGCTTATTGACTGACGGACTGACTGACTGACTGACGGACGGACTGATGGACTGACTGACTGCCTGATTGACTGACGAATTGATTCACTTGGTTACTGACCGAGCGACTGATTGTCTGATTAACCAATCCTTCTCGAGTTGATACTCTCAATGTGTTCTTCTGAGATCAGAAGAATTTAATTTCTTAAAAGTTGCTTACGCTTCTCCTCCGAAGTTGTCGCCTTGTTGCTTTCAATGAGCAATTGGCAGAACATTAACACAACAGGGTGTCTGTGGGCTACCAACACATGAAGAAATCCAAGATACGCAACAAAACCTGTTCGTTAAGTTGAAGGGAAAATGGGCGTTAGATAGGGATTCATCTGAAGTCTGCGTTGCTGTTGAGGTCCTTTTAGTTGAGGGATGGCTAAAGTATCTTTACCAATCATAATTTATCACTGGGGTGGAGAAGGGGAAAGAGGATTTTGCAAGTGATCGCATGGCTTTCAGTGGGGGAGGAAGGGGAATCAGTCGTCTCTTACAGAGTTGAAAGGGGGGAACTATAGCAAATTGACTGCCAATGAGGATTAAAGGGGGAATTCATTAGAATACAACGGAGTCTTATTGGGGGTCGGGTAGATTATATTGTGACACAACCAAAATCCTCCGATCCCCTTCCCCCAGGCCAAAAATTATTAACAGTCCCTTATGCTGTGTTCCATTTTTATTCAAATGCTTTGGTAATTTGAGAAAATCAAACGCAGCAAGAAACAAAGTCTGAGAAGCAACAAGCAGTTACCCAATGTTTCAACTTTTTGGCAGAGATACAGCCGTTTGGCAAGCACTGAATGGCAGATGATAGGTACACGGAGGAATTAACTTTCTAAGCATGCGTTTTTTCGGAGAGCTTACCTTTGTCCCATCTCTGAAATCCTGGCATTAAAACAGTTCGGTCGAGACGCGAGAAGAAGAAAAGCCCGAGAATCATAGCTTTAGCTATGCGAAGAAGACCTGACAGGACTCCAACAATGGTGTTGAGGAACACGAACGCATACGACATGATAGAGAACAGTCGTCTGAAAAATGATTCCAAAACGAGAACAAAATAGAACAAAGTGAAACAGAAATAATGAATAGCTGTTTATAGTGAGAGGAACAATGTCGAGTAGAAAACGTGGCCTATTTTCAAGAAGGTAAACATAAAGAAGAGCGTCTAAGTGGGGTTAACCATTAGCGGTTACGTGGCGGAAAAATTAGCTGTTAGGCGTAAAAAAATGTTTTCCACCTACGATCTGTCGTTTCGAAAGTTTTCAAGTAAATGTCACTCGATAAAGGCCAAGACCGTCACGGAACCTGGAGGCAGCCCCATGTGCTGATTCCCGATAAGCCTCTTAAAAGCAGAATGATCTTCTTCAGAGAAGAGGAGAGGTAAATTATTCGGGTGATTTGCTATAGAGCTGCAGCATTCTAATTGGTTGCACATTATGATAAATTCCGCACAAACAAATTTTTGTGCCAACATCTCGTGCCTTTGGCAAGACGAGCAGCATTTTCTTTAGTTGCAGATGGCAGATGAGACGAACAGCCATATTCTCTATAAAGCGTCAAAGCCACTATCTTGGACAAATTGTGTTGGAAAATTCGCATACACAGCCAATGTTACATAGTGCAAGAATGCAAGCTTTTGTGACATAAATTGGTTCATTTAACGTTGCATGGAGGTAAAGAGGAGTAAGACTCACGAATGGCACACCCACCCTTAACGCCAATATAATCTCTAAGTAACACATAGACTTCATGTTAACTCGCTTCTGGTCAGTAGTAGCTCACAGCTGACTTTAAGTGCAGGCGTCTCATTAGGGCGATCTAGCGTTATAAGCTCGCGATCGTTCATCCGACCGGCCATTTTGATTTGGAGTTAGAGTGAACGCCACTCCTTATTTTTGACCGTCGACCGCCCCCTTGGTACAAATTTCTTTCTCTTCCCAGCCTTCTGTTGATATTAAAATCAAAGTTGGCGGCCAAGAAAATACTGAGCACTCGCTCGATAAAATTGCCGAGTGGTTCAGTGATTTTCTTACCATAAATTGGCATCTTTTGTGATCTATAACTGAACACAGCCACGTTAACAATCAATGATAAAGCAACGAAATGTGTTTATCATGACGTCATCTGTGTGAAGAACCAGTCAAAGTACGTGCGCAGCTCAGCTTATCACGTTATTAGAAACAGAAGCTGTTTTTTTTAAGTTACCTGTTGTCAATCACGACTGAGAAATTTGGGTATTCTCTGTCACGAAAGACATATCGAGATAGGAACACGCGCTGGAACACTCGTAATATGACAGCCAGCACTATCGATGGTCTGGAAAAAAAAAACAGCCAACAGCTAAACAAACAAAAACGATTTAAATACCTGAGGGAAAACGTAAACAACATATATGACAACCTATTCACATTATCAATCTACTTACACAAGTCCCTTTGCAATTGATAAAATCGAATCGCGTATTATCTTGTAATGAATTGGTAAGCTTAGAATGAGAGAAAGAAGGAAGCCCAAATATGACAACACAACAAAACCTGCAAAGAGAAACGAGCGAAAAATTGAAAAAACAATACTAGAGATCTGAATATCTCACAATTTGCATAGCCTGATTAGAAACTACTTTGCACTCTACGAAGCCTTGATTTAACACAAGAGGTGTTTAGAACATACGTGAAAGTTATGCAAACCCTCAACTTATTCCATCTCTTAATTATCTTAGGCAACGTAATAACGAAAAGAAACGTCCTCTTTTGCGTTAATAAAGGATCGCGCCAGATATGTTACTCTGGATGTTCCTGTGTAATTAATATTAAAAATGGATAATTGGAACTACAGCTTTTGCATTGCTTTTAATGCTTTTAAGTTTGAGGAACACCATACATACCGATCACGGAATAGGCGATTTGGTATCCAGTATAACTCAAACTTCTCCCCTTAAAGACAAAATATTCAGTAGTAAGGAAAAATGTACGTGACCTCCTTTAAATCATGATCGTGACCATGACGATGGACGTAGCTGTAACTGTGATCTTGACCGTGACCGTGACCGCAAGCGTGAACGCGAACGTGAAGGTGAAGGTGAAGGTGAAGGTGAACTTGACGCGTTTTGTCTGTTGTCGTCAGTTACATTCAACCATCTTTAGGTTATTCAAGGAGCAAATTCTCAATTTTCTGGAAAAGGCTGAAAGCTTTCAAACCTTTCGAATCATCTTGCCCTCCATGTAAGGTAATGTTTCAACAGATATCAGTGTAGGCAAGTGTTAGTCATTTCCTCTTTAATTTTGATAGGAGTGTTGAAAGCAAATTTATCGCCATACCACAAAAGAGGCCGGTGAGAGGCAAACATTTTGCATTAGGCCTCTATCTCCACGGTAAAGCTGGAGCATGTGGTCCCTAGGAGAAAGAATTACAATAGACGTTGTAACAATCTTTCATTCCGAATTCAAAAGAAAGCCTTAAAACGAGTAAGCGTTGTGTTGCAGGAAAAGACTTGCACAGCAAGAGTAATACCATCTCACGAGCCAACATTGAGCCCGAGTCAAGCTCGAGTAACGAGTCAAGTTCGAGTCAAGGAGCTATAGATCAATGCAGAATTAACCCTCACAAACGGCCGTCAAAAAGCTTAAAACTAGGTGCTCTTGTATCCCTCACATCATTTTGACACAGAAATAAAAAAAAAAAAAAGAGAAAAAAAATCTTAAAGTTAAAAGAAGGGAGTAATTTAAATTGACTCGAACTCGACTCGTGACTCGAACCCGAAATATTATAACTCGCATTGGGAATAAGGGACGTGTCATTTTTGATCACCCGGTGGCGGTGGGGAGGGGAGGAGGGAGAGAAAGGGGGGTGGTCAGAGGGTTTTTTTCCACAAACACGTATTGAGGTCGTTCTCAATAAAATATATGAGTTACCTTAGCTTTAGAGCTTTAACCATAAAGAATTACGAATTTTGAAAGAAATACTGACAAGCGATCGAGATCGGACAGTGTCTTAATAGAAATTTAGCAGTGGACATTCCATGTGGTGACTCTCCTTGTTCACTGTTTCCACGAGGAAAATCAGAGGACCCAGAGGAAAACAACCTTCAAAGCATTTAACACCGGATCCGGTAAAAGAACCCGGGTCGAAGCGGAGGGAGACGGGCGCTTTCACTCAGTACTGTGCCATCCCTGATCCCTCACAAAACTCAAGTGTCCTGTTGAACATTAATGCTCCACACTAACACGTCTAGGAAACTAGTCATAGATACCTGTGGCACTTCATGAAATGAAGTGTTGTTATGACATAAATCAGAGCTGCGAAAATGTACGATCCGTAAAGACAACCTAAAATCAATGTAAGAAATATATAAATCTAGCCAACAAAAGATAGAAAACAGACCTAAACCGTTCCAAACAAGCAACTGGTAATAAAACAGCGGAATAGGGAACAGCGCATTTCTAAACAGTGCGATTAAAGCGGCGGTGGAGCGAAAACAACCAGAGGAATTTGGTTGGTTCACGTAACGATCCCGAGCCAAACCTTCCTCGATTTCACTCGTCTGTAACTATTGCGTCGTTTACAATCGTTTCATTAACTGAGCGCCTAGAACAGGCTAAAATAACCCGTAATACTGGAGCTGACCTTCTCGATACGACGTCGGAATGGAATTCTCCTCACTATATGGAAAGAGGTCTCTATGTGCACGATAAAGGCTTTTTGCATGAGCGACCTTCTCTCGCTGAAGTTTCAAGTTCATAATCATCTCAGCACGATTTAGAACGATTTACCCTCTGCAATATAGCAAAATTTTCTGAGGAGATCTTCGACTCCTTACAAGGTCTTTTTTTGGTGAGGTGTTCTGATAGTAATGTTCACAGGAGTAACAGTTTCTAAGAAATGGCGCAGAAATTACAGCCTATCTGAGTGCAGTTATCCCATTTGACATATGACAATAAACAATGATAATATGACTAATTTTTATGAAGCAGTTTCCGTGGATCATAATATGTTTAGTCGTTTTCGGAAAAGTTTTGATTAATTGACTGATGGACTAAGTGACGAAAAGACTGATCAAATATATTAAAGTTCACATGGCAACCAGGTGGGCAATCAGACATGGTTTGATGCTACTCTGGTTTAAAGATTTTATGAATTTAACCGAGAAGGGTCTATGAATTGTAGGCTTTATCAATTCCTACGGTCTATGAACTTCTCGCTTACATTCATTAAATCTTTAAACCAGAGTAGCATCAAACCATGTCAGACTGATGAAAGATTGTCCGCCTCACATGGTCAAGTCCATCAAGGCTTTGACCTTGAAAGATTTTAGGAACCAGGTAAATTACTGTTTTACTACTTATACATCACCCCTCAGAGTAGGAAAACTCCAACCGAAACTCCTAAAAGTGCCCATAACATCTTCAAACCTCGTCAGCGAAAACACTAACACCTACATACAACAAAGAGAAATAGAATATATAGGAATCATTTTATGGCAAATAATTTTTTATAGATAATAAGTAATTAATATACACACTCGTGTCTGTTATAAAACTTGAATCCTTGCCAAAGACAAATCAAAATGCAGAGAATAACTCCAATTCCATATCGATAGACAAGGCATCTTCTGATACACTGAGTACTTACTTCAAAGATAACTATCCCGACGAGAAACACTGTTGATATCAACTGAGTGGAGAACTTGAAATCTGAAATCATACAAGTTGTCCATGTCATGAGTCCAATCTCTAAGTCTAGTTTTAAGCTCGTTATTAAAAAAAAATTGAAATAAATAAACAAAATGATAAATGAATCAGGGCCTATATACGATTGAAAATCATGAAGCAAAAACCAATAGATCGACCGAAAATACAAACGTTAATTGTTTATGTTATAATGGAATACCATACACACCTTGTCTTGGTGTATAAAAAAAGTAGAAGACCTTCCAATACCACTCTGTCTTGTCCGGGTATCTGAAAAAATTCCGAAGACGACACTGCTGGCAATAACAATAACTCTTATTCTGATCTATAGCTCACCATAACGAGAAGGAAAAGGACGAGGACGGGGACTTGGAGGATAAGGGCAAGAGCTAAGGCTAAAGTCGGGTTAGGTCAGGTCAGGTCAAGTGCAAAGACAAAGACACTAGAACAAGGACAAACCAAGGAGTAAGAGAAGGACTTGGACAAGGACATGGACAAAACGAGGATGAGGAGGAGGACGAGGATAAGGACAAGGACATGGACATGGACAAGGACAAGGACAAGGACAAGGACAAGGACAAGGACAAGGACAAGGGCAAGGGCAAGGGCAAGGGCAAGGGCAAGGGCAAGGGCAAGGGCAAGGGCAAGGGCAAGGGCAAGGGCAAGGGCAAGGGCAAGGGCAAGGGCAAGGGCAAGGGCAAGGGCAAGGGCAAGGGCAAGGGCAAGGGCAAGGGCAAGGGCAAGGGCAAGGGCAAGGGCAAGGACAAGGACAAGGACAAGGACAAGGACAAGGACAAGGACAAGGACAAGGACAAGGACAAGGACAAGGACAAGGACAAGGACATGGACATGCACAAAACAAGGAGAAGGAAAAAAGAGAAAATAGAAGCACAAAGACAAGGACAAGGACAAGAGCAAGGACAAAGCCAAGGACAAAGACAAGGTCAAAGACAAGGACAAGGACAAAACAAAGAGAAGGACAAGGACTAAGGCAAAACAAATCAAGACAAGGACATTGAAAGATAATGAAATTTAACCGTTTTTAGTCGTACACTAAACAAGAGCTTGTTTAGAGGACCAACTTTTGGAGCTTTAAAAAGATATTTTACATTAGAAGTTTTTGGCCTAAAATGAACTTCACGTGAACAACGTCAGCATCATGAGCCAGTGAGCGGGAGCAGGAGTCCTTTCCCTAGAGAAAAAGATTTGAGGGACGGTTACCAATACATTCAATCCTTTAAATTTGTACCTTCCTGTCGCCATTTTCTCCTGTTTGTTTATAAAGTCTTGAATACTCCCAGATCTCATGATATTTTGTGATTTTCTTTTTTATTTCGATTTTAAAGCGTCATTGAAACCTTGCTCCACACCCTCCTTTGAATTTTATGATGTTATTATTGCCTCGCCGTGCTTAACTAAACAGGGAATGATCTAAAAACTTCAGCCAGTCGAAGACACATGCAAAAAATTACACACTTCTGTACTTGCTGTAAAGGGAGGAAAACATAGATGTATGAAACTCTAACTTACAGCTGACTCTGTAGAAGATACAGACCACATCTGTCTAACTCGTCGAACAATAAGGAAAGCAAATCGCGCTGTTATAAAGATAAGGCACAGTGTTGTAGGCAGGTTATAAATAAGAAACATTATTCCATAGGATCCTGTTTTCTAAAAGGAAAAGAAATACATTAGTAAGTAAAGACATAAAGGCCATAATTTTGTTCCATGACACATTAAAATCTAATTTATAGCCAACTGCAATAATGGCACTCGAAACAACAGCGAAAAAAACATTCCCGGGGAGTGCTCTCTAGCCCTTTCTACATAAAACAAATATAAAGCAAAATTTATCCACGTATTATATTAGTATTTTGGATGACTTAACTCTTTCTCTGTAATTCATCCCCTTAGGTTTTAGTCGTTCATAAAAACATAGCAAGCAGCTTTATCTGCGTGATCATAAAGAAACACAAGTACTTCATGCTTGTTGATGCATTCCAAAACTAATACCTTATACGCAACGTGGCAACGTATCTGTGTAGCAAGTTGGAAAGAAAACCTGAAAGAAACCATGAAAGTCAATTAGTTGCCTATCATCTGGCCTATATAGCGCGCACAAGTCCTACGTAATTCCTAAAAAGCTACCATGGTAAAAATCTTTATGTACGCACAGCCGTGCATCCATAACATGACGTTTCCAGTTTCACTTCGGATAAAAGTTCCCGTCGATCGAGCTTAGCCGCGAGCTCTCAAAACTTTCAAGATTTCTTCCGTTTTATCGCAATAGACATGGACCTTTTCCAGCTCAAGATGAAAAGAAAATATGCTAAACAAACTCGCGTCGCATTACAATGAGCATGTAGCTCTTTCAAGCGACGAAATTAGTGTTCGAGTTGACGATACTTCATTCCCACACGCGATGCGAATTATGGCCGAAAACAAAACTGAGTTTCCTCACCTCAGCTAAGGCTTTGTGGCGTTAGGCACTCTTCATTAGAATGGTAAATATTATTTTGAAGTGTTGATATGTTCCAAAACAACTCAAGCGCGTAAATCTACCACGCTGGTCTTGTAAATCCAAGAAATTTGGAGTTTTTTCGTACGTTTTTCGAACGGTTCATATTATTTTTCGGTGCTGACATTTACTAAAACTATTTTCGAATAGAAGATTTTGATTTTCAAACCATACAATAAAAAAATTCAAAACTTTTACTCGAGAAGCTAGACTTGGTTTCGGCTGCGCCTCGAGCAACTCTTACGCATCTCTCGTGCTCTGCAAACTTCCAGCGTGCACCTATAATTCGATATATGTACGCTAAGCATAGTACTCAGCGTGTTTACTGTAAAGAAACCTGCATCAACTTCGAGGAGTTCCGATTTTTTTTAGCCCCAAACCCAAAATGAACGTTCATATCCCATGCAATCGCAGGTTTTCAACTCACTGATGTAATTGAGAACTAATGTCAAAAGCGTTTTTGAAGTTTCAAGTAAAACACCCAGCATTAAAAAAAAAAAAAAATTGAGATGACCGGAATTTCTACACCGTCCTACCGATGTAGATGAAATCTGACATCATTAACTAGTGTAAAAAATCTCATAATATAAGACAATACTCATATACACACCTCAACACACCATAAAGAAAGCCAAGGATAGAACCAACGAACTTGTATTCAGTTGTGAGGCAGACAAAATATGGATAGAATAGTATTGTACAAAGGAGGACGGCCAACAAAACGTCAATAACTGAGTAAATAGAAAGAAAGAAATGCTCGAAGTTTTAATCAAGGATTCTTGGACCTCAAATACTTCTTCAATTACCATAAAGGAACTCTTTTAATTCTAGGTTTTTGTAATTACTTTGTCGTTTCTCTAAAATACTTTTGGTTCAGTCTCCTAGCTTTGGTTGTCTCCTTGCAGAGGTTATTTTTGTGTGGGTGTGTTCTTGTCTACTTGATTCGTTTTTGCTATCAATTTTTATTCAATTCATGTTTGGCTAACTTGTTTAAATTTTCGTTTTGTTTGTTTTCCAAGCCTTATTTTGCCTCTATATAATGATTTCGTTTTGAATTTTGGGATGTTATTTCAGGTTTAAATGAAACATTTAGTAATATGGCCATGCGCTTGTTGTGATGATAGTGCTGTACTTTGGAGACCACAAGGGTTTAGCTTGTTATTACAGAGCAATTTAATGGAACCTGGATTAGACATTCATCGTGCATAATGCGCATGACAGAGAGATTTCTGAGGGTATATGCTTTACATGTGTTATTGTACTTTTTATTTCAAAGCTTTTCCTGGGAAAAGCTCCGTGATGATTCTTACTGCCAACACCGCTAAGAAATTCGATCATAATAGCGTTATAGTTACCTACTTTTTATCCAGGGAGATTCAGATGGGACAATCGAGATACTGCCGCTTCCACCCAATGCCATGGTTATAAGAGTGCTACCTGTGGCTCCAAACGTAACAGCAATAGTCCACCTGTTACTGAGACCACCAAGAAAATTCATCGGTCTAAAGAAGAATGATACAGATATGTTGTTACTATGGAAAATTGTACTGCTGCTTGATCAGAAGCCACATAACCAGCAACTTGCTGATAAATTGCACCACTACCCTTTTTTTTGTTTTTTAAAATCCTGGTTGGTGTTACACTAGCCTGCAGACCAAGCATAATTTTGGCCACAGGACCAGAGTGGAAGTTAGTCAGTCATCAGTTAAAACAACTTACCGCACCTATGCTTGAAATTTGGAGTCAAACACATTTTACATGTGATAAACAAGCTTTTGAGACACACTTTCAGCTTTGAACCTTTGGCTTTTGAATGTTGGGGGTAAAATATACTTAAATTGTGGCGTCCATCTCGATTTGAATTGTATTGCAACGTGAAGACTCTTATAACATACGGGACCAATTGTAACGCAAAGCGAGACGGGTTCCAATGGAGCAAGGCTTTTATCTGGTCGCGTGCGCATGCGTGTGGGTGTTTGTGTGGATGGGAGCGTGCGTGCGTGTGTATGGGCGCCAAATCGCTCAAATTCTAGATTTTCTGTCAAATAATTATAAAAACATCTGTTTTCATACTCGGACAACATACATCAATAGTCCAGGGCGCCCATCCCATAGCTCCAATTTAAGCTTGGTGCGTCGCTTCAGGAATGAAAAAACTAAAATAATAACCAACTGAAAAGAAAAACAGAAAGAAACATTAAATGATTCTTTAAAATGAATCTTATCTCATGAATTACACAAACAACACCGAATGAGGAGAAAAACTGATTCCCAGTTCCTATTGTACAACCACTTATTGCACACAGGCTAGCGACCTTTCATTACCAGTTTTATCATTATTATTTTCCAACAGGCATAACGTAGAACTCTTAAATTATTTAATTTTCTTCTTCTATTCGAACTTTAACAAATAATGGCTCCTTTCCAAATCCATGTCCACACGGTGAAGAGCAAGGAAAAAAGGAAATCCGCTATCGCTACTGTTTACGTCGTCGTCATAATTATCATCATCATCATTTTTATCATAATCTTCACCCTCCTCGTCATTATTGTTGTCGTTATCATTATTTCTGTTATCATCACCCAACAAAATATACGAAATTAAACGAGCACTCACTGCAGGAGCAAGACATCCAAAATGAAATTGTCTTAGCTGGTTGAGAGCCTTCAAACAGCTACATTAAGAGAAAAAAGAAATTTAGTAGCGCATGAATCTATAACTTCATTACGTATCATCTCATGAATGTAGTATAATAAAAGGCTCTATACACCGAATTCATAAATGGCGCCCGAAAGGCCACTCAACGATAGGGAGACTTTATATCGAGATGCTTTTTACGTTACTTCAAACTCAAAATATTGGCGTTCTTTTGTTTATTGTCATTTATGAAAGTTGTGGAGTTTTGAAACCTCGTAAGAAGTCTTTCCTTGTGGATAAGAATTCAGACATGCCAACACATTGCTGTGTTCCTCTGTGTACGAAGATTTATCGAGACAAAGTAACTGGTGCCAAAATATCTTACTTCCGATTTCCAATCGAAGAAAAAAGGGACTTGGGCTAGGCCAAGGTTTGCTCGAGGTATTGTAAGGCTGAAGATTTCAAGACTACTTTAACACACGTGGTGTCTTTAAAACTAGAAGTGCCTTTAATTTTTGCGTGGAAACGAAGTTCTCCACGAAAACAAACTCCGTCTACTCTTCATTTAACAAATAGGAAACAAATTTTGATTGAGAAGTTACAGGAAGGAAATCTGGAAACTGTAGGAACTTCTATCGTAATTTCAAGTGCGAGAAGCTTTGCTTTAAAGCATTTACCGCCATGTCAGTTCACCTCAACGAGATGAACACGTATGCATTCGATAAATGGGACAAATTAACAACTTGTTACAACTCTTTCTATCACTTACTCATCCTCATTTGTCGCATTTAAAGCCATTATGACTGCGTCTCTAAACTCGATAGGTTTCTACTTCACTGATTAAAACTTCCTGTCTGCTGACGCTAAAGATTAACTCGCCTCTCCTTTGCTGTTTCAGTCTATCCGTGGGGAGTGGGTATAAAATCTGCTTACGTACGTCATGTATGGGGAATTATCAAGGACATTACTGTATGTATGTAAAGTATAGTACAAAATATGAATTGAGCAGATAATAATTCCCCATACATGACTAACCAAGGTAAATCTGTTGGTAAACCGCTGGCTGTTAACGTGGTAGCGAAATAATTCGAAATAGAGGCTACAAAAGCGACTGGATTGACTTTTGGACGAAGACGATCTGCCTGTTGCTTTTCTTCGTGTTTCCCACGTGGATTCCGAAACTTCAATGAAAAGGTTGGTGTGATAGTAGAAATGGAGAACATCAGCAGTTGTCTTAACTATGTTGAGCTACTCTCCACTAATAACAGGATATTCTTTTCGAAGAGATAGCAGTAACTTGTCAGCAAATCCTACCCAGTCACCGCATATCTGCTTCATCCGTGTGCAGTTTCACTTTCCCGTAAAAACTGACACTCACAGAAGATGTAGGGTACACATACAACTAATGGAAAAAATCATTAAGTGTGGAGTTTGCCAAGTGCAAATGTGTCCAGCACCTTGCTTCCTGCGATATTACATGTTGAAAGAATATCTCTTTGATGATCCTGACAGAAATAATCCTGCTAAGAGCTGTTATTTAATTCAGTAACCTCTGCTGTAGCTGCATAAAATGTTGGTGTCTTTAAGCCAACCATCCATGATCTTAGCAACTCTAGCTGCTGAAATACGAAATTTTTCGAGCATGTTTCCTGGGCTGCAAAAGTTTGATTTAAAGGAAGACAAACTAGAACTAGAATATCTTAATAAAAACTTGATGACAAAGAGAGACTAAGGATTCAACCATGAAGACATTTTGTAGAAGACTTGGGATAATACCTGAATTTCATTTGTACATCACAGAAATGAATTCCAAATATCAATCAAGTTTTCTCAGTCTTAAGTTTAAAAATTGAGCTGATGTTGTTATTGGCTCCATTAAATAGGTTGAAAAGTTTTAGATGGTATTTTCTCATGTTTGGAAATAATTGAATTTACTGGAAGGTGGAGTTGTTGCAACATGTTAAAATGAAACAACATTAAACTTTATTGATATGTAAAAAGTTTTCATTTGACTTTATACTAGCAAGTCTTTGTATTATATTTCAACCCAACCATTTTCCACAACTTGTAAACACCATTACAAATTAATTAGTAAAAGAACTAGAAAATCTGTGGTACTATATACACCATATTTGAAATGCCACGTCCATAATAAGCTAACAGGATTGAGGAGGGTGTATGTGGGAATTGGCTCTCTTGTCTGTATCATTAATTTGCTAATCGCTCCTGTTGCCAATGTTTTGATGAGGTTGGGCCGTCAGGGCAAAGGAACTGAGGATTTTAGTAGGCAGAGACTTTTCTCAAACCTGAAAACTATCGTTGTGAAAAGTCACACTTGTGCCTCCAAACTCATTCTTATTCTGATGAACTAGCTTTTAGAAAGATACAATTTTTTATTACATAAATTTGATGCATAGCCTGTAAACAAAACTTGAGTTGACTGTACTTTTGTAGCCAATACCAATCCATTCACAAAAAATGTTAGTTGGATCAGAGGAAAAAATGATGTGCCGTACATCTGAAAGATTTCATTAAATTCTTTTAATTACGTGAATATTAAATGATACTAGAAGATCTAAGAATATTCAAAATAAAATAAAATTGGTTGAAAAATAAAATTCAACATAGGCCAGATAAACAATATCCTTAGAAAAAGAAATGTGTACTGAAGAAAAAAGTTAAGCAAACTGCTTGTACCTGTATGGTACGTGGTAAAATCATTTGAAGTAGTCATAATCTCAGTTTCAATATTGGAAACACATGCACATGCAGATTTCCTATAAACCTGTAGTTCAAGCCTGACCTGACTTCATAACACCTCAGAACAATTACAATTACAATTACAACAACAATGAGCACACCTCAGAACAATTAAATTTCAAGTTTCTATTTCTTCAGTTTAGGTTAGTAAAGGTAAAATTGAGTCAAACATTCACACAACATAAGGTTCAAGAAATTTTCACAACTAATTTATAAGGTTAGCCTACATGGAATAACCTTCATGTACAAATTAGACCAGGTTAGTGCTGATAGTGGGAAAAGTCACTGTCTTACTAAGAGTACTTTTGAAAGAGTTGTTTTTTTGTCTATTTTTAAAGCACTTAAGTGCTTTCAAAACAGACATTTGCTCATGCACAAAAGAACTCTTGGCAGAAAGAGGGCAGGCTTTCCCTTCCTAATTAAAAAAATACTGAAGTTATCATCTTTCCACTTTTCAAATAATTGCCTGAATCAAAAGTTATAAGTTTTTTTAAGATGTAAATAATATTGAAGAGAAAGGGAGAAAGTTCTTGGAACATTCTATGTCAAATGAAACTTTGTTATGAATGTAAATTGCAACAGCAACAAAAACATCTGTGAAGCTATAACAACAATTACCTCTCCATTTAAACAAACCATAATGAAGCTATAGATATGAAAAAATTGAATCTCACCCAGTTTGAATGTAGAATCCAAAATCTAATTAACTTGCTGGTGAACAGGAAAAACCTCAATATGTTTTTTCTGCTTCTATTATTCTTCAGTTTGATTTGTTTGACGATGTGTACTTTTTCTTATGGTCATCTATTTTTAGTATCTATCTTTTACCAGCTGACATCTGAGAAGAATCAAGTCCACACTGGTGATTTGACACATTGTAAGCAAACCCTACAGCTGATTAAATTTTATTTGATCTAAAACATGAAAGGCAATGGAGGAAGTTAGCTAGCACAATTCAAGTTACCCTTCTTAAGTATTCTTTGATGTTTTTTCTATCATAATATTATGGTAAAGTTGACAGTTTCCCTCATTTCACTGTCTTCTGTTCATTTGTTTGTTTGCTTTCCTAACAATCTTAACTATCGTTGCCAACAAATGTGAGGTACGTATAAAATGTGTACAGTTATTAAAGACATTGTGTAATCAGTTTCATAAATGTAGAATATTCCTTTCATATATGATTGAAGTAAGTGCAAGTGCCTAGTGAACATCATTCTGTGGTCTTCCACTCCTCCTCCCGGGACGTTGTTTAGCTTGCACACATAAAAATTGAAGATCAATGACTTAAGTAGCTTTTTTGGCTACAAAGATCAACAAAGAACAACAGCCACACCAAAAAATGTTTTAAAAGACACCTCTACAATGGTAGTTATACACAACCAACATGTATGACTGAAGGATGTCAAGCATTATTATGATTATCAATTTGCTATTCGTTACTTGCAAACAGCTTATTTCTAGCAGCTTTAAAAATTTCTGTATTTCCCTTTCAAAAAAAAGCATTTCCCATGAAAATTGAAAGGTTGAAGGCATATTAAAGATGCCAGCAACAGGTTTTTCCATTGGAAGTGTTTCATAAGATCAGATTCTCATCACATTTTGTTTTTTTACATCTGAAAGCATAAGGATATTTTAATCATTACAATATAATGGATCCCCATTTAGCACTTTAACTCCCAAGATCTCATGAGTAATTCTCCTTACTGTTTCCCAGATGATTCTCATTACATTTGTTTGGAGAATTTGGTATCATTATCCCATAATTAATATTTTTCTTACTCTCATCACTTGTCTGCATGATATTTTATAGATACAGTATGGAGAAATTCTGTTTTGGTCACTCACAGTAGTTAAAGGGTGAAGACAGGGTAGTCGTATATACAAGGAAGATGGCAAATAAATATAACATTATACTCCTGTAAATTGTTCTTATCTAGAATGAAGTTTCAAACTCATTGAAATTAAGTTGACTTCATGATTCAGATTTTAGTTAAAGAAACATGTAATATGTACCTCTTTACAAGAATGAAAAGGGAATGTCATTTATGAATTTTAACATAGAAAATGCCAAAACCTTTAGGATGGAATGAAAGAAAAACTATTACAATATGGCACATCTATTCACTGAGACTTTAATCATTAACTGGCACACAGAGATATAAAAGAGATTCTGAGGTAAAAAAAACAAACAGGGCAGTAAAATTAAAGATTCATGAGAAGCATAGCAATAGTTTATGATCTTCCCACCTGAATTCAATCTGGAAAGAGAACTCTGCAACTCTTCTGTTTTATCTTCTCACACTTGAATTAAAACATTAAATCTAATTATTTCCTCGCAGGTTAGGGAGGAAATAAAAGAAATGGTTACATGTTAAAATAAAATAAAGCAGAAGTTTATTACCAACATGTCTATGCTTCTGAATAAAGATATAATGGGTATTTTTTAAGCAATTTTCTACATATGTAATCCGAGTGCAATATACGGTCATTAAAGCAATTATCTTGGAAGGTTACATAAACGGACTCTCAAAAACTGCTCTTAAATTCGAAAACAATAGACAACGATTATTTGCGCTAACCATGTGCTTACCAGCGTGCTTGTAAGCTCAAATTGCCAGAACCCCGTTTAATTACACGATCACAGCTCGCACGCTTCTTGCAAAATGTGATGACTCTTAATTTCAGAGACTAGTTCTTCAGTTTCCAGCTTTGGGGAAAATTATCTTATCGTAAGCACGTTCATCATAACCCGAGCACTAAGTACGCCTCGAGATGTTGAGCGAAGAGAAAGTGGCTCCATGTTTTGAGAGACAAACCATGTCCTGAAGTTCGAACAAATCGAGTAGAAAGTATGAAAACATAGCGCTGAAAAGTACTAAGACCAAACAATGAAATTCACTCCTTCCGCAATAGGACTAACTCAATTTTACTCGTAAGATTATTTGCACCCGTAATTTAATTCTCAAATGTTTGACGGGTTCTCACATGACAGTATTGTCAAAATCAAATTACCGCGTCAGACTTAATGTAAACATTAACATCGCTGACTCAATCTCATTTTATCCCAATTTTGAGAAAGGTCATTACTTCGTTCTTAGGGTAAAACAACACATCTTCGACAAAGCGCGATTTTCTAATAATTAATGTAAACCCTACGATAGTTAAGTGAAGAGAGAATGAAAGAAACTTAATTGCTCACGCCGTTCGCTATCATTTGAAAACTTTCTAAGCGAAATATAATCCGTGAGATAGCTTCTCTCCCCTTAATACCACGACTCAATTAAAGATTCCAAACGATAGGACAAGAAATAACTTAAAGAATACGAACACTTTGAAATGTTATTCGAGCGATGAACCGGCGCGAGAATTTTAAGGCTATGAATGCCGAAGTCATTGTTTTACCGAAACGTGATTTGAAATATAAACTGAAGATATTATCAAACAACGATTGGTGAAAGAAGGTTTGAATTTTTCTAGGCCTCAACGTAAGAGAAAAAAATCAGATAGGACAGGACTTGCCTCCACTTCTTTCTCGGATCCTTTAACTTCGTAGTTCGCTTCTCTTCGTGGATGACCTTTTTGCAGTCTGTTTTCTGGAGCTCTTTATATTTCCTTCTCACTTTGCTCTTCGCTAGACTCTAGACTCTCTTCGCCTTTTCACTTATGCCTTCTCTTGTTCTCTTTCGTGTTCCTCTCGCCGCATTGTGCCTATTTTAGCGTCTTTTTTAACTTTCTAGCACGATTTTCTCGGCTCGCTTTACGCCTTTTCACTCTTCCTTTCTTTGGTCACTCTGTTGCTATAATTTCTTTCCAGTCTATTTCTGCGCAAAACCCTTTGTCCACGAACTTGAATTATAACAATTTCCTCCGTTTGAAAAAACTTTAGTTGTGCCGGTGTCGTTGTTTTGCGAGTTGATTAAAAATTGCAAAATACTGAGAATTTCTGTTTAACTGCAACGTCACCAGTCTGATTTCCCGCTCAAAACGCGGCTTCACATCTACAAAGACACGTGAAGCCCTCGTGTAATGCCTAACCATGTGCCCGCGGTACGCTGCACTAAAGCTCGGCACTCGAGTATGCGCACCTCATCGTTATCTGCTAGTGTCTCCTGGCGCACACTAATGACGTGTATCCAAGATACGCACGCAATTGTGCCTGCAGATCCTCTTTTCCCTTTACCCTTCCATTACGTGATGGCTAGGACGGTGCCTGCACATGCTAGAAGTAGCACCTTGTACGGTCGGTCGCAACAACAACAACAACAACCTTTATTTATGTGTCAAATCTAAAATAGCAGTTATACAACCACTAACTGGGGACACTAAATACTACCTAAAAATTTGAGAAATTTAAAAATAAAACAATATATATGTACAATTTAAAATCTAACCTAAGTCTTACATAAAAGGCAGTTTTCACATTTACTATCAGTCAATTTAGAAACAAGGTCTATTCTACGTATGTTACATTTAAAAGATGATATGGATGTCAGTTCTCTTACATTTCTTGGTACAATTGCCCATATTTTGGGTCCCATATATCTAAGCGAATGTTTTCCAAAAGTGACAGTATTAAATCTAGGTATACCAAAATCATTATTACGCAGTGTGTACCTAAGTTGTGGAATTTGAAAAAGGCTACATATGTAATTAGGAGATAAATTGTTCTTTACCTTATACATAAGAATGGCTATGTCCTGTAGTCTTCTGTTCTGCAGTGTACTTAGGTTAGCCATGTCTAATAATTTATCATAACTACTCCCCTTATCACAGTAAACTGCCCTAAGTGCCCTTTCTTGAATACGTTCCAATTTTCTAGTATCACTCGCCCTACAAAAATGCCAGACAAGATGGCTGTATGTTAAATACGGAAGAATGGCTGCCTTAAACAACTTCAGCTTGGTGTCTGTTGGTATCATATTCCTGAGCCTCATCAGGACTCCAACACGCTGGCTACTCCTCTTACAAATGTTAGCAATGTGTTCATCAAATTGAAGCCTATTGTCTATATATACCCCAAGAAGTTTTAAACACTTGGTAGATTTAACTTCATTGTCATCAATTATAATACTATCCATATCATTATTTTTATTCCCAAGTGTCATTGTCTGATACTTGTCATAGTTCCCTTTTAAGAAATTCGATCTATACCATCTGGAGGCTAATTCGGCACTTGCTATTAACTTATCATGCACCTCAGTAACATTACTGCCTGCAGCATGGAACTGGTGGTCGTCTGCATACATATTGATATTAGAATTAGAATTTACACTGTATGTCAGATCATTTTGGAACATGTTCCATATCAATGGTCCAAATGCGGAGCCCTGTGGACATCCCCTTGACCCCCTCTCCCACTCACTCACTGTGGATCCCAACTTCACCCTATTGTACCGATCAGTGAAGTAGGAGTCCAACAATTTTAGACTGTTCCCCCGAATACCATAAGCCTTTAATTTAGCAAGTGTGAGTGGATAGTAGAGGGAATCAAAGGCTTTACTCATGTCCGTAGAAAGAACACCTACCACTTTATGTTCATCTAAAGATATCTTCCAATTCTCTGTCATAGCCAGTAGAGCTGTTTCGCAGCTATGATTTTTCCTGTAGGCTGTCAGTTTATCACATAATTTATCATTGAAACTATAATTAAGCTGTTTACTAAGTAACTGTTCAAAAATCTTATTTATAGTAACTTGTACAGTTATGGGCCTATAGTTCTTTTTCTCATGGGGGTCCTCTTTCTTAAATACTGGTGTCCACTCTCCTTTCTTCCACACCGCAGGCCACTCACCCAATGTTATACATGAATTGTATAATGCTGTCAGAGGCCCTGATAGTTCTCTAGCACCCAGCTTAAATGCTTTGGGGGGGACACCATCCCAACCAGTACTCTTTCTGGGGTTAATACTTTCCAGTGCGGTCTCCACCTCAAGTATCTCCAGATTCCGAAACTGGAAGTCTTGATGGCCTATCATATTCTCTGTGATATTCCGAACACTTGAATGAGTCACAAAAGAAGAGTCAGTAATGCCTTCTGTGTCACCAATACCATCAGCAATGGTAGAAAAATAGTGACATAGATGATTTGCAATCTTACTTTGATCATGACTTATCGCTCCTTCAATGTTTAAGCTCAACTCATTAGTGGTACCCTTATTCCTCTTTTCACTCAAGAAGGGCATAAATGTTTTATAGAACTCACCAGGCTTACATTTCAATTTAGTAGTTTGATCTTTCCAATACTCCCTTATCGCCTTTCTCCAAAGTTTTTCAGCTACATGAGTTGCTTCTATTTCCCGTAATTATGGGGTTACGCTGCGCGCTGTAAAATGGTAACGAGATCGTTAACCACATGAAAAAAGAGATTACAAAAAATTCGATTGCAAAATTATCAGCCTCATAGCCGAGCAGTCGTTTTTAATGCATAAATGTAACACAGAATACAACTCATGTTATCCAATACTAAACTGTCTTAAAGACGCACTTGAACTTTAAAAGTTTCACAATGATAAACTATGTCAAGGAAAACAAAAAAAATATTTTTTTACATGATGGGCTACTTTTTTTCACGCAGTATATAATTTGGAGCATAAACCTATCATGGAATATACAGCTGTTTCGAGAAAGGTGGTCCGACAAAAAGCGTAAAAATTCACACGACAACCACGAAAGGTATTGAGGGTAGTTTTCAGATCACGGCACCTTGACTTCAGGATGCAAAGGAAATCTGAGAAACGTCATTGTACGGACGAGGTACAGCGAGTTTGATTAATTAATATATTTTCCTTTACTTAATAAAATTCATTAGTTACCGGATACCCAGATTATTTTCAGAGATTGTCGCCTGCAGTTTTGTCCGTTTTTTTCCGATAACCTTTCTCGTAACAGCTATATACCTTGCAATACTTGGCTATTACAATGCCCTTCATTTAATCCTTAAAATATTTATGTGCTATGAGCTAAACCTGACGATTAGACCATAGAATCGACTAAAACTGATACTGAAGACGTGTCGACCTCACTTTGTTCAATGGGTACCGAAAAGGAATGGTGACGATACTGTATGATTGTGGGATTGCGGAGGAGAGTTACAGCAAGAAGCCAGCGGTTGACCACCCTCTGTGACAGGCGTGGATGGCGGATTTCGCGTTTGAATCCTGTTTTAAAGGACATAAACTATATTACTGAAGTGCATTTGAGAAAATCCAAACTATATGTAGACTCCCTTAAAAACGGAACTCATGCACTGTCCGGTAAGGCTACGATACATTAATTAAGTGACATACCTGTGACTTGCTTTGGCTCCTCAGCGTTGTTTGGTTGCACAGAAATGCTGGAATGCCCTGTGACGGACAGATTTTTAAGTCAGTTTGTTAAACACAGCTATATTTAGTTGTAGAGGTGCGCGCAATCTGATTGGTCGACGATTGCGTCATATCTCGAAACTTCGTTTCCAAGGAAGTGATAAATGTGATAGGAAAAAAATTTCAATTGAAAAAAGCACAAAAGATGCTATCATACTGAGTTCGGTGGAATACGGCTTTCAATGGCATTAAATGACACTGTTAAATTTTCTTTCTTATGTACGTAGATATGAGTAATCAACACAGTTGTAACAAAATATGCGAAATGCTTTCTTTGTTTAAATAATTTGCAAAATTATTCGAAAGCACCTGAGCAACTGTACTAAATGTTATTCGCCTCAGGTTCAGTGAACATTGATACGGGAATTATTCAACAGTATTCACTTCGCCTTCGGCGAATAATTGTTAATAAAAGACAGTTCGGGTGAGAAAAATATCGGAATAACAGATACACAGACAAACAGAGAGGCAGACTGAATAACTGACACGCTGACACATTTACTTATTGCTTATTGACTGACGTACTGCTTATTGACTGACGGACGGACTGATGGACTGACTGACTGACTGCCTGATTGACTGACGAATTGATTCACTTAGTTACTGACCGAGCGACTGATTGTCTGATTAACCAATCCTTCTCGAGTTGATACTCTCGATGTGTTCTTCTGAGATCAGAAGAATTTAATTTCTTAAAAGTTGCTTACGTTTCTCCTCCGAAGCTGTCGCCTTGTTGCTTTCAATGAGCAATTGGCAGAACATTAACACAACAGGATGTCTGTGGGCTACCAACACATGAAGAAATCCAAGATACGCAACAAAACCTGTTCGTTAAGTTGAAGGGGAAAATGGGCGTTAGATGGGGATTCAACTGAAGTCTGCGTTGCCGTTGAGGTCGTTTTAGTTGAAGCATGGCTGAAGTATCTTTACCAATCATAATTTATTACTGGGGTGGAGAAGGGGAAAGAGGATTTTGCAAGTGATCGCATGGCTTTCAGTGGGGGAGGAAGGGGAATCAGTCATCTCTTACAGAGTTGAAAGGGGGGAACTATAGCAAATTGGCTGCCAATGAGGATTAAGGGGGGGGATTCATTAGAATACTACGGAGTCTTATTTGGGGTCGGGTAGCTTTTATTGTGACACAACCAAAATCCTCCGATCCCCTTCCCCTAGGCCAAAAATTATTAACAGTCCCTTGTGCCATGTTCCATTTTTATTCAAATGTAGTATCCTTGGCCCTTTACTTTTTGTCATTTATATCAATGATTTGCCTCTACATGTTAATGGTGCTGACCTGGATCTCTATGCTGATGACACCACACTGACATTATCGGCAGATATCTCAGCGGTTGATTCTCTACAAGATTCACTAGCTGCTTCTTTGAAGGAAATTGAATGCTGGACGCACACCAATAAACTTCCTCTCAATGAAAAAAAGACTAAAACACTACTGGTCACAGGCAAACGCCTTGGGAAGAAACTACCAGATGGTTATAATTTATCTCTTAAAACTATGAATGGTGTATCATTGGAACAAGTACCCTCAGCTAAACTTCTTGGTATAGACATTGACCACGATTTATCAATGAACACTTATGTTGACAGACTGTGTAAAAAAATTTCACAAAGAATTGGAATTTTGAATAAGATCAAACTTTGTTTACCATTTAACCAAAGACTTTTATTTTATAATAGTTTAATTAAGCCATTATTTGATTATGCCAATGTTGCATGGCAGTCACTTTGCTCTAATGAATCTCTTTTAAGAATACTTAGGCTACAAAAGAGAGCTGCTAGGGTTTTATTAGATGCTGAACCACGTAGTTCATCAGTTATGCTATTCAATCGTTTAAAGTGGATACCATTTTATGACTCTACTAAGATGGCTAAATGTTCAATACTATTTAAAAGGATTAATTATTGTGTACCTAATTATCTTAATGATAGCTTAAGATTATTAAGTTCAGTACATTCACGCAACACTAGATTTTGTAAATACAACTTTTTATTACCTAAGTTTAAAAGGGCTAGAGAAGGAGGGAAAACTTTTCTAGTTTCTGCCATAAAATTATGGAATCAGTTAAAGCCTGAATTAAAAAAGTCTAATACACTTAAGGCCTTTAAAGACAACGTATTTAAATATTACTATAAGGACCAATCATGCTTAGCTCATTTTAATCCGTAAATTTTATTGATAGTAGTTTTATATATTCTTACTTGTTTTAGCTAATTTTCTATTTATATTTCATTCTATTAATGATTCTATTGTATTTATATATTTATTGTAATTAGGAGGACCACAAGTTTATTAGTGTTTGTGCACTATCACGTGCTATCCTCAATAAATAAAGTCTTTCTTCTTCTTCTTCTTCATTTAAGAAAATCAAACGCAGCAAGAAACAAAGTCTGAGAAGCAACAAGCAGTTACCCAATGTTTCAACTTTTCGGCAGAGATACAGCCGTTTGGCAAGCACTGAATGGCAGATGATAGGTCAGAAAACTTGAACACGGAGGAATTTTTAAGCATGCGTTTTTTCGGAGAGCTTACCTTTGTCCCAGCTCTGAAATCCTGGCATTAAAACAGTTCGGTCGAGACGCGAGAAGAAGAAAAGTCCGAGAATCATAGCTTTAGCTATGCGAAGAAGACCTGACAGGAATCCAACAATGGCGTTGAGGAACACAAACGCATACGACATGATAGAGAACAGTCGTCTAAAAAATGATTCCAAAACGAGAACAAAATAGAAAAAAGTGAAACAGAAATAACTAATAGCTGTTTATAGTAAGAGGAACAATGTTGAGTAGAAAACGTGGCCTATTTTCAAGAAGGTAAACATAAAGAAGAGCGTCTAAGTGGGGTTAACCATTAGCGGTTACGTGGCGGAAAAATTAGCTGTTTGGCGTAAAAAAATGTTTTCTACCTACGATCTGTCGTTTCGAAAGTTTTCAAGTAAATGTTGCTCGATAAAGGCCAAGACCGTCAAGGAATCTGGAGGCAGCCCCATGTGCTGATTCCCGATAAGCCTCTTAAAAGCAGAATGACCTTCTTCAGAGAAGAGGAGAGGTAAATTATTCAGGTGATTTTCTATAGAGCTGCAGCATTCTTATTGGTAGCACATTATGAGAAACTCCGCACAAACAAATTTTTGTGCCAACATCCCGTGCCTTTGGCAAGACTAGCAGCATTTTCTTTAGTTGCAGATGGGAGATGAGACGAACAGCCATATTCTCTATAAAGCGTCAAAGCCACTATCTTGGACAAATTGTATTGGAAAATTCGCATACACAGCTAATGTTACATAGTGCAAGAATGCAAGCTTTTGTGACATAAATTGATTCATTTAACGTGAAGGAGGTTAAGAGGAGTAAGACTCAGAATGGCACACCCACCCTAAACGCCAATGTAATCTCTAACTAACACATAGACGCCATGTTAACTCGCTTCTGGTCAGTAGCTCACAGCTGACTTTGCAGTGCAGGCGTCTCATTAAGGCGAGCTAACGTTATAAGCTCGCGATCGTTCATCCGACCGGCCATTTTGATTTGGAGCTAGAGTGAACGTCACTCCTTATTTTTGACCGTCGACCGCCCCCTTAGTACAAATTTCTTTCTCTCCCCAGCCTTCTGCTGCTATTAAAAAAAAAGTTGGCGGCCAAGAAAATACTGAGCACTCGCTCGATAAAATTGCCGAGTGGTTCAGCGATTTTCTTACCATAAATTGACGTCTTTTGTGATCTATAACTGAACACAGCCACGTTAACAATCAATGATAAAGCAACTAAAAAAGTGTTTATCATGACGTCATCTATGTGTCAAGAACCAGTCAAAGTACGTGCGCAGCTCAGCTTATCACGTTATTAGAAACAGAAACTGTTTTTTTTTAAGTTACCTGTTGTCAATCACGACTGAGAAATTTGGGTATTCTCTGTCACGAAAGATATATCGAGATAGGAACATGCGCTGGAACACTCCTAATATGACAGCCAGCACTATCGATGGTCTGGAAAAAAAACAGCAAACAGCTAAACAAACAAAAACGATTTAAATACCTGAGGGAAAATGTAAACAACATATATGACAACCTATTCACATTATCAATCTACTTACACAAGTCCCTTTGCAATTGATAAAATCGAATCGCGTATTATCTTGAAATGAATTGGTAAGCTTAGAATGAGAGAAAGAAGGAAGCCCAAATTTGACAACACAACAAAACCTGCAAAGAGAAACAAGCGAAAAATTGAAAAAACAATACTAGAGATCTGAATATCTCACAATTTGCATACTGATTAGAAACTGCTTTGCACTCTACGAAGCCTTGTTTTAACACAAGAGGTGTTTAGAACATACGTGAAAGTTATGCAAACCCTCAACTTATTCCAACTCTTAATTATCTTAGGCAAGGTAAAAACGAAAAGAAACCTCTTTTGCGTTAATAAAGGATCGCGCCAGATATGTTACTCTGGATGTTCCTGTGAAATTAATAATAAAAATGGATAATTGGAACTACAGCTTTTGCATTGCTTTTAATGCTTTTAAGTTTGAGGAACACCATACATACCGATCACGGAATAGGCGATTTGGTATCCGGTATAACTCAAACTTCTCCCCTTCAAGACAAAATATTCAGTAGTAAGAAAAAATGTACGTGACCTCCTTTAAATCATGATCGTGACCATGACGATGAACGCAGCTGTAACTGTGATGACCGTGACCGTAAGCCTGAACGCGAAGGTGAAGGTGAAGGTGAAGGTGAAGGTGAAGGTGAAGGTGAAGGTGAAGGTGAAGGTGAAGGTGAAGGTGAAGGTGAAGGTGAACTTGACGCGTTTTGACTGTTGTCGTCAGTTACATTCAACCATCTTTAGGCTATTCAGGGAGCAAATTCTCAATTTTCTGGAAAAGGCTGAAAGCTTTCCAACCTTTCAAATCATCTTGCCCTTCATGTAAGGTAATGTTTCAACAGATATCGGTGTAGGCAAGTGTTAGTCATTTCCTCTTTAATTTTGATAGGAGTGTTGAAAGCAAATTTATCGCCATACCACAAAAGAGGCCGGTGAGAGGCAAACATCTTGCATTAGACGTCTATCTCCACGGTAAAGCTGGAGCATGTGTTCCCTTGGAGAAAGAATTACAATGGACGTTGTAACAATCTTTCAGTCCGAATTCAAAAGAAAGCCTTAAAACGAGTAAGCGTTGTGTTACAGGAAAAGACTTTCACAGCAAGAGTAATACCATCTCACGAGTCAACATTGAGCCCGAGTCATGCTCGAGTAACGAGTCAAGTTCGAGTCAAGGAGCTCTGGATCAGTGCAGAATTAACCCTCAGAAACGGCCGACAAAAAGCTTAAAACTAGGTGCTCTTGTATCCCTCACATCATTTTGACACAGAAATCAAAAAAAAAAAAGAGAAAAAAATCTAAGAGCTAAAAGAAGGGAGTAATTTAAATTTACTCGAACTCGAAATATTATAACTCGCATTGGGAAGAAGGGACGTGTCATTATTGATCACCCGGTGGCGGTGGGGAGGGGAGGAGGGAGAGAAAGGGGGGTGGTCAGAGGGTTTTGTTTTTTCCATAAACACATACTGAGGTCGTTTTCAATAGAATGTATGAGTTACCTTAGCTTTAGAGCTTTTACCATACAGAATTACAAATTTTGAAAGAAATACTGACAAGCGATCGAGATCGGACGGTTTCTTAATAGAAATTTAGCAGTGGGCATTCCATGCAGTGACTCTCCTTGTTCACTGTTTCCAGGAAGAAAATAGGAGGGCCCGGAGGGAAAAACCTTCAAAGCATTTAACACTGGATCCGGTAAAAGAACCCGGGTCGAAGCGGAGGGAGACGGGCGCTTTCACTCAGTACTGCGCCATCCCTGATCCCTCACAAAACTCAAGTGTCCTCGTGCTCCACACGAACACGTCTAGGAAACTAGTCATAGATACCTGTGGCACTTCATGAAATGAAGTGTTGTTATGACATAAATCAGAGCTGCGAAAATGTACGATCCGTAAAGACAACCTAAAATCAATATAAGAAATATATAAATATAGCCAACAAAAGATAGAAAACAGAGCTAAACCGTTCCAAGCAAGCAACTGGGTAATAAAACAGCGGAATAGGGAACAGCGCATTTCTAAACAGTGCGATTAAAGCGGCGGTGGAGCAAAAACAACAAGAGGAATTTGGTTGGTTCACGTAACGATCCCGAGCCAAACCTTCCTCGATTTCACTCGTCCGTAACTTTTGCGTCGTTTACAATCGTTTCATTAACTGAGCGCCTAGAACAGGCTAAAATAACCCGTAATACTGGAGCTGACCTTCTCGATACGACGTCGGAATGGAATTCTCCTCACTATGGGGAAAGAGGTCTCTATGTGCACGATAAAGGCTTTTTGCATGAGCGACCTTCTCTCGCTGAAGTTTCAAGTTCATAATCATCTCAGCACGATTTAGAACGATTTACCCTCTGCAATATAGCAAAATTTTCTGAGGAGATCTTCGACTCCTTACGTGGTCTTTTTTTGGTGGGGTGTTCTGATAGTAATGTTCACAGGAGTAACAGTTTCTAAGAAATGGCGCAGAAATTACAGCCTATCAGAGTGCAGTTATCCCATTTGACATATGACAATGAACAATAGTAATATGACTAATTTTTATGAAGCAGTTTCCGTGGATCATAATATGTTGAGTCGTTTTAGGAAAAGGTTTGATTAATTGACTGATGGACTTAGCGACGAAAAGACTGATCAAATATATTAAAGTTCACATGGCAACCAGGTGGGCAATCAGACATGGTTTGATGCTACTCTACCTTAAAGATTTAATGAATGTAACCCAGAAGGGTCTATGAATTGTGGGCTCTATCAATTCCTAGGGTCTATGAACTTCTCGCTTACATTCATTAAATCTTTAAACCAGAGTAGCATCAAACCATATCAGACTGATGAAAGATTGTCCGCCTCACATGGTCAAGTCCATCAAGGCTTTGACCTTGAAAGATTTTAGGAACCAGGTAAATTATCATATTTTACTGCTAATACATCACCTCTCAGAGTATGAAAACTCAAATCGAAACGCCTAAAAGCGCCCATAATTTCTTCAAACCCTGAGAGCAAAAGCACTAATACCTAAATACAACAAAGAGAAATAGAATATATAGGAATCATTTTATGGCAAAAATTTGTTATAGATAATATGTAATAAATATACACACTCGTGTCTGTTATAAAACTTGAATCCTTGCCAAAGACAAATCAAAATGCAGAGAATAAATAACTCCAATTCCATATCGATAGACAAGGCATCTTCTGATACACTGAGTACTTACTTCAAAGACAACTATCCCGACGAGAAACACTGTTGATATCAACTGAGTGGAGAACTTGAAATCTGAAATCATACAAGTTGTCCATGTCATGAGTCCAATCTCTAAGTCTAGTTTTAAGCTCGTTATTAAAAAAAAATATTGAAATAAATAAACAAAATGATAAATGAATCAGGGCCTATATACGATTGAAAATCATGAAGTAAAAACCAATAGATCGACCGAAAATACAAACGTTAATTGTTTATGTTATAATGGAATACCATACACACCTTGTCTTGGTGTATAAAAAAAGTAGAAGACCTTCCAATACCACTCTGTCTTGTCCGGGTATCTAAAAAATTTCCGAAGACGACACTGCTGGCAATAACAATAACTCTTATTCTGATCTATAGCTCACCATGACGAGAAGGAAAAGGACGAGGACGGGGACTTGGAGGATAAGGGCAAGAGCTAAGGCTAAAGTCGGGTCAGGTCAGGTCAAGTGCAAAGACAAAGACACTAGAACAAGGACAAACCAAAGAGTAGGAGAAGGACTTGGACAAGGACATGGACAAAACGAGGACGAGGACGAGAATGAGGACAAGGACAAGGACAAGGACATGGACAAAGACAAAGACAAAGACAAAGACAAAGACAAAGACAAAGACAAAGACAAAGACAAGGACAAGGACAAGGAAAAGGACAAGGACAAGGACAAAGACAAAGACAAGGACAAGGACAAAGACAAAGACAAGGACAAGGACAAGGACTAGGACATGGACAAAACAAGGAGAAGGAGAAAGAAAAGTACAAGGACAAGGACAATTAGAAATACAAGGACAATGACAAAAACAAGGACAAGGACAAGGACAAAGACAAAGACAAGGACAAGGACAAAGACAAAGACAAGGACAAGGACAAGGACAAGGACAAGGACAAGGACAAGGACAAGGACAAGGACAAGGACAAGGACAAGGACAAAGACAAAGACAAGGACAAGGACAAGGACAAGGACAAGGACAAGGACAAGGACAAGGACAAGGACAAAGACAAAGACAAAGACAAGGACAAGGACTAGGACTAGGACATGGACAAAACAAGGAGAAGGAGAAAGACAAGTACAAGGACAAGGACTAGGACAAAGACGAGGATGGGAAAAAAGAGAAAATATAAGCACAAACACAAAGACAAGGACAAGGACAAGAGCAAGGACAAAGCCAAGGACAAAGACAAGGTCAAGGACAAGGACAAGGACAAAACAAAGAGTAGGACAAGGACTAAGGCAAAACAAATCAAGACAAGGACAATGAAAGATAGTGAAATTTAACTGTTTTTAGTCGTACACTAAACAAGAGCTTGTTTAGAGGACCAACTTTTGGAGCTTTAAAAAGATATTTTACATTGGAAGTTTTTGCCCTAAAATGAACTTCACGTGAACAACGTCAGCATCATGAGCCAGTGAGCGGGAGCAGGAGTCCTTTCCCTAGAGAAAAAGATTTGAGGGACGGTTACCAATACATTCAATCCTTTAAATTTGTACCTTCCTGTTGCCATTTTCTCCTGTTTGTTTATATAGTCTTGAATACTCCCAGATCTCATGATATTTGGTAATTTTCTTTTTTATTTCGATTTTAAAGCGTTATTGAAACCTTGCTCCACACCCTCCTTTGAATTTTATGATGTTATTATTGCCTCACCGTGCTGAACTAAACAGGGAATGATCTAAAAACTCCAGCCAGTCGAAGACACATGCAAAAATTACACACTTCTGTACTTGCTGTAAAAGGAGGAAAACATAGATGTATGCAACTCTAACTTACAGCTGACTCTGTAGAAGATACAGACCACATCTGTCTAACTCGTCGAACAATAAGGAAAGCAAATCGCGCTGTTATAAAGATAAGGCACAGTGTTGTAGGCAGGTTAGAAATAAGAAAAATTATTCCATAGTATCCTGTTTTCTGAAAGGAAAAGAAATACATCAGTAAGTAAAGACATAAAGGCCATAATTTTGTTCCATGACACATTAAAATCTAATTTATAGCCAACTGCAATAATGGCACTCGAAACAACAGCGAAAAAAAATTCCCGGGGAGTGCCCTCTAGCCCTTTCTACATAAAACAAATATATAGCAAAATTTATCCACGTATTATATTAGTATTTTGGATGACTTAACTCTTTCTCTGTAATTCATCCCCTTAGGTTTTAGTCGTTCATAAAAACACAACAAGCAGCTTTATCTGCGTGATCATAAACAAAAACAAGTACTTCATGCTTGTCGATGCATTCCAAAATTAATACCTTATACGCAACGTGGCAACGTATCTGTGTAGCAAGTTGGAAAGAAAACCTGAAAGAAACCATGAAAGTCAATTAGTTGCCTATCATCTGGCCTATATAGCGCGCACAAGTCCTACGTAATTCTTAAAAAGCTACCATGGTAAAAATCTTTATGTACGCACAGCCGTGCATCCATAACATGACGTTTGCAGTTTCACTTCGGCTAAAAGTTCCCGTCGATCGAGCTTAGCCGCGAGCTTTCAAAACTTTCAAGATTTCTTCCGTTTTATCACAATAGACATGGACCTTTTCCAGCTCAAGATGAAAAGAAAATATGCTAAACAAACTCGCGTTGCATTAGTGTTCTAGTTGACGATACTTCATTCCTACACGCGATGCGAGTTATGGCCGAAAACAAAACTGAGTTTCCTCACCTCAGCTAAGGCTTTGTGGCGTTAGGCACTCTTCATTAGAATGGTAAATATTATTTTGAAGTGTTGATATGTTCCAAAACAACTCAAGCGCGTAAATCTACCACGCGAGTCTTGTTAATCCAAGAAATTTGTAATTTTTTCGTACGTTTTTCGAACGGTTCATATTATTATTCGGTGCTGACATTTACTAAAACTATTTTCGAATAGAAGATTTTGATTTTCAAACCATACAATAAAAAAATTCAAAACTTTTACTCGAGAAGCTAGACTTGGTTTCGGCTGCGCCTTGAGCATCTCTCTTACGCATCTCCCGTGCTCTGTAAACTTCCAGCGTGCACTTATAATTCGATATATGTACGCTAAGCATAGTACTCAGCGTGTTTAATGTAAAGAAACCTGCATCAACTTCGAGGAGTTCCGATTTTTTTTAGCCCCAAACCCAAAATGAACGTTCATATCCCATGCAATCGCAGGTTTTCAACTCACTGATGTAATTGAGAACTAATGTCAAAAGCGTTTTTGAAGTTTCAAGTAAAACACCCAGCATTAAAAAAAAAAAAAAATTGAGATGACCGGAATTTCTACACCGTCCTACCGATGTAGATGAAATCTGACATCATTAACTAGTGTAAAAAATCTCATAATATAAGACAATACTCATATACACACCTCAACACACCATAAAGAAAGCCAAGGATAGAACCAACGAACTTGTATTCAGTTGTGAGGCAGACAAAATATGGATAGAATAGTATTGTACAAAGGAGGACGGCCAACAAAACGTCAATAACTGAGTAAATAGAAAGAAAGAAATGCTCGAAGTTTTAATCAAGGATTCTTGGACCTCAAATACTTCTTCAATTACCATAAAGGAACTCTTTTAATTCTAGGTTTTTGCAATTACTTTGTCGTTTCTCTAAAATACTTTTGGTTCAGTCTCCTAGCTTTGGTTGTCTCCTTGCAGAGGTTGTTTTTGTATGGGTGTGTTCTTGTCTACTTGTTTCGTTTTTGCTATCAATTTTTATTCAATTCATGTTTGGCTAGCTTGTTTAAATTTTGGTTTTGTTTGTTTTCTAAGCCTTATTTTGCCTCTATATAATGATCTAAGTTTTGAATTTTGGGATGTTATTACAGGTTTAAATGAAACATTTAGTAATATGGCCATGCGCTTGTTGTGATGATAGTGTTGTACTTTGGAGACCACAAGGGTTTAGCTTCTTATTACAGAGCAATTTAATGGAACCTGCATCAGACATTCATCGTGCATTATGCGCATGACAGAGAGATTTCTGAGGGTATATGCTTTACATGTGTTATTGTACTTTTTATTTCAAAGCTTTTCCTGGGAAAGGCTCCGTGATGATTCTTACTGTCATCACCGCTAAGAAATTCGATCATAATACCATTAGAGTTACCTACTTTTTACCCAGGGAGATTCAGATGGAACAATCGAGATACCGCCTTTTCCAATTATTGCCATGGTCATAACAGTGCTACCTGTGGCTCCAAACGTAACAGCAATGGTCCACCTGTTTCTGAGACCACCAAGAAAATTCATGGGTCTAAAGAAGAATGATACAGATATGTTGTCACTATGGAAAATTGTACTGCTGCATGATCAGAAGCCACATAACCAGCAACTTGCTGATAAATTGCACCACTACCCTTTTTTTGTTTTTTAAAATCCTGGTTGGTGTTACACTAGCCTGCAGACCAAGCATAATTTTGGCGACAGGACCAGAGTGGAAGTTAGTCAGTCATCAGTTGAAACAACTTACCGCACCTATGCTTGAAATGTGGAGTCAAACACACTTTTACATGTGATAAACAAGCTTTTGAGACACTTTCAGTTTTGAACCTTTAGCTTTTGAATGTTAGGGGTAAATTATACATAAATTGTGGCGTCCATAAAGATTTGAATTATTTTGCAAGGTAGACACTTTTCATAATATACGGGATAAATTGTACCGCAAAACGAGACGGGTTACAGTGGAGCAAATCACTAGGGCAGAGGCTTTTATCTTAATAGGTGCACATGCGTGCATGTGTATGGGGGCCAAATCGCTCAAATTCTAGCTTTGCTATGAAATAATTACGAAAAGATCTATTTTCATACACGGACAACATACATCAGTAGTCCTGGGCGCCCATCCCAGAGTTCCAATTTAAGCTTAGTGCGTCGCTTCAGGAATGAAAGAACAAAAATAATAACCAACTGAAAAGAAAAACATAAAGAAAAATTAGTTGATTCTTTAAAATGAATCTTATCTCAAGGATTACACAAACAACACCAAATGAGAAGAAAAATTAACTGCCCATTGCCTACTGTTCCACCTATTGCCAAAATGTTGCAGCGCTTCACAAACAAGTATCGCACACAGGCTAGCGACCTTTTATTACAAGTCTTATCATTATTACTTTTCAACAGACATAACTTAGAACACTCAGAACAATGAAATTATTCACATTTCTTCTCTATTCCAACTTTAACCAATTATGGCTCCTTTCCATATCCACTCGATAAAGAGCAAAGAAAAAAGAAATCCCTTATCGCTACCGTTTACGTCGTCGTCATAGTCATCATCATCATCATAATTATTATTATTTCATCATTCTTATTATTATTATCATAATCTTCACCCTACTCATCGTCATAATTGTTATTGTTATCATTATTTCTTTAATGGTTTACCCGACAAAATATTAGAAATTTAACAGAGCACTCACTGCGGGAGCAAGACATCCAAAATGAAATTGTCTTAGCTGGCTGACAGCCTTAACACAGCTACAACAAGAGGAAAGTGAAATTTAGTAGCTGATGCATCCATAACTTTCAGTACGTATCATCTCACGAATGTAGTAAAAAAAGGCTCTATCGAGTATGTTGCATGTGGGGCACTATGCAAGTATAGTATCCTAGCTAGAGTACTGAAAACACTGATGAGAGCCTTGTAAAAGATCTGTAGTTAGAGTCACCCGGAGGTTGCTTTGCTATGTAAATGTTTACCTTTCTACATATATCCAGAACTGAATAATCAAGCGGTTACTAACTGAATTCTTTTCAATAGGAGCAATGAACCGATGAATGGCAATGGCAATCAAGAGCGAGTGGAGTCCAATTTGGTCTGTAATCATGCAACCGTGAATCGGTGGTGCGGTTTTTTTGATCAATGGTATTAGATTTCTGACAGAAATGAATGAAAAAAATTCTATTTCACTTTCCATTTCTAAGCATGGCGCATATGAAACAAATGGAAGAAGAAACTCTCAAATTAGTGGGGACATATTTGCAGCTTTAAAACAGTAGTTGGCCTATAAATAAACTAGTCTAAAGAAGCTGTTATCAATATTTGCGTATTACAAACCAAGCATGAAGCAACCAAATTGAAATCTCTAAACATTGCGTTTGTGAGAACAGATCCATTTACTTTTAATTTCAGCGAGAGACTTTGCCAATAAACTCTTGAACTCATTGGCACCTTTCGATGTTATTTCTTCTCTTTTTCTCCAACCGACTTGAGGAGCTTTGCTTTGAGACACTTCCCGCCATGTCAGTTCACGTGCGGTATCAAGTCTTAGAAACTTTTTCAACGAGATGTATGTATTCGATAAACGAGACACATTAACAACTTGTTACAACTTTTTCTATCACTTACTCATTCTCACTTGTCGCATCTGAAGCCATTATGACTGCTTTTCTGAACCCAGTAGGTTTCTGCTTTGCTGAATAAAACTTGTCTAATTTTAGAAGGCTCCCTCCCTAGGGTTTTTTGACCGCGCGAGATCTGGACTCCAACGACACCCAATGTATTTTTAGGCTTTTTACGCCTGAAATAGGCCAACACAACACCCGTGGCGCGTTCGGTCGCTTCGAGAATATTTCAAAAATTAGGAAAACAGGGGAATCATTACGTAAAGGCCACAAAATCTGGTCAACGAAAACTGACTTACGAAGACGGCTGCAAGGAAGAGGAACCACCTACAAAACGGGCTCTAAGGTTATCTCGGGTATGTAACCTACGATGTTAGGGCTATTTGCTTTTTACTGTCCTCGGAAGGTAAACATTATTGTTCTGATCGATCGCGAAGTAAAGGTCTCAAAAGTGGCTCACCAACCCAAAGTGGCCCACCAACAGGCGGCAGCTGAAAATCTACAGGGAACTGGAGTGGTTGATATACAAACTTTTGCACAAGGCCTCAAGGAATGTTTTTTCTGTAAGCGTGGTAAATGTGAATAATTTTTATTTTTACAACAATAATAACCGAGTGACACGCACTGTTTGCCATAGAGCAGCATCTCGAAATGCAACTTTATAATAAGAATAAGCATGCCAAATGAGTACTCATGGTCCTTGATTCGAAAGGCTACGCATGCTCAGTTACCGATCTTGGCGAATTTCTATTCCATTACGTAATGTTTTGCCATAAAGAAAATAGGTATCTTTTAAGTAAAATTTATCGTGTTTCCTTCGGTGAAATTTCGTATGATTTGTTGGACCATTAAGCATATTTGTGTCCTTCCTAGTGCCTGTTAATAAAAAAAATTAATGGGCCCAAATTTGAGATAGAAGAAAAAAAGACTAAGTTGCAAACAGAGGGAAAACTGCCTTTGTAACCCCTATTTTTTTGGGGCTTTTAAATGATCGGCAGGACAATTTTCACTACTTGCGGAAATTTTGAGAGATTTCACCGAGGAAAATTGAAGAAGATCAAAGGCAAAACCAAATTGTCATTGGCGAGCGCCTCCCTTCGTGGAGCCTTGGCTTAATAACTTAAATTATTTTCTTAATATTTACTGCAGCAAACGATAGTCCAAACCTTGCTCATTGGCTTTTGATAGCTTTCAATGACATAGAAAAGCGAAAACGTATAAAATTTTCTGGAAAAACAGAACGCTGGCGCACGCGCCAACGTTGAGCAAAAACCATCCGGAGCCACCTAAAATAAATAAATTAAAATGAATTAATTAACAATAGATTAATTAAAATAATTAATTAAAGCGAAAATTGGACAGTCTCACTCCCAGTCTTCTCTCTCTTTTCTTTCCCGTTACGGCTCTCTGCTGTTTTCAGGAGTTCTCAAATTCTAGACAAATTTCTAGGTAGGGGCAGGAAAGCCAAAGTTTTGAGAGTGTGAGTGTTCCTAATCTCATACCCAGATCCTATCGTTTAATTCTAATTGAAATGGCGTGGAAGGTCTGGGTACGATGCCATATTGATACTTAAGTCCCCCCTCGAAGCCAGAGAGGATGATGGGAAGCTGTGAGACATTTCAAAAAATAACCACTTGTCTGTATAGCAAAAATCTTGCATCCATATTAAGTTACCATCTATTTGCTTTTTCCTTTTTTGTTTTATCTCAATCAGATATATGTATTAAGGAGTCGACGCCCCTGCATCCATAGAAGCCCGTCGTCAACTGACATTGGGTCCGCAGTCCGAAGTCCCGAATCCACCTGTATATTTTTACTGCCGAGTTAGCGAAGAACGCTTCGTGCACTGTCGGAAGAATTCCGCTGAATCGTGATACTTTCGACACCGGAAGCTTGTTTGAACGTGACTGACCGTCACATGACCATAGGAAAATTTTACTCGTGAGGAACCGCACTCGAGATTCGTGCTGAAGAAGGTTTCCTCTAAGATGACGGTATACACATGTGAATTAGTCTCATTTAATACCCATGATGGTTATTTGGAGAGATAAATTAACAAACTTTCTTATTTTTACTTCCTACATGGGGTAAACAGTCGTACGAGGATGATGAAAACTTTGGAAGTTACAGCGTGGTTGGTTCATTTCCCAAAGATTTCGGGTAAGTTCTCAGTCTGTATCGATTGAACCTGTGTCACAGTGGACGATAGAAAGTGCAAGTTGTCTTTTTTCAACACAGCTAAGAGGTACCATTTCGTTTCCGCGATTAAGTTTTGTTTTAACGTTCAATAGCCATGGAAATATGAAGTCTAAGCGTAAAACAGTTTCTAACGAGCCAAGCCGGTGTACAACTGTACACAATTTCTTAGTTTTCTCGACGTTTTCGAATGTTTATTCTTCGCTGGAAAAATTGCAAAGGCTACTTTTCTTAACTTACTCTCGAATTGTTGGACAATTGGAGTAACCCTAGTGTTCAATGGCTCATAACGCGATGATTTGTGCAATATCTGTAATTCTTTGTTATCACATGAAATTCATGGCGAGGGTTTTGAAGCAATATCATTGATCAAGTAAACTGAAATGGTTTGTACATGGTAAATAAAATTGCTCAGCTCTAGATGTATCGTGACCTAAACTGCATGCGAGTGACATTGATCACATTGTGAAATAAATGGGATTATGTCACTGAACAATTAATAGATATATATACGAAAAAAGATGCTCACATAGGGTTAAAGGAATTTGTGGTGGAAAGTTGTGAGCTCCTTGAAGATCTTTCTGTCGATTCTCCTTACTGTCTGTTGAGGGGAATGTTTAAGAGCTAATTGGGAGAATTGCAAGCTAAATTTTGGGAGTTCAATTTAAAGAAAACACTTTTCATGAGCTTGAGTATAAATTTAACCTCCAACAGCAAATATCTAATGGTTAATTCTTGGCTGCAGCTTATTTCCTTGTTAATAAGCTATGAGAATTTGGTGTTAGATCAGGATAACAATTTCTGCCTGATAAGTTTGAGCATTCTCATTACCAGTTGCTGGATAATATATGGATATTGTGAGGAGAAGTTATGCATTGATCACTTCTGAGAGTGAAAGGGGTTTAGTGAGTGGCTGTGCAGATTTGTTTAAGCAGCTGATATACAGGAAAGTTGTTTGTCCAGACTCAATGCTTTCTATTTTGCACCCCACATGCAGAATGCCAATTCTATTACCACAATGTAGACAACTTGCAATCTGTTTCGGTAATAACATGATTTTGAGTGGAATTTGGTGTAAATAAGCACAAGCAATGTTTTCAATGACAACAAAAGTGCACAAACCTGTAGGGCAAGTCCAATTTGTAGTCTTTGAAAAATGTGCAAGTGCTTATTACATCTAATTAGACTTGAAATCATGTTATTACCTTTTAATAATATACATGAAAAAACATCACAGTCAAGAAAGACAACATTTTAAAAGCATGCAGGATAAATTTTTTCTTTGCACTTGTGTTACATCTTTGCTCTCATGAGAATGCACTCATTTTCAGCCAATTAGAAGTGCTTAATTTTTTTTATGTATATTATTAAGTGAAAAATATCTTTATTTTGTGTTTAGCTATGGTCCAGAAGACCAGGATGAACTCTCAAGCAGTGACAACAAACCCAGGATTCTATTGCTGGGCCTTAGAAGGTGTGCAAATAACAACGCTGTTATAGTTTCAAGAGCAAAATGTTAGAAAATATAACTTAACCCTTTAACTCGCAAGATCTCATTAGCAATTCTCCTTACTGTCTGCTATACAATTCTCATGATGTTATTTTGGAGAATTTGGTATTGGATCGACTGATAATCTCGTAACTGATATTTCTCTTTATTCTCATTACTTGTCTGCTTGATGTTGTTTTTACTCAAAGGGTTAAGTACATGTACACCTGTATTCCTTCTCTGTCCCCCTGATTGATCCTTTACACCCTAAGAGTGATGAGTGTCTTATTTCTTCTCTCTGTATCACCCTGAATCACACATTAAGGTGAAATGCATTTACTTTATCATCTCAGTGGGAATCTTGAATCCTCAAATCCAATCAGCAAATTGCTCGCTTGTAACTGGTCCAGTTTTTTTCCTTTTCTTTACAATACAGAACAAGGTTTCAAATTTTTTTTAATGCCATTAGCTGCAAAGCATAGCAAATAAGGAAACTAGCAGAAAAAGACTGCATCCTGTCTTCAAGATCTTAGGAACAGTTTTTTATTTTTCTAGACTGCATCCTGTCTTCAAGATCTTAGGAACAGTTTTTTATTTTTCTATGTCCTCCTGCATAGTACATAACATATGTACCTGATTTGTGTTATAGTGCAAGACACTTTGTTAACTCCCACTTAATTTTTTAAAATGACACTGTGTATCAGCTGATTGTAATTAATATCTCTGCTTTCAATTTTCTTGAAGGAGTGGCAAATCTTCCATCCAGAAAGTTGTTTTCCACAAGATGTCTCCAAATGAAACACTTTTCTTGGAGAGCACCAATAAAATAGTGAAAGATGGTATCCTTGAAAACAAAGGATGGTGTAACATTTTAGGTTACAACTGAAGTACAGAAGATTTCAAACTATCTAAAAAATAATTTACCAAAGGCAAAGTGAATAATTGTGTTGGTATAATTGCTCTTGATGTGCTTTCAAATTCTGTTATAGATTTGTTTTTTCTTGTTGAAACACATTGTAACATTCTGTGACAATTGTTTTGATAACTTGTATCTAGGTACATATAAGAAGCCAGTCTCCAGTAGAATTTAACAGGTTTATTCAATTTCATCAGCAAAAACTTTGTATCTTTCTTTGAAATTGTTTTGCCAAATTTAATAGAACTTCCTCTGCATTTCAGAAGAGTGTTTTCTCCTAAATAGCATTTATCGCTTCCTACGTAACATTGGCAAAACGTAAAGCAACCATTTTGACATTTAGTTCCTCTGCTATAATCACCTTGTGCAAGGTGATTATAGCAAGATATGATACAGTCCTCAACCAATCACAGGGCAGGCATCTCTATAATCACAAGAGCATTTATGCATATAAAAGAACCTTAATTTAATACACAGAAGTGATTAATGTATAACCTCTCCTTACAATATCCCAACAGGTAATGAGAACATCTACATTTATCAGGTTGAAGTTGTTATCTTGAGTGGACACCCAAATTCTTGTTGCTATATGTAATCTACCAGACTAAGTGAATGTGTAACAGCTAAACAGGAGAATTGTCATGTACTTTCTACTTTTAATATCCATATATTATCCCAACAAACAGGTTAATGAGAATACTCAAACTTATCAGGTAGAAGTTTTTATCTTGATCTGACACCAAAATCTCATAACTAATTCACAAGGAAATGTTTACCAGTTAGGGAGGAGAATTACCAATTGGGTCTTGAGAGTTTTAAAGGGTTAACATGATGATGTTCAACACTGGTTCAGCTGATGATACCAACATATTGCAGATAACCTTCAGCCATTTTCCTAAATAAAAACCTTAAGTTCTTAAACTTATTTTGTAGTCTTTATCCTCATTCATCCTTGCCCACAGTCCCTTCATGTATTATTTTGTTGATGTTAAGTAACCTCCCTTGCCTCCCATGGTGTCAGATACTCCATGGATTTCTCCAAATTGATAAAAGTATTTTAAGTGATTTGTTCTCAACCCTTTTACTCCATAACATCAGTATGCATATTCTCCATACTACTTTCTAGACATTTCCTGGGGTTCTGACAAGGAGAATTTGTTCATCAGTCAAGAGCTTCCTTGGGTGGTGATCATTTCCTTTATTCTCATGATCTTAATGTGTGACTCAGGGGTGATATTGTAAGGAGAAATTAGATGCTGGTCACTTTTAGGGGTTATAGGGTTAAAATTGATTTATGTAGGAATATGGACCACAAAAAATTGTGTTTACTTGAAGCATATTTTTTTCCTTAACTTCATGATCCCTAAGACATATCAAATAGCTCCTTTGTGCAGTTCCAGGTATGTTATTTGTACTTCCTGTTTTTTATTCATGTTTTGAATATATGGTATTTGAACAATTTTTAAGCAGTGTACTGCAATTGCAATAGGTTTACCAATGAAATCACACACAAACAGGATCTTTGTAAATCCCAAGCCTAAGTTTTACGTTGTGAAATGGTCCATCAAGTTCTCGTTTATCTCAATTTTTTCTTCTTCTTGCATAGATTTGGGACTTTCCAGGCCAGATTGATTTTTTTGACCCAGCATTTGATTCAGAAGTGTTGTTTGGCCATTGTGGAGCTCTTGTTTTTGTTATAGATGCACAGGTATGTCTATGTTATTTATTATCCATGGAGGGGTATGTTGCAGATGAAAATCATTTGATTGATGTTGTAATTAAATCATGTAGGGGAGGGAACTTGTAGATCTTGGACTACCTGAGCTGCTGTGATCTTGAATGTCTGACATGATGATTGCATTAACTCAGGTTTTAAAAATGATGGACAGTCTGCAAAATATGATAATTTGGTTTCATCAGCTTAGTATTTTCAATTAGTCACTGGTATGTAAAGAGTTTCCAAAGCTGATGTTTTTCAGTGCTAGCCCTTTGATGAAGAATACGTTCTCTTCATGGTGGCCAATTCACATCAACCAGCTCCAAGTTGATGAAACCAAATCATCTTGTAATGCCCTCCACAGTCTCTTTAGAATTTTACCCCATTACTTGCCAGTAATCTTATGAATATGAGCGGAACATTCGAAGCTTAGTAACCACACATTAGATCGGACAGGAAAATGGAAATGTTCCCACAGATAAGCCACACCCCCAATTTCTAGCGACGATTTTTGGAAAAAGATGCAGCTTATCTGCAGGTTTTTACAGTATACTGCTCCTTTTCTGGACTACATTCATAGGAAAAATTTATTTACAAGACACTTCTACCGGTATTCAAACTATTTTATCTCTCTACCAGCCCCCACAATGACTTGATTTTTGCCTTGACGCCTTGTTTATGGTATCCCAAACAGCAAGGGCATTTTTTTTCTTGATACCATTTTTTTCTCAGAATTAATTTTCTTGGTATATTTTAGGATGATTATATGGATGCCCTTGGAAAGCTCCATATGACTGTAACAAGAGCATACAAGGTAAGCTTGAGCATCAGTCACCATTTGAGAATGTTTTCATAATGTCCCTTTGACACTTATGATGAACTAGAAACGAATTTGTCCCCACTGTATCACCCTTGAATCACACATTAAGGTCATGAAAGGAGATGGCCAATCGCTAAAGAAACTCTTGATTGGTAAACAAATTCTCCTTGTCAGCACCAAGAATCTAATGTCTCCCAACAATGTCTGCCCTGAATCACACTTTAAGGTCACAAAAAATAGAGGATATGACCACTAGCTAATGAAGCTCTTGATTGGTAAACAAATTCTTCCTGTCAGCACCAAGAATCTAATGTCTCCCAACAATTTCTGCCCTGAATCACACTTTAAGGTCACAAAAAATAGAGGATATGACCACTAGCTAATGAAGCTCTTGATTGGTAAACAAATTCTTCCTGTCAGCACCAAGAATCTAATGTCTCCTAACAATGTCTGCCCTGAATCACACTTTAAGGTCACAAAAAATAGAGGATATGACCACTAGCTAATGAAGCTCTTGATTGGTAAACAAATTCTTCCTGTCAGCACCAAGAATCTAATGTCTCCCAACAATGTCTGCCCTGAATCACACTTTAAGGTCACAAAAAATAGAGGATATGACCACGAGCTAATGAAGCTCTTGATTGGTAAACAAATTCTTCCTGTCAGCACCAAGAATTTAATGTCTCCCAACAGTGTCTGCCCTGAATCACACTTTAAGGTCACAAAAAATAGAGGATATGACCACTAGCTAATGAAGCTCTTGATTGGTAAACAAATTCTCCTTGTCAGCACCTTAGGAAATGTATATAGAACAGTGTGGAGAATATGCTTACTGATGTTTGGGTGTAAAGGGATAAATGCATTGCGCCTACCATTGTGAGCATGTTGCTCTAACTCCCAAGATTTGACGGTAAATTTTTCCCTCCAGCAGCTTCACATTTCCTTGTAAATAAATTAGGAGAATGTGGTGTTAGATCAAGATAACAACTTCCTCTGTACCTGATAAGTTTGAGTATTGTTGTTACTTGTTTGCTGGGATAATGAATGAATGTTATAAAGAGATGTTACATATTTACCACTTCTGGGAGTTTGTGCCACTGAAACTGGGATGAGCTTTGACAGGAAGTGGCCTGACAGGAAGTGGCCTGATAGGAAGTGGCCTGATAGGAAGTGGCCTGATAGGAAGTGGCCTTACAGGAAGTGGCCTGACAGGAAGTGGCCTGACAGGAAGTAGCCTGACAGGAAGTGGCCTGCAAGCGCACTTTACCTTACTCTCCACCCAATCATCTAGGTATTCACTCTGTTAGCCTTTAAAAGGTTTTTTTTAACTTAATCCTTTAATCCTAGAGGTGATTGACATAAAACTTCTCCCTATAATATCCATACATCATCCAGCAAACAGGTAACAAGAGTACTCAAACTTATCCGGTGGAAGTTGTCATCTTGATCTAACACCAAAATATCATAACTAATTTACAAGGAAATGTGTAGCAGCTAGAGGGGACAAAAAAACAATCAGATCTTGGAAGTAAAAAGTTAAAGGTGTGAGCTTATATTTGTGTTTATGGGAATTTCACTGCAAAAGCAAGATCTACACGTATCGACAGAAATCCTTTCTTGAATCTCTCCAGGTCAATCCAAACATAAAGTTTGAAGTATTTATTCACAAAGTAGATGGATTGTCTGATGATCATAAAATTGGTAAGAGAGCTGGTTACTTCCTTCACAGTGCAGTGCTCCACAATGATCCCTGAATTTTTAAGTTAAAGTCGGCAAAGTTATGTTTGTCAAATGGTGAGAGTGTCCACAAGTACATTTATATGTCCATGTGGGAGTGTGTTTTTATCAAAGAAATATCTGGTAAAAACTTTGAATCATTGTATTGTGTGGTAAGCTACACTTTCTTGTTTGCAACATACTGGTCAATTTAGCCTGCAGAGCAGTGCTCAGTATTTTCTTGCTAACTAATTTTTTTTTTCTCAACGAAAACTATGGCCGCCATCTTTGATTTTAATGGCAGTGGAAGGCTGTGAGAGAAAAAAAATTTGCACCAAGGGGGTGGTCGACGGTCAAAAATAAGGAGAGGGGTGGGGGTGGGGGATTGAAGATTACTGGTTTCTTTTGATGTTTTTCTTTGAGTCCTTGGTAAATGCTCTGCAATTTTGTATTTTTAACACAGAAACTCAGCGTGATATTCACCAAAGAGCGACAGATGAGCTTGCAGATGCAGGTCTGGAAGGCCTTCACTTGAGGTAATTCAATTTTAGTTGACATGTAACGCGCCTTGCTTGATAGTGTTGCACACTTATGTAGACCAAATTAACGGTAATTATGTAAACATAGCACTAGACTGACATTGTCGTGCTCTGCAATATGTAATCCGTTTGATGGATTTTCCGTCTTATTTTACAGCTTTTACTTGACGAGTATATACGATCACTCAATATTTGAGGTAAGGTAATATGGTGCTGATAGGAACATAAATTTTTAGAGCTGTGATCATATACATGTATTGTACACAGAGTGATGCATGAGCGTGCGCAGAAATTGAATGTCTCTTCGAGCGTTCAACTCGAGTTGAACACGCGAAGAGAAATTAAATACCATATCTACAAGGAAACATGTTTTGTTAAGTTTATTATACATGTGCATAAACTTCGTATGCCTTTACTGAATTAAATATTCGACAAGCGACCATGGATTGAGAATGGTGACCGCCTCGCCATTCATTCATCAATCTGACAGAGTGGCGTTAAAGGCGAGTGACGTGTCAGTAGCTGATTGGCGATGTCAAACACGAATGATTATTAGACGGCTAAGAATATATGAAAGTCATGTATTTGAACTGCGGATGATCAATGTGTACTACTTAGGCAGTAGTGAAAATAAGTGAGTGATTATTATCGTAATTTTTACACATGTGCAGTTAAGGCTTTTCTCAGGGCTGGAAATCCTTGTAAAACATCGCATTTTATGTAATAAAGTTGTAGTTCACGTGAAGGACTGCTTTGACTGCTACAACTGTAAATCTTTCCTGCATCATTTAAAACACAGGGTCACCAAGTTTTTATGATTTACTAATTGTCATCATGTTTGTCGTCTTTTCATTATCAGGCTTTTAGCAAAGTAGTGCAAAAACTCGTCCCTCAACTTCCAACGCTGGAGAACTTATTGAATATTCTTATAACAGTAAGTACAGCGCCTCGGTTCTATAGTTGAAATAATTTGGTTTTAACAATTGAGTTGATAATGTAAATTGGCCACCGTAGAGAAATTGTACATGTGAAGCTGACGTTTCTAGCATTGTTCAGCCCTCCGTCTGAGTTTTGTTCTGTTTTTTTCTAACAAAGGGCAAATGTCAGCTTTAGAAACTCTCTGCAATGGCCAATTTTCAACTCAGTCCCTAAAACCAACTCATCTTGTAATACTTCCACCGACATAGTACCATGGTATCTCCACAAGCTTATCCTTTTAGTTATCTCTAGACTCAAGTCTTATCATTTCATATGAGATAACTTGAAAAAAAATTCAATGAAATACATTAACCTTTTAACTCCCATGAGTGACCAAGACAGAATTTCTCTTAACAATATCAGTACAAAATCAAGAAGACAAATGATGAGAACCAAGAAAAGTATCAATCGGGGGATTATTATTTGATCTACATATATATTAGAAGAGTGTAGACAATATACAGAGCATGTTGTATCTACAACATGCTCATTTCTAATAAAAAAAAATAATAATGGTTCAGAGACTGCTTCTAGCAAATCTTGCCCTGTGATCCACATTTGTTGTAGAAAAATTCAGAGTATTTCATCTTGGGAGTCTTGTCTGCGACTCTACGTCATCAGGCCAAATCATGTCGTATTGTTATCAGCTGTTCAACATTTCGCAATGTTTACTTCATTAGGGATTGAAATGCTAGAAGCCTCGATAAATCTTTTCCCCTTCCTATTTTTTCTTTTTGTTATTTTATTCTAATGAAATAATAGAGATATAAAAAAACTTTGTGAAGATGGAAAAAAAATGCGTGGCTTTGAAATGGCATCAAAATGTACAGAAGCCATTTAAGCTACTACGACATATGTGCATTAAAATGCTCGTTTTTGAATTTCAACTCTGTAAGCGTTATGTAACATTTAAAGTGCACATGTAGACACCATCTTTAATGTGAGATTTACTCTGTTTGTCTGTTTTGTTTTCCTTTTCCAAGAATTCAGGCATCGAGAAAGCCTTTCTGTTTGATGTTGTCAGCAAGATTTATGTGGCCACGGACAGGTAAGTGGCAAAATGTCCGCGTTTATCTTACGCTGAACCATCGAGTAAGGTTTATGTATACGTATGTACAATTTAGGGTAGATTCAAACTATATGCAATGAATAGAGGACTTTTTCCCTAATTAACATAGCGTCATCTAACCATTAGGGTGGTTGGGAAAATTCGAAGAAGTGATGCAACCCAGGGCACAGTCAAGGGTCTGGTTAATTTTATGAATTCTTCCAACCGTTCTCATGTTTTAACAGGATGCGTAAACATGGAAATAAGTCGTCCACTCCGTGAATAAAATAATTCTCCGAAAGCATAGAAATAGTGTTTACAAAATCTCGTGCAAACTCGCTTGTGCAATGAGAGTGCGCTTACTGTCTTAATATTTGATAAATGTGGTTATTTTTATACTGTGGTCCTTGATTGTGTTGTGCTCGTTTCTTGTGCTTAGTTCACCGGTGGACATGCAGTCCTACGAGCTTTGTTGTGACATGATCGACGTTGTTATTGATATTTCATGCATTTACGGGTAAGGAAGTCAACACTGATGTTTATTACACGTGCACTTTGCAGTGAGGTTCTTGATTTCAGCTTTGTGGATGAGGTCCTAAAGTAGAGGTTACTGGCGGTCTACCACCGCCTATAAGACTTCTCGCCTCCGCTTGTTTAGCATGCGAGTAGGATTCTCGTTTTTGGATTTCGCCTGACGCTTCGGCCACCAATTACACCATCGGCAGCCGGTTGTGGAAAAAGTTATTGAAACCTCTGCCAAAGTGTGTTAATTTACGTGTCGTTTTGAGCCATTTAACTTATTGTTTGTGTATTAGGCGTGTTTAATGCAAATTTGCCCAGATTTGTCCAGTAAAAAACTCGTTTGCAACTAAAAATCAATGCCCCTTGAATTAACGCTAGTTGAAGGAAAATTGGAAATTACTTCCCCATGAAGAAATAAACGCGGAAGAGGCGCTTGAGTTTCAGATTTAGAGAAATCGACGTTTGCCTCCGGCTCGTAATTTACAAACTTTTCTCGTGTTCTCCCAACATCCCGCGTGTGTTATTACGCATGTAAACCGATAGAAACTGCAGTCTGTTGCTTAAAAAGCATCAATCGTATTTGTTCATCAACAGGTTAAGAGAGGAGGGAGATAGCAGTGCATATGACATGGAGTCTTCGTCGATCATCAAACTCAACAACTCGACTATTCTGTACCTTCGAGAGGTGAACAAGTAAGTGAGCGTTTCCATGGCGCAGAGTGGTCGTGCACCCTTAACTTAAGTATTGCATGACCCGTTAGTTTGTTTACTTCAGACTTCAGTCAGGTCGTGGCAGTCATCTGCTGTTTGATAGCTGGTTTGTCGTACTGCAATGTATATACTTATTGAATGAGGGAGAGGACCCAGCGGACGGGGCTAAAAGTCATGACGCACGAACCGAGCGCCAAACGTTTTCCCGTTCAGCCCGACCAAATTCAGTCAATAAGCACTTAATCATTTGACTTTAAGTGCAAAACATTTTTAAAAGTTTGTTTCAACCTGAATATAACGCACTTGCATGCAAAAGAAGGGCGCGCACCAGACAACTTTACTTCTTCATTAAAAGCCGCTTTCCTTTTATTTCAACGAGTCAGAACGAGAACTCGTAATTCATTGAGAAGCGCGACTCATTTTGTCGTTTGTTATATTTTCAGTTTAAGAACGCAATTTTAATTCACGCCCTCGGAAAATGCAAAAGGGCCGTGAAAGTGCACGGCAGAACGGCTTTTTACCGGGCTGGCTCACGTTAACCCGCCCGTCCCTAACACGTCATCTCTTACTATGGTTTTTTATGGGTTTACGCGCGCGGGGCTATACGTATCATAAGAGAAAACGAGATATGGCATGAAATACACCAGCTTTAAATTGCGGTTGAAATCACGCACTTGTTTTGAGCATATTCCGGGACAAAGAACCAACCATTATTTGCCTCGCACAATGAAGGCTCTTAAGCTCTGTTAGAAGTAGCGCCTAACTCATATTTGAGTTGCATGGGGTAGGCCTTTTTTTTTCTGCAGTTTCGTTAATTGAAGTTTAACTGTGAGTAACGTTTCTAATTATGAAGTAGGCCACATTTTTGTCAGTTATTACGGTCATCTTTCATTATATTCAGAAACAATTCAAGTTTAATGATTTCTTCACAGATTCCTTGCCCTTGTCTGCATTCTAAGAGAAGACAACTTCGAGAAAAAAGGTCAGTGTACAGCTTGCAATGTAGCTAAATGAATGTTGTACACTTTTCAGTTTTGAGAGCGACTAATTCTGGAACAAATGCTGAACAACCCTTTTTCTCGCATTTATTGCTATTGTTTTCGATTAAAACCTGAAAATTTCGTAACCGTTTACCACCAAACATCAGTAAGCATATTCTCCGTTCTATTTTGTTAGATAATCAATAGTGTTTTTATTTGAGGATCATGTCTTTTATTCTCGTGATATTGTGAAGAGAAGATAGATGCTAGTCCTTCTAAAGGGTGAAAGGTTTAAAGATACGTGTTATGGTCTTTAAATAAATGAACGCAAACGTAACCTGGAAGTTTATTGAAGTTCCTTTTTTTTTGGTGTGATATTATATCAAGTTGCTTGTGGAATGCTTTTACGACTTTTTCTGATGCTATATACAAGATGTCAGCCAGCTGCTTTCGCTACATCTAGCTTTTCAAAGAGGACTGAACACGCCTCGTCGCCATATCAGTGTGTGAGTCGTCCTTCATGATCAGCGCTTCCGCACATGTGTTTCTTCGCCTGCGGGAAATTACGAGGTCTTTAAAATTGCGAGTCAGCGAAGGGTCCGTCAGGTGTTTTGCAATGATTATTTTTAGTGCCAGATCCCCGGCAAACTTCTCCTCGACTCGTCTCCAATCTTTCCCAAGGGTGAGAAACGCGTGTCTTGAAAGTCAGCTCCAACATTTCTTATGATTTGTCGTAGGTCTGATAGACTACAACTTCTACTGCTTCCGTCAAGCCATCAGTGAGGTATTTGAGATTTGTTTCATTTACAGCTCTTAAAGTGAAAAGATATATCAAAAGACCGAAACAAGAATAACCACTATGGCCAAGAGATAATGAACAGAATGAGTGTTCTCATGAGAACTCAGGTTAAAAACAGGCAAACTGTTAAATGCGCGGGAAAACGCGGGTGACCAAACCATGATTAGTTTTCGGTGTACGGCTGATTGTTCTAGAGGAAGGCGCGAGTTTTTTGGACCAATCACAGGTTTAGAATGGTTCAAACGGTGCGCGGAGATGATTTGTTTCATTTATTGTACAAAATATTTTTCACTGATGTTTCCTGTTCTTCTTCTCCGCTCACACCTAAGTTGTTCTTGGCGCGATTTGCGCAAATCTAGGTTTGTACAGGGTTTATAGGCAGTAAACCCACGGTTTGTGCTGATTGAGTTTCAAGCGATCAGGTTCAGGCTCAGGCTCAGGCTCAGGTCTCTTTTCGCTCATTGCCGATGAACACTCATCCTCAGGGGCACCGAATACTGTCGTTGCAATAGTAGTTTAAATTTGTTTCTCTTTGTTTGTTTTGTTTTGTCTTTGTTTTTGTTTTATTTGCTGGTTTTTGTTTTTGTTTGTCTGTCGATTTTTGGTTTTCAATCAATCAGACGTTAGACACAGTAGGAAGGCAGTTCTTCCCTGTTGAACTTTTCTAAACCTTGACCTTGTATACCATCTGACTTTATGTTCTCGAATTAGTCTTACTGATCAATTAAATTGTTGAAATGTTGTTTCCTTTCGTCAGGTGTTTGAAGTCAAACGCCAGATGAGGTCTGTGTCAGATACTGGCTCCCAGTCCCCTTCAGCCGCGTACTCAAACGGCAGCGCAATCCCCGCCCTGGATCATGAAAGAAATGACAACGCTGTAGTAGTGTAGCGCAGGCTCAAATGTGCTGTTTTGCATTGTATTCAGTAAGACAAAAGCGTCGCTGTACTTGTGAGGGAGATTGTCTCTTACTTTAACAGGTCTTTCATCTCTAGAATATGAAACAGCTTTCGCTGTCAGTTTTTGTCAAGTTGACTGATCGTAGTTCTCAAAATGCTAATAATGTGATCGTTGTAATCGTGAACCGTGTCGAGTCTTGCGTGGTACTGTATACCGTAGACTTGACGCTGTTATAATTGTCTCGTTTTGTTTTCGTTCTTGTTTGTCAGGGTTGTTGTATAGTTGTATGTTTGAGGCAGTTTGAAAAGCCAAACAAAACAAAAACATAGGCAACGGGAGAAAAAAAAGTAAATATAAAATATGTTTTACCAAAGCCGGGCTTATTTCAACCTTGCTTTCCGATAATTTTTCACTCCCAAAATTTCCAAGGTCTCTCCTCCGCAAGTTAATAAAACCAACGTTACGTGACGGACTTAGCACGAGCCAAGAGTGTAGCGTGACAAGTTTAGAACCGACGATGAGCGGACCGCCTGTTTTGGCAAGGAGTTAATATGAAGTAGGAAGCTGTCAGGTGATTTAGTTCGTGAACCGGGCAGGTCTCTCAATTAATGAGAATTGTGAACTAATTGTAAATAAGTAATTAAGAGGACCATGTGTTTCTGAAAAGGAGAAGTTTGATTGGCATTCGATAACAAATCGTTGCAAATAAAGAATAACTTTCCCTCGATTTTTATACAGAGTTTTGCACTTTGAAGCGTCAAAGGATAATAACATCCTTCTACCTCTGTAAATTTTTAGACAAAAAAAATAACCCGAATTTTTTCAAGGTTGTCACGTTTTTTATTTTTAAGGGCTACCAATACAATCAAACAGTTTAAAATCCAAGATATGGTTCTCGAAATTCATCGATCTGATCCTTTTACAGCAATGTGACGATCACCCGACCGTGACCAGCCCTGTTAAAACAGCATTCACTCTGCTGATTTTTACCAACGTTGTATGAGCCTCCTCCACCCCCACAGGAATCATATTCATTATCTCCACTGCTTCCCCCGGAGTACCCTCCTCCTCCTCCGGCGCCTCCTGCCTGTCCATGTGAACCACCGCCTCCCCCAAAGCCACCCACAATATCGTCAAATAAAGCCCTTCCACCCTCTCCTCCCTGAAGAAAACCTTTGCCACCTTCCCCACCATGTCCCATGGTGCCACCAAACTTCTTTGAACTTCTCCCGTTGGAGTAAAAACCGCCCCCGCCTCCTCCTTAAATAAATGAAAGAAAGAAATGATAGTGCAGTTTCGTATAAATTCACTAAAAAACGCAATTTCGATATCCAATATCATCTTGCATACAGTGTGCGCTACTCTTCAAAATGCAACAGTTATCTTATGCAGAGGATCCCGTCATATTGCACGGTTTGGGAATGTCTGACAGAAAATTCTTCCTCGGGCATTCGGAGGTTTAAACGAATAGAAAAGTCTAGTATGGTTGTAAAACCATATACCAGAATCATTTAATGTAAGGAAGACGCCACAAAATGTTCTGCATGCCTCATCTAAAAGTGAAAATGATCTCTAGTTAATCTTACCTGAATAACTACCATTAGCTGTCTGTGCACCATGGCCGTCGAGCCCTCCTGACCATGATCTGTACCCAGGATTCCCCGATGTGCCTGTGCTGGCATCACATCCGGGTTGTCTTGACTTTAAAGTTTCAATGCCTCCTCCTCCCCCGGCTATTATCAAAGGTGTACTACCACCTCTGACGACAAATGTTCCTCCACCACCTCCGCTAGCGAACGGGAAAGGTGGACTGTTGTTTATCGTTCCTTCTTGACCAACAAGTATTTGAATGATCTCACCCTCGGATAAAGTGAAAGTTCCAATCATTCTTGCACCTCTTCCTCTGTAGCTCACAGTGCTGCCTTGCTTGTTCCTAGTCTTTCCGTACCCTCCAGCTGCTCCTATTGCTTCTACTCTGTATTCACCAGTGTATGGCACAGTCCATTGTTGAATACCGCTCGACAATTTAACTTGTCCGTCGTGATCCTGACCTGTATAGAAACTGCCCAGCGTTGTTGGACCAAATCTTCCGCTCGCACCAAGATTTGTAAAGACGGCCCTAAAGGATGCTTTATCAACATAAAATAGCTTATAATGTTTAGAATTGAATGATTCTGAGTCGCGTAAGTAATTGATAAAAGTTTGTTGTGCTAATTTACTCTTGATGAAAGAAATAAGTTTCGGGAGGAACCCATTACTAGGAGTAATTACTTGGAGTAATGGGCTCCTGGTTTCGAGGACTAAAGATTTCCAATTGAATGCAGGCTAAACTTTGCAACTGTCAGTCGCAAAAGGAGAATTTAATATGGTTGAATAATTTCCCTTTGAAAGTCGAGAGGATTACTTGGTAATTTGGTAACTGGTGAATTTTCCCCATTGGAATTTCGCCCCCCAAACGTAGCACAAGTTCGCTCCACCCTCACCAGTTCGCCCAAAAATATTTCGACTCGTTCACCCAACCAAAGAGCGTATTAATTTCTGACAATGACCAAAAAAACGTTTTCTCAGTCATCAATATGAAAAAAGATGTCACTTTCAACTTAAGTCAGTCAAGAGGCTTGCCACGTGTGCGTCTAAGTGGATATTAACTTACAACTATATAGAGTCTGCCAATAGTATTTTTATGTAATGCTTTGGAAGTTTTTGGGTCAGTACGAAGTTCGAAGGTAAGGCGACATCACTAGTTCTTAAAAAAATTGCCACGAACAAAATCGTCCCCAGACATACCTGTGTGTATATAATTTAAGGTTGTCAAAGCACTAACAGATCCCAGCTTGTTGGACGCGGTACATTGGTACGTGCCAGAATCTTTGGGATCAAAGTCTGATATATGTAGAGTTCCATTATTGACACTTGTTCGACCTTGTGGTAACGGGACAAGTCCTCTTGACCAGACTATTTTTGGCGAAGGAAAACCAAACGCTTGGCAAGAAGCAGATGCGTTTTTACTTCTATTGACTGTAATAACTCTGTTTGGAGTTTTAGTGAATCGTGGAGGAACTGAGGAATGTAAAGAAAAAACATGTTTTCATCTAAGTTCACTTAACAATTCTCAAAAATCTTGGCTCACTTTTTTTTAAAAAAAGGTAAAAAATACAAACAAAAACTGCTTTTCTATGCTCTCCAACCATTCATATTCAAAACTGTGATCACCAATAAGCTTTTCTCCCTTACCATGGTCAAGAAGTTGCTTAGAGGACTAATTCGAGCCTCATGATATATTATTATTCCGACTTGCATCTTCTTCTATCTACGTTTAAAATTGATTTAGTTAGCATTCCGAATTTTCATCTGAAATCCAGGTATAAAGTTCAGGTCAAATATTATTTTATTCGTTGTAAAGAGTTTTAGAAGACCTAGGTCAGTAAAATCAAAAGCTTAAGACAAAAGAGAAATTATAATTGCAGTAACGATGAGAAAAAAATACAGAATATCGACCATGAATAAAGACCTTTAGTATTTTCATCATTAGAGTAATTATTATTATCTTTATTGTTCGTATTATTATTAAAATAATTATCATCGTGATTATCATTGATATTTATCATAGATTTCATTATCATTATCATTTTTGCTATTATCAAACTTACTATCATAATAAATAAAGAGTTACGGTGATTCTTGGTATTGCACTGTGCATCCTGTACTGCGCACAAAATCACGCAATCAGGCGAATAAGCGCACGCGCTTTCTGAGAGAATAGCATTGTTTTTCAATTAATGGACCAGGTGAAGAGGTGTAATGGTCTTATGCTCTTAAAAGAGCACAGTGAACTATATTTTTTATTGCATGATTTTGTGTACAGATTATCCCCTTTAAATTAGAAAATCTAAAGAAAAAAATTCCTCGAAGGGAAACAGAGATAAAGCTAAGAACGTGCACGAAGCCCGTTACTCACTGATGCAAATTATAACCTTGAAAGCAGCGACTCAAGAAACTTTTTGAGTAGATGTCGTTTAAAATTGTGTGATTTTACCCTAAATCGTATATCAAAATGTTCCAGACACTTGAGACGTTCTACTTATCAATTTTATTTCTTGTTACTTTGAAAACCCTTGCTTCCAGCTAAACGCAAAATGTAAAGTGAACCGATTAAATAACTTGCGTGATTAGTGCCAGTACAGGCATAAATGAGGTAAGTTTGGCCCATCATATCTCTTAAAGAAGCATGGTGACTTATCGTTTTCATTGTATTTTTTTTGAAACAAACAGACATGGGAACAGATATGGGTAGGAAACATTTAGGGGAAGTTAAAAAAAATTGCTGGGTAACTTTTTTTTTCTGAGGAACCACCTTAATTGAAGTCTTTCCGTGAAGATTTACATCAAGTAAGATAAGAAATCAAAGAAAAACTCATTACGGTCACAACTGCTAACAGTAAATACTTTACTCTCCAAAGCATGCTTACCTTCGACAAAGAGCTTCACCTGCCTTTGCACCCCACCCAATATGCTCTTGGCCGTGCAAACGTAATCTCCCGAGTCATTATACGTAGCTTTTCTGATTTCCAACTTATATGTGGGCTTGAAATTGGTTCCGTATCACCTGTTCTACTCCAGGTGACTGTAGGCGTTGGATTCCCATCAGCTGAGCAATAAAACGTGGCAGTTTGGTTTTCAGTAACAGTGTCTGGATGGATGAATCGTGGATGAACAAGCTACTTGCTTTTTTTCAGCGAAATCTATGTTCTGATTGGCTTCCGATAAAGAAACAGACACACATAAAGTAAGACCGAAAGAGTAACATGACTTATAATGTCAAAAGCCTCACATGTATTAAATTTATTAAGAATTATGTCAAGCAATTTCTAAGTTATCCCTGAATATCAGCGAAAAAACCTCCCCCACTATACTTTATAAGCCGACTTTTACCTGTTTTTATTGTGAAACTTATGAAATTGAAAATTGCTTGTACGTTTTATAAAATTGAGGTCACCTGGCTTTACATCTCCTGTTAATCTGTCTAAGAATATCGCGAGGAGCAAATCTGAACTAAATTTCTGATTTTTATCTCCGGTCACCATTTGGCCGTGGATGAACAAGCTACTTGCTTTTTTTCAGCGAAATCTATGTTCTGATTGGCTTCCGAGACAGGTACGGACCGGTTCATCTTGCCCGTTCGGGATTGCCTGCTATGACCGAGCGAAAGAAAAAGAGAAATAGGTGAAACGAATAACAAAGAACCTAACTTTTGGTAGATTTCTCCAATGGAGTCGTAAAAAGTGGCCAAACAAAGTCAAAACAAAGTCAAAATAAAGAAAACGTTAATGACTCTCGTGGGTTTATTGCCAATCCTGTTGGCTTTTATTGACCAATCTTGTTCGGTCAAGAAGACTGGGTATTAGCCTCGTTCTTTTTGGCCTTTTTATGGACCTCGATTTCGTCTCGGTCCATAAAAACGCAAAAAAACAAACAAATCGGCAAACATCTAGCCATAAAGGAGGTACGTTTCTAAAGAAACTGTGGTCATTCGCTCTGACGAAGGGCTAACGCTCGAAATTAACGTCCGCTTTGTAAACTCTTCACGGTGGCAAATTTACGTCATCAACTCAGTTTAAAATTATCCACCCACGTTGATGTCACGCTTGGTCAATATCACATATTTCCAGCATATTGGAATAGAA